TTATTATATGTTGAGCAAATTCTAGCAAGAGGTTCATGCAAACCCAAATGTTTTCGATGGCGAGGGATACAGAATATTTTTTGAATAACGCAACGTGGATATATTTAGCTTAATGGAAGTTAATAAATAACTTAGCGCAACTTATTTTACCATTTAAAATTTTATGAAGAAAAATCACATCAGCAAACTTACGATGCACCCTTAAGGTGTTCATTTTGAAGAAGTTTAATCGAAACTCGTAAGGTTGTCTGTGTGAGACATCGAAAGTAAAAACTGCCAGATGCCTCGTAAAGGCACGCTGTATACTCTCAATTCTTTGAGAGTGCCGAATGTAGCCTATATGTTGACCCGACTTCTTAATAATTTTCGTGCCAAATTTGAAGTAAATCCATGCATCCATTTTGGAGTTCATGCCGGACATACATACAGACAAACAGAAAAAAAATCTAAAAACTATATTTTTGGCTTCAGTATTGATTGAAGATCACACTCCAAGTATTCTTTTAAAAAAATATTCAATGTACAGTTTTGACTTTACTACCATTTTATTATATTTATACATTTATTGGTGTCAATTCTGCCATGATTCTCTTAACCCAAACTTAAATTGAAAACAGTGTATCTTTGTCATTCTCTACATAGAATGAAAGGGAAAGACTGATGTTAAATTTAGTTTTAAGTTTAGAGAATCACGCCAGAATGAGAATCGACACCATAGTAAAAATAGTTAAATGAATTCATTAAAAAAACATAACAAAAAAAAGTTCGATACCAAGACCTTTGTGATTGGAAGTCCGTGCACTCTAAACTACACTAACAACGACTTAACAACTTGGGCAACAAGTCTTTCAATTTGGGCAGCAAACTTATTTCAAAATATCCTTCAACTGACATTTAGCTTTATGTTGCTAGATATATGATTCAGATACGTTTGAGAACCTTTGAGACTTATTAGTGATACAGCTTGCTGGCATAACGTGCAGAGCTTCGATCAACTGTATAGTGCAACACGGATGAGACGGAGGTTCGCAATCAATTTAAATATTTGTTTTTTTTTTCAACAAAATACCTTCCTACTAGTGCGTTCGGCCTGCGATCATGGTCCATGGAACTTAAGCCTCTTATACAATGGGCGGTCATAAGATGGCGTTCAAGGATGCATCCGCACGCAAGGAGCACTCACCAATCAGCACTGTGCCCGCGTTGTGGGCTATGGCCCTTTCTCCCCTTCCATTGGGAAAGCCTGAACCTTAGCAGTGGGGACATTAAAATACTAAAGACGAAAATTTCCTTAAGGTAGGCACACTGAGAAAAACCACGATCAAAACAATTTCAAACAATGCTAGTCTAGTCTCACAGACTCGTTAATCCATCTTGTGAGATCCTGTTGCGCTTCGTACTAGACAAACCGTGACATGTGGCAAAACATTTTTCAGCCGGTCCAAATGTAATGCAATTTCAGAAACTAACCAGCTATTCACGGGGCACTTAGCACGATAAGATTACAATTAAGATAATTGTTCTATAGTCAGTAGGGCAATGAACGTAATTCTTGTTAGTGCTAATGTAAATTACGTGGTTAACGGAACCTCCACCCATCAATTTGTTTGTCCTTGCGTATCGTAATGTCTTGCTATGTTGACCTATACATAGACTTGTTAGCTGGCCTGTAAGTAGATAGTTTGTATGTAGGGCGACCATTTGTAAACGTGAAAAGCCTTAACGATAAAGGAGGACCTGGACTGGATATATTAAGAAAATTGAAGTCATAAGGCTACTACATGCGGGGACAATAAATAATTAATGTAAATTAAGACTTTTAAGAGGAAAGAGGTTTTACTTCCACGTTTTTAATTCTCGAAAAAGAACGTTTGGAACGAAAAGGTTACATTTAGAGGATGTTCAAAACCGTCAACTGAAAAGGCTAGAAGGCAATATCATATTTACTCCGGACTGATGGAAACTAATTGTAATGGACTAATAGTAGAGGAGCCCAACCGGGGATTTTGTATTTTACTCGAGCGGTGCAGAATAACATAACCTTGGGACTTTATGGTGGGATCGGGAAGCGTCACTTAAGCAGTTTTGTTTTTCTTGTTAAAAATTGTATTGTGGCGGATATTAGTGTCTAATAATGGTGGATTATTACCACTAACTGTTCGGGAACGTGCACAAGTGTTGGCAAGTGAAACAAAATAGCGGAAAGTGTCTTTTGACGTTCCATTAAGAAGTCCACGGGAAGGTTCCAGTAAATCCCCACACTTTTACTGAAACATAGGGGGATTGACTTGACTGCCACATACTTTGACTTGATTTATTTGTTTGACCTCGAGTGCCATAGTATTTGTAAACATTTTAACACTTGAATTTGGCTAAATGCACAAACCGTGCGAAGCGATATAGAAAAAAAAAACATAACCTTGCAACTTATGAAGTACTCCCCTCCCAACTTTACCTAGGGCCTAACGTCGAAAAAGTTTTCTATAAAAGGCCATGACTTTTAGTCATGTCCAAATGGTTGGTCTTTTGAATAGGAGCTACAGGAGGGTTCATGTAACATCCCTTCTCAATGTCTGACGCGCTGGAATATTTTTGATGTGAAACTTCTTTAGGCACGCTTGACTTGGGGAGTAAACTGGCGAATGTGTGACGATTTTTGCGTTACGCGCGTAACGGTGTCTCATCGGTAAACAATGAACAATTTATACTCGTCACAAAATACATAAATCTAGTGCTTGGTGGGTAATAACGGACCCAGTGCGGAATGGTGGGTGATAACGGACCCAATGCGGCAATCCGCACCCATGTGGGTGAAAACTTACCAAGCGTGGATTGGAGGGTGACAATGGACCCAGTGCGGATTGTTTGGTGATAACGGACCCAGCGCGGATTGATGGGTAATAACGGACCCAGTGCGGATTGGTGGATGATAACGAACCCAGTGTGGATTGGTAGGTGATAACGTACCCAGCACGGATTGCAGAATAACATAACCTTGCACCTTGTGAAGTACTCCCCTCCCAAATTTACCTAGGGCCGAACGTCGAAAAAACATTTTCATAAAAGGCCGTGACTTTTAGTCGTGTCCAAATGGTCGGTCTTTTGAATAGGAGCTACAGGAGGGTTCATGTAACATCCCTTTTCAATGTCTGACGCGCTGGAATATTTTTGAAGTGAAACTTCTTTAGCCACGCTTGACTTGCAGGGTAAACTGTTGAATGTGTAATGATTTTTGCGTTACGCGCGGAACGGTGACTCATCGGTAAACAATGAACAATTTATACTGGTCACAAAATTCTCGGACCCAACGCGAATTTGTGGGATAACGGCCCCAGTGCAGATTGGAGAGTGATAACGGACCCAGTGCGGATTAGAGGGTGATAACTGACCCAGCGCGGATTGGTGGATGATACAGACCCAGTGCGGATTGGTGGGTGAAAACGGACCCAGCGGGGATAGGTGCGTGATAATGGACCTAGTGCTTATCGGAGGGTGATACCCCTATGTGGGTCCGTACCCAGTGCGGATTGGTGGGTGAAAACGGACCCAGCGGGGATAGGTGCGTGATAATGGACCCAGAACGGATTGGTGGGTGATAACGGATCCAGCGCGGATTGGTGGGTGATAACGGACCCAGTGCAGATTGGTGGATGATACAGACCCAGCGCGGATTGGTGGGTGATAACGGACACAGTGCGGATTGGTGGGTGATAACGTACCCAGCGCGGATTGGTGGGTGAAAATGGACCCAGTGCGGATTGGAGGGTGATAACAGACCCAGCGCGGATTAGTGGTTTTTTTTTCTATCAACAAATCTTCAGGTTAAGTTTATGATTTTCAGATCATTGGAGCTAAAGAAGTTTCACTTCAGTCGTGTTTTATTTTTTCCCCCTATATTCTACCGTCGGTCGGTCGTCCGGCTACCCCCACACCATGCAAACCGGCAGGTTTATATTTTTTTCGTCATCAGAAATGTTATGTGAACCCTTTCGTAGTTACTATTCAAAAGACTGACGATTTAAAAGCGAGCAAAAGACATGGCCGTTTGTTAAAATTTTATGTTGCTGCCCTAGACGTTCGACCCCATATAAAAGGTATGGTGGAAGTACTTCACAAGGTCAAAGGTGGACAACCTTATGGTATTCTACCGCACTCGAGTATATCCCAAAATCCCCGCTCGGGTTCCCCTACTATAATAACCCCTATTCGGTGGTGCTTTGTCACGTTCCAAACCTCATGGCGGTTGCATCGCTGCATCGATAAGAATGGGGCAACGCAACTAACCTCATCAATCAAAACGTTGATTGCGCTACTGAAAATCACAAATGAAATAATATAATAGCAGAGTAGCAAATATTTTGGTATGGAGAATACTGTATTTTGTTGTTCCGTTCGTAATAGTGTAATACTTAGTTACATTCAACCGCTTTAAATCTCTTACCTAACACAATACTCTTAAATTTGGTTTTTGAATGATATTTAGAAGCGTGAACTTAATGTAAAATCGAAATTAAATTATGTAAGTTGAATGTTAAATTAAATGGTGTTACTTTAAATTTTAAAGCAATAATGACTGTATTTTATGTTCAGATTAGAGAACAAGTGGCACTTTTAGTTCTACAATCTGAGATTTTATGTCTCAATTTTCTTCATTAGATATTATTCCACATGATTCGTACTGCTCTTTTTGTTGTTTTTTAATTGTGGGCCAAATAGACGAAAAACCTTAATTTTAATAATACCGGGCCGAAACGGCGAAAACCCCGGTATAACGCTGGCATTGAACCACAAGCATGCCACAGGGACTTTAACATTTCTTAGAATTGACAGCATCCTATAAAATATATCCTATAAAATAAAATATTAAGAAAATAAAAAATAAATTGCAATGGGAATTCAAGTTAAATATAAACCAGTGCCAGGAAAAAACCTTTGACCAAAAAGGTTTTATAGGATTCAATTGCGACTGACCGTAAAATTGTCTATGGAATGAAATTTTTCAAAATTTGACGTTCAGCGTCATTCAAAACAACAAATCAGAGTGTAACAAAAATGACATCAGGCGCGCTAGAAACTAAAAAAATCTAGTGAAAACATACACGCACACACACAATAATTATGTGGCTAAATTCATTACCTACTATAATGTGACAAAAATACTGGTGAACCGAAGATTGGAATTGGGCAAATATTTCTGTGATATGCCGGGGCCGGATGTTAAGGCCAATGACAATGTACTCGGGGAAATGTCTACGGAGCCAACGGCGACTGTGCACAGCGGGGTAGAGGCCAAGGCTGACAGGAAGCTGACTGTGCTCGAAACACATGGCTACGTACTCGGCAGGACCATCGGATCCGGCTCGTATGCCACTGTTAAGGTACGAACCATTGATAGCTATCCAAATAAACCACGCAAAGAAAACGGCTACATTACGCGCAATGTAGAGTACACATTGCGCGTAATGTAGATTGTTTGAAAGCAGTAAATGTGTGCGTGTGTAGCGACGAACGTATCTACCACATATAGTGTGACGTAGTAGATATTTTTTGGACCGCTTCCGTGCAGTTTATACGGTATCTAGGTACAAATATTCAAGTTATCCAAAACTGTGAAACTCTCTAACTGTATTAGAGATTTAAATAATAAATACTTACGATTATCGTTCTTCAGCGAACGAAAGTATCCTTTTTAGGTCGTGTATTCTACATAATATAACTTTTGAGAAAAGTTTATTTCCATACACTTTGGTATACTTACATAAATAGGATTTTATGAACATCACCCCCTTAAATAATGATTTCTGGGTAAAAACTTCCCTTTGTCCTTTCCCGGGAATCAAAATGTTACCAAACTTCATCTAAAGTTCAGGTTCAGAAGTTTAAGCATGAAGAAGTAATAGACAGATAGAAAAACATACACACTTTCGTATAGAGGCTTTATGTAAGTACCTAATAATTATAACGTTGCTAGGTTATTAAAAAAAGGTCTAAGCTCTATCTACAGCCAGTATATCCAGCCGTAGTATCCTAGTCATAAAATTAAGCAGTAAACTGTTTTCAATCAGGTGGCCACCAGCGACAGACACAACTGTCAAGTCGCCATAAAAATCATAAGCAAGTTTCAAGCACCTGGAGATTATTTGAAAAAGTTTCTACCGAGAGAAATAGAAGTCGTGAAAGGATTGAAGCATGAAAATTTAATACGATTCCTACAAGCTATCGAAACCACCCACAGGTTTTGACTTAAGTATTTCTTTCATTTATATTTTGCATCGATATGTCTCACGTCATGTTAGCTCTATTTCTAGAGAGTTAGGTAGGTAAACGTCTCAGTTCCACTTGTTCTGATCAAGAGTTAAATACCTCTTTTGCTTCATCAAACATAAGTGGCTGCCCATACACATGCAGGTATTTGGAGCTTTTCTCGAAGCGCTTTTATATTTTTTTTATAGAAGCTTTTATAACTTTATTATTTACTAAAAGTTCACTGTGAGCGTCTTCTACAAACACTTCTGGGTACATTCCCTTATATCTCTCTTTCACCTATTGAATAATTTATAGTAGAATGAAAATGATATGAAGTACTTCACATTCGATCTGTGACTACGAACTTAATACACCGATAATAATGAAGGTAATTAAATAGAACCTGATTGATGGAAGACAGCGTATAACAAGCATAAAGCAAAGCAAAATACTCGTATATTAATCATTTCTTTGATGAATATATTAACACCTTCGCAGTTTTCACTCAATACTGTCTGCGTAACTTTGAATAATAATGTGCTGCGATCAAAGGAGATTGTTTACACTGACACTTATGAACATACTACGCACGGCCGCCTGCCGACCAAAGCGAGAACTCGGAGAGCAAATTGAGCAACCGTCTTCCATTACCATTATTTAAGTTTTGCTCTTCATCATTATTCTAAACTGATTTAAAAAACTAAAGGCTGGTAACCTGTGACGTCATTAATGTTCCTGGACTGGGGTCAGCGTGGGAGACAATCCACCCGGTAACCTTATTGCAATCTTACAAAATCGCTTACAAATGTGGCCACCTAATTCCAAGATCTGACCATCGCAATGTCTTAAGCGGCAGAAGCAAAATAAATCACATCTATTTGACTTCAGAGTATACATTGTGATGGAGTATGCCGAGAACGGCAGCTTGCTGGACATCATCCGCAAGGACCAGCACATCGACGAGGCCCGCGGCCGCCGCTGGTTCAAGCAGTTGGTCGAAGCGGTCGACTATTGCCACGAGCGCGGAGTTGTGCATCGGTAATCAATTAGCATCTTACGTATGGACAGTGGTATAGCGTAGCAGAAGTGAGAAGCGGGAAGTTCAAGCAGCTGGTCGAGGTAGTCGACTACTAGACAGGAAAGGGCTGTGACAGGAGCGAAGCAGATTGTACAATAATTAGGAAAAATCCCATCCCAAGCACTCACGTGTGCGGTGGGGTGTCAAGTAAAAATTATCATCAGCCCACTAACGTCCCCACTGCTTGGGTACAGCGGCACAGGCCTCCCTTATAGATAGATTAGGCCATTAGGGAAATTGGGCTCGGATCTACCTGCTAACGACTGCAGAACCAGCCGAAACCAATGACTTAAAAAGCATTTGGTTCGTTGTATTAAGTGAGATGGAGACTAAATCCGTACCGCATAATATAGAGAATGCCCTCCCTGCCCTAAAATGGATATCCCATTAGATATAACATAGTTTAACGGAACACCTATGTTAAGATCATGCATTTATGATTTGATGTTTCGTAGTTTTGTTTGTGATGTAAGTCCGCTTACTATTTAAAATATTTTTAGCTGTCTATCGAATTGTTTTTATATTTATAAATGGTTGACTACCATGTACACAAACCCTGTAGTTTAAATAAAAACAAAAATTGAACTTTTCAATGTAGTTGGAATTTTGTTAATAATAATTCGGTGTCGCTTAAAATATTCAAGACGTGGTGGGTCAAGAAGTAATCATTGATATTTTACCTTTACAATTTTAACAGATTTAAAAAAGGAATTATCATTTTTTATTATGCTTTGATAATTATCGCTTAATCAATTAAAGATGCCTAGAGTTTATATTGAAAAAAAATTAAACAGAGACATCAAATGCGAGAATTTGCTGATGGATCACGGGCTAAACATAAAACTGTCAGACTTCGGTTTCGCGAGAGGCCACATGAAGCCCAAGAACGGAGTGTTCGCCCTGAGCGAGACTTTCTGCGGCAGCTACGCGTACGCCTCCCCGGAAATCTTAAAAGGGGTCCCATACAAACCTCAAGACTCCGACATCTGGAGTATGGGAGTTGTACTCTACGCTATTGTGTACGGCCGTTTGCCTTTCGACGATACAAACTATACGCAACTTTTAAAGGTATTTATATTTTATGTGAGGATTACCCTTTTATTCAAGTAGGCAGTATAACGTACTACTACTAATATCTAGGGCTTAGATAATAGTTATACCACGTTTCTTTCTCCATGCCTATGATTTTAAGTATTGAGTAAAAAACGTTATATTTATTTTATAATTCAGGGTGTTTGCATTTGCAAAGCTTTTTTGCGTAGGCATTAGACACAGACTGAGGGACATTCTTAATCTTGAAATGTTTTGAAAATTGCCGCACTAACCACTTCGAACTTACCGACTCGTAAGAGTTATATGTTGGTATATAATTACTTCTCCGAGGTTCTATAAATCAACAAAATAAAACTATTTATTCTATTCAAATTAATTGTATAGAATAAAAAATAAACAAAATAAATATTTCCAACAGCCCCACCAATTAGCCTAGCCCGAAAGTTAGCTCTAAACTGATAGAATACATATATATGTGTATTTATATTGAAATACATATTAAACATCCATGGCTGAAGTACCAATGCTCCTATTCATCACTCAATTATCTACCCCCACCGGGATTCGAACCCGAGACCTCTCGAAAATAGACCTGACCTTCTATTTCTACCACCAGCAAGTTCAAAACAAAGTATCGTTCCCTCGCGATCCGAAAGTCTCAACGGAGTGTAGAAAGCTGATCACCAAGATCCTGTCGCCGCTGAAGGTGCGCGTCAAGATCCCGCAGATCCTGGCCGACCCCTGGCTCAACCCGAACCAGCCAGCGAAAGACGAAGAGGTGGACACCGCGCAGGTGGTACGGAAAAAGTGAAATTCTAAACTCCGTTCTTTATAACAACATTAATAGTAGGTAAACACTTACCAATACAAGGTAAATGGGACAAGGCAAAGGGTATGTTTTTCGCAGCGAATTGGAGCGCACATCAGGTGTAGTTACCTTCACTTTGTTGAAATTTGCACTGCTACAGCTAAAAACACTGGTTCTAAGCCCGATAAATATTTTCCGTCCTTGTCATTACTTCAATCGTCGAACTACTGAGATTGATTATTATTTCCACTTTTCGATCGTCCAACTTAGTTTAATCGAGAACGGTAACTAAAGGATGACCAACATTAAGGATGTTGGCGATGTGATGCGATCTTAGTCTCTATGCCTAGTGACTCAGATCGCATCACTTAATGTTGCATCTATGAAAGAGAAACATAAAATAAACTCCTTAATAATATCTTAATAATAGCCATGGAATATTATCATTACTTTGTTAATAATGCATATTGTTTCAGGAAAACGCTCAAATGAGCAAGGATGAAATCAAAAGCGTAAACATCGGAACTGTAACATTTGACAGAAAATTAGAAGAAGTAAAATAACGTGAAAAACAATTTATATAATTCTAAAGCAAATAAAAATTCGTAACATGCATTTTGTTTTTATCATTCTTACTTAATTGATTCTAAGGCCCACTTGCAGCAAATTTGCTAAATCTTGATTCAACTAAATCTAGCTTAACCTATAGAAAAATTACAAAATGTCAATATCAATATGACATCATTATATGGGCTAAATCTAAATTTAGTTAAATTCATTTATAGCCCGTGGGCCTACTGCGTGGTCCTAATGGTACCATGAGATTTTTTTTTGTACGTAATTCTATCAGTAAGGCCATGGGCGCTTAGCAATTATTTTGTATGGGCAATGGTCCTACTAGTAATACCATGGGCAATTTTTATTGTCCATTATTCTGTCAATATGACTACGGACAAGTAAGAAAATAAATAATTCACTTATTTACAAAGTGTCTTCCCCTAGGTTGGGGCAGACATCAGGACATACTTTAAAATTTTAGCATGGGCCTTACGATTTATGATATACTAGCTGTGCCCTGCGGTGTTACCCGCGGTTTATTAGGAATATTTTCCCGTAGTAAAACGTAGCCTATGTGTTAATCTAAGGTGTCAGCTAACTCCATACCAAATTTTATTACACACTCGCAAACTTTCGCCTTTATAATATTCGTGTGATACAGCCAGTGTTTCCTACACACATATGGATGGGTAGATGACAACAGATAACTGAATAAAGGGTCCTCTTATTTTGGTAAATATAAAAGTTAAATCACTATCAATTGTTTGTTAAAATTTATTGGAATTTGGACGAATAATTCCCTACTCATTCAAAATAAGAGGCATTCCCAACACCAAATTAAGCATCTTTAGGTAAAGCTTGATGCAAGTATTGAAAAATCTGCTACAATAACACTATAAGTAAATCTAACTCGTAAAAATATAGATTTATTCGATAAATGGTTAACTATCCACACTATACTTTCTTCGTTCTGAACATTTTTATCATCTCCTGTTTCTCCTGAGGTGTAGATGCACAGAAAATCTCGTCATCCTCGTCTTCTTCGGCTTTCCTCTTTGCGGTTCTTCGCGCTTTCCATAAACACATCAGCGATAGAAGGATCAAGACTAGATATATCACTGCGGCAATCCAGCAGTTTCTCGCAGTCTTGAAGAGAAAACAATAAACTGTGACGAAACAAGGTTTTGTGTGGGAATTCCAATACAAAATTTTACATACATGATTTTCGGCTGCTCGATCTGTGCCTAACACCCTTATATCTCTCCTGGAGGTTAATTGCCTGAAGGAATTGCTACGGCTATCGCTATAACTTACGATTTTATTTTGTTATTTCTGACCGCCGAAGGTTTTTAAACACCTTACGCTCATTTTCTTTTACATTGTTGTTACAAATACAAAAACCAACCTACCAACCTTACCAAAAAAAAAGAGCACGGGCCAATTGAAAACCTTCGACGGTCAGAAATAGTAAAATGAAAACGTAAGCGTTCGCGATAACCATAGCAATCCCGTTAGGCGAATGGCCCGCAGGTAGGGATACTAAGAAGCGTGAACAAGAAAATGGCGAAAATTGCTGCCGCTTGTTTTAGTTAGATGGTAAGGTAATTCCCATCTCTACCAGAGCGCAGAGTAGAGATAGACGAAACTGGCGATCAGTTAGGTAATTCCTTGTTACAATGTCTATGCCAAGGTAATCCGATTCGCATTTAGCTAAAACCAGCTAAATGCGAATCGGATTCATGCATGATAAGTCCTGTACCATTATCTATACAACATTAGAAACTATATTATAATTTCGAGAAAACGACAAAAAATCTTGTTTTTGTATGGGAACACAAATATTTATTTAATTCTGATTTTATGAATTTGTTTTTATAGCAACAACAGAAGTACCTTTTTTTTACCTGTCGGTGCCCCTCACCTCACCGCTGGGCCGTGGCCACGTCGGGCAGGAGAACCGTCATCTGGCGGCACCCTGCCCGGCGAGGTAACGGCACTGGACGAGGCCACGGGAACCCTTACGGATGCTTCCACAACCCCGCCAGTGAGTGTCCGGTTCAAACGGACCCGTCCATCTTGGGGATGCCCCGGGGCATTAGGGGCATCCCCATTTAACGACAAAGGCCTGTGCAATGCAGGGCCCAGACCTCCCAAGTCTGGACCCCGCTAGCCTCCGTCGGGTAAAACTAAGAGAGGGTCAACACGCCTTCTCCTACCCCTCTTACCCTTCTACGTCGGAGAGAGCCCGCGTGGGATTGTTCCTCACGGACTCTCTCAGCAGCCTCCTTCTGCGACATGACTTCCTCGCAGAAGGAAACCACCGCCTGCCAGGACCTGTCACTACCAAGCATAGCTCTCACTATGCTTGGCAGTGAGAGGTCTCCTCCCACTATCGCAATCAGAGCGAGACGCTGCAACGACCACATTGGACACTCCTCGAGGGTGTTGAGTGTTGTTGTGTTGAGCCGTGTCCACCGCAGCCCCGCACTTGTGGCATGATGGAGTTACCTCCCTCTTAATCCGATGCAGGTACTACCCGAAGCACCGGTGTCCAGACAGCACCTGCACAAGTCGAAAGGTCAGCGACCCTGATACCCGACCTACCCACCCCTCGAGAACAGGGTGGATCGCCTCTATGGTCCGGACGCCCCATCTGGGATTTTCCAGCCGGAGCTTCCAGGCCTCCCTCAGGGTTTCTTCTGCCTGCCGCCGGATCCGCACCATTTCTTCCGAGGTGGCTCGCTCTCCTCTCTCTCGTGCCTCCGCTCTCCCTTGGTATAAATCCGAAATCACTTTGGCCTCCAGATCCCTGGGGGGCGTGCCAGCCATTGCACAAGCCGAGCAACAGAAGTACCTACATCATCTTTGAAAATGTCAACTGTCTAGCTATCATGGTTCATGAGATCAGACTGGTGACAGACAGGCAGACGGTCAGTGGAGTCTTAGTATTAGGGTCACGTTTTTACCCTTTGGGTGCGGAACCCTACATACTACATCCTCACTACAATGTTGCTGTACGTTTTCATCGTCTAAATGTAGTTGTATTTGAACATCTTAACGTTCCATTTGGACCAGCATGGGAGGACTTCCATCCGCGGATTAAGTATAGCATCATCATCATTTTCCATTTCTGGGCCATAGGCCTCGCTATGAATGGAATAGGAAGATTGGGACGTACCTACCATGCGGTCTCGGTGCCGATTGGTGGGTGCAAACGACTGCTGATGCAGCCGTGACCAGCGTTGATTAGGTATATAGGTATCCCAAAACATTTAAGGCTCACATATCACACAGCCCACACTCTTATACTGCCTATCCACCGGAGCGGAGCATCGGAGAATTATCAACCAATAGGATTGCAAAAAAGCTTTTTAGTGGACAAATTTTGTACAATCCTGTTAGTTAATATTTCTCCGTTTGACGGCTCCCTAGCTACCAAGCTGCGTGGTTGTATAATCTTAACTCTTAGACCCATTGATGATGATCACTTACAAATGTAATTCACTACCCTCTCAAAGTGTAGACGACAATATCTGAAATTGGTAAATACGAGGAAATACAAAATAAAATAATAACGTACCGCAGCGAAGTTGTATTTAACCTCTTTCAAATAGTCGTCAATTGTATCAAATGCAGATTCCTCCGGCATAACGTCTATTACTAAAGTCGATGATTCTATTTTGTAGCAAATTCCCATTATAACCTAGGCAGGAATAAGATATTATTCAAGATTAACCACACATGATAAATGGCAGAAATTAATTCAGTATTATCAACGGAATAGATGACAAAAACCTTTATGAAAATTTGTAAGATCTGAAACCAAAACTACCATAGTGGCTACGCTCCTAACTCACAGTGTTACAAGAGGTGGCTCACTCATAAAAGTATGTTCGCATAATCCAAAAGTTATTATATGTATGAAGAAGATCTATTGTCGTCTGATGTACCTACATGCAAAATTTCAGCTTAGTTAGAAACTGGCAAACGTTCAAATTTAACTTGCAAGATTTGATTACTGACACGGAGTCACAAACAGACATTGTACCAGGTAAAAAAGCATATATATAGGAAGTCACAGGTCTTTCTGGATTTAAGATTAATAGATTCCAAGTTCAGAGGAACTTAGGTAAGCTGTTGATGCCACGGTCACCTTACGATTACTGTTTTGTTTCGCTCACCAGCTGTACAACACCCCATATACTGAGCACGAAGCAGCATGCACCGCATGCATATAAACCGCTCATGTTTCAAAACTCAACTAGCTAGTAAAATATTTCTAAAGAAATGTCCCAGATCTTCTCTTTGTTTTCTTTCCAAACGGACTGTGATGTCACATCAATGACAATAATGATTAGAATAGAACAATAAGATACGGGAGTTTCTGGCGGGATTTCATCGAGTGCGATTGGCGTTTCATTTTAATTATTCTATAATTTGTTCATACTGGTTAATCTATACTTATTATAAATCTGTAGAGAGGTCATTCTGTACATGAAATATATTTTCAAAATAACTATCAGGGGGTGATTAGTGACTGATACTGATGCCAAAATGCAATCAGTAAAAATTTTGTCTGCCTGTCTGTCTGTCTGTATGTTCCTTATAGACACAAAAACTACTCAACGGATTTTAACGAAACTTGGTACAATTATTCTTCATACTCCTGGGCAGGTTATAGTATACTTTTCATCACGCTACAATCAATAGGAGCAGAGTAGTGAAGGGAAATGTTGGGAAAACGGGAGAAGTAACTCCATTTTTTAAGGTTCCGTCGCGTGTGCAGCCTTAATGGTTAAAGTTACATAGAAATCATGTATGACGGAAATATTCTACATAAAATTATCTAAAAAATATCCCGCAACAGCATATGTCTATCTTTTATGGTTGACTCACAATAACACGTGTAACTCAGGAGTTAGCAGTTCGGAGCTATCAGGATAGCTTAGCAGTTCGGAGCATTCTGATTATATTTGTTTACTCTTACGTTTATAATACTCTCACTCATCCCTTATTTAAAAAAGGTAACATTATTACCTATTCAATAAAAAAAGAATCTTACAAATCGGTATAGAAACACCAAACTTATACATGAAATAAGCCATCGCGCCGTCGCACGTAAATACTGAATCATGCTATAAGGATTATTTTTGTGTAACGGTTGGAAACACTGATAATTTTAGAAGTTTTTAATCTAAGGTCGTAAATAAACGCATTTTTTGCGCTTACATTGCAAACGCTGGCTGAACCCTACGAGATCGATCAAAATAATGTACTACAGTATTGTATACCTTAAAAATGTCTACAAAAAAGTCCGCCATGGTATCTGTCTATCTCTTAGGGATAACCCACAATAACCATTTTATATCCTATACTTTTTACGAGAAATAATAGATTATTTACGAAGCGATTTTCAGCAATATAACATTCTTCCTTATCCAATTAAGTACCTTAAATACATTGTGCATTTAATATAAACCAATTTGGCTATTTAACGCATGTAATTTAAATGAATATTTTCGAAGATATTACGGATTTAAAATACAGGGACATAGCGGTTCCGACGCTACCGGGCGGGGGGCCTGGCGGCGCGTGCCTATTGTAATTAGGTATTAGAAGAATGTCATTGTGTATAATACAAGCCTGAGAACAAAAACTATAGTCTACACTACAGCTCTACACCGAAGCGAAGCGCGGGCGGGCCACTAGTGTGAAATAAAATTGGTGTGATTCTGTGTTACAACCGTCAGCACAACTGAAGAATTATTGTAATCTTTAAAATATACGCTATTCCGGTGAAGTGGATGTGTGAACTTTATTATAGTGTTGACTACCTCACAGAAGCTTATCGAGAAAGCTGACAAGATACATTTCGTGCCAAACGCTCCAAGAAACATTAGAATGCGTCACACTTGCATTATAATGTAAAAAATAACAATGTAAACTGAATTCTAGGCTGTATGGACATTGTTCCCTTTGCCTTTCCTAAAATAGAAAAACGTTAAAAAAACAAAAATATAATCAGAGATGCAGTGCAGTGCAGGCAGTGTTTGTTGCCAACTATACGTCTTTTTACGTAGATCTACGTATTTTAGGCCTTTTTTGCAAACCTACTAACTTCAGTCCCAAAATCTACGTATTTTCTTTAATTTGTACAAATTTGCAAAATAACATAACTCACTAGAATAGGGAAGCATATTTTCCGTTACTTATAAACTATACAAATGTTTATTTCTTATAGTTTTTTGGTACGAGGAACTTAAATACATCGATTTCACTTCATAAAATCAGAAGATGGCTGTAGTAATCTAATTTGAAAAAAATATTTTTAGTCTATACTTTTTAAACACTGAAAACGCTGTCCGCCATGATTGTGACGGCACAAAATTTGTAAACAACTAAACGTCATTGTTGTGTTACTATGGTTTCTTTCGTCGGATTAAAATATATCTAAAGACTCTTATATCTTGTAGAAGACTTTCCGTTTATTGGTTTTGTTGACTAAATTAATGCTGGACGCCGAATTTGTAAAAGCAGAAACGACAAAGCTCTCTTACTTAGTAGGTACTTACATTAATAAAATAAAATAAAATATTTTTAAACTTAAAATATTATTGAATCAGTACTTACACCGAAGTGATCTTTGCAAAAAGAAATGACTTTCAGTCGATAAAGTAACAGGATTTAGCAAGTTTTAAACATGTGTTCATGTGTAGATATGTTTATTTCTCTGGGCAATTTAAACCACAACTTTTCTGGAGTCTTTAACATTGTGATTTTACACTCTCGCATAATCATGATAATTACTACAATACATCTTTTTCGGTCTAATATAACAATTATTAACCATTTAAATCATATTTTCAAAGTGTCAACTACCCTATTTGATAACAGTGTATTCTTGTCATTCTTTATACAGAATGAAAAGGAGAGACTGATGTTAAATTTAGTGCTAAGTTTAGAGAATTATGCCAAAATTGACACCTAGCAGCGTCTGTGTCTGATGGTAAATGTCTACTACAGCATGGTAAATGCTGCCAATGTAGCGTCTTCTCCAAGAATTCTATGTTCTATCTCCTTTTTTCAAATAAATTGTATAACAAAATATTCGTTTTAACGAACTTACTTCTCTCAGAAAAAAATATGTAGATCTACGAACTTTTCATATGCAAATTTTACTAATTCTACGTAATTTTGTCATCGGGCCTACGCCTTTTTCAAAATCTGAGTTGGCAACACTGAGTGCAGGGTTGAATTTTTTACTGTATTCAAAATATTTCATAGAGAAAAGTAATAGTTGTACTACAATTTCATGACGTGTACTTCTGCCTGTGTGACAGTTGCTCGTGTAGTTGAGTCGGAGCATATTTTATTTGATGCAAGTATGACCGTACCGTAGCTTCCCTTTTAGTTTTAATCTAAGACTATGGTCATACAAAGTGAGACTTAAATATTTTAAAATTAATCCCTTACGCATTATCGTGTCGCACACTAGACAACCACAACCACGCAGAAGCTACGGTTGGACTGCGGCCAAGTATGCGAAGAAAATAAAAATAATCATTTAACATTAATACATTTATTCAAGGAAAATCTAAGCAATTATACTTATAATAATATTTACTTTATTTACAATTTGTGGCAAACCATAAAGTGTTAAGTGGATAATACCCAAAATTAAGGCTTTCATATAATTGAAAAACAATATTCCAAAAAGATATTGTAAACAGTAAATATGTTTTAATATATTACCTTCTTACAACTGTGTTACTTTTTTTAAACAAACCGATATGGACATTTATTAATTTTTATCAATTTACATCTTAAAGTCATAGGATTTTTATCCCATAATAATATACTTTTGTTTTGATTTTATTTTTTGGAAAATGCAAATCATTGCAATATATCATATTCCATAAATACTATCATAGCAATAGTCCAGAGTTACTTAAAAGAGCTTCTCGCAATTTGTATATGAAGATTTCTATTAAAACTCCAGCAACATACAAATAAATTAGATTGGAATGGAATTACTCTATAGTAATAACAATTATGCTTTCAAACCATTCACCCTTTACATACTCACTGATGAACGGTTGTTCATCCAGAACTGATGACCAGAGATAACTAGTGTGATAACATATAGTAAAGCAGCAATCCAGCAGTTGTATGCATTCTGTAAAGGAAAAAAATATTACATGTAGACAAAAAATATTATTTTATGAATTGATACTAGATACCTATATGGTAGTTTGTAACAATGAGATTCTCGTAGTTTTTAACAGTCTTAATGTATCAAAGACTGCATGATAGAAGAATAAATTAGGAGTTGCTGTGTGTTAAGAAAATTATACTCCATTCAAAACCAACCAGTACCATCATATAAATTGCAATAGCAAAGAAAACTATACTGTATCACATATGAGATCCTAGCAAAGATTCGCCTAACGCGTCAACTAACTTGATATGAATGAGTTAGGTTTATAAAGGTGTAACAATAGCCGATTTTTAAAGACTCACTTGTGTGTACCCAGTTTCCACTTCAGCAATGAATTCACCAATTTCATGGACATCAGGATCAAGAGGAAGATCTTCGAGCAATGCTACAGCCCTGATGTAATAGAAAACACCCATCAGTGTCTGAAAATCACGAGATTGACTATCAATAATCTTAGTCAAAAATAAGAACACGAGTAAATTGATAATTCTACGACTAACTTACCAGTTGTATGATTCCCCACACACTCAAAATGAGCCCGCATAGCGATAATTTAGGACCACACAATTTGCAAACCATTTTAGTAGGTTTATTTATTCAGGATTTTTGATCCCAAATCGCTAAAATAGTTATCGACCACTAGCTGTCACCTGGTGTCAAAAAGATGGAGCTGAAAACTCACATGACCTATCTTTGTCTATGAATTTAATGCCGGCACTTCTCTTAACTCTTTGTATTTGTAATAAATAATAATAAAGTGAAGTGCCGACACGAAATAATGAAATCCAAGGTGTAATTTTTTGCTTGTTGCTAAATCCCTACTTTCTCATAGCTAATCAAAGCCAGAAATATATTGAACGTGTTGTGGCGTGCCAGAAGCATATCGGTTTCATTAATTTACTATAATTAGAGACATATTTACGTATCATGTCGTGTCGACGCTTTAACCTCTCTCTCCCTCTCTAACATATAAAAAATGTATGAAACCGATGCGTGACTACACGTTTATATAATTCTGGATTTAGAAAGTCGACACGACACGACACGTATATATGTCTCTAACCCTTAGAGCATTGCTCTAAGCTCTAGCCAGTAAAAGTATAAAAACGATGTGCTTCTGACTCGCCACGACACGTAACTATGTTTCTGGCTTTAGATTATGACCAAAAGAGAAGTAAAAAAATTAATAATTTAAATTATTTATAGTGGAGGCACGCTTTGCTGGCCGTTTTGACGTTTGTGCGTTCATAAAGTTTTATATTCAAAATTAATTCCACATTTGAAAGAAATAAAGGTGTCAATTCTAGCATGATTCTCTAAATCTGAACTTAAATTTGACAGCAGTATATCCTTGTCATTCTCTATACAGAATGAAAAGGAGAGACTGATGTTAAATTTAGTTTTAAGTTTAGAGAATCACGCCAGAATTGGCACCAATGGTGTCAATTCTAGCATGATTCTCTAAATCTGAACTTAAATTTGACACCAGTGGTGTCGATTCTGACACGATTCTCTAAATCTAAACGTAAATTTAACAACAGTGCATCCTTGCTATTCACTATACAGAATGAAAAGGAATGAATGATGTTAATTCTTCATCATGTGAGGTTTTTGTAAGTGTATCCTTGTCCTGCTCTATACAGAATGAAAAGGAGAGACTGATGTTAATTTTAGTTTAAAGTTTAGAGAATTATGCCAGAATCGACACCAGTATGTGGTTATATTTACTTTATTTTTGAAATAAATATATTTTTGTTGCTCTTTGCCTTACTTATATTATAATTACAATCTCTAATATTTTTTAAGAAAGCTTTTACTGTCAAAAATATGCTATAAGCCATGGACGTATAAAAAAAGGCGGACAGAGTTTCGGCTAAGACAATACTGAGGCACCGTAATGGCGGCGGCTATTGATGAGTGAGTGAATTGTAGGGTTACCATGGATAGCCAATTTTTTACCAATAAAACAGTAAAAACATGAAAATATTTTGATTGTTCAAAATTTTACTTTTTGCCCGACTGCGGAAGATAATGATTTTCGAGCGTATGTATGCATGTATGTATGTATGTCTAATAATTTGGCACGCCCTACAGCCTGAACGTCTTGACGGATTTTGACATGCGAGGTGTCATTTGATTTGTCGTGATTGTGAGAGGCACTCGGTATATTAAAATTTCAAAAAATCAAAATAACAGATTTTATGCGCCAAAATGAAACATTTTGAAAAAAAGTATAAGTATTTTTATAACCCGTCAAGCGAGGTATCAAAGTGAAGGGTTTTAAAAGAATATTTAGAAAATACACAACTCGTGTAATTAAAAAATAATGAAATTAAAATGTCGAAAATAAAAAAAAATGTACTAAATAGAAAAAAACAAGTCCAGTAGTCTAGAATTCTGTTTAATAAGGAACAAAGTTACATTAACAGTCGGGACTCATTAAAATTCTAGAATGTATCGAATTTTCTCAATATTGGGTAAATCAACTAAATATACATGGCCTGGTCTGCAATCTCTTTCATATTTCCTAAAATAAACTAACACCCATTGAGTACTGTTTGTAATTGAAGAGTTCCATTGTTTTCCTCCGATAGTACTCATCAGATCTCCAGTAAATTAGTACGCAGCCAACTCGCTAGGAAACTGATTAAAACAAAAAAAATCATCATAAACGGTCCACGAATCTCGGAGAACTGCGCGAACAACAATAAAAATAAACAAATATGACGCAATGCGAACCTCTTTCTTTTCGAAGTCGGTTAAAAATTTTAATCAACCTTTTGAAGTAATGCATACGTAATAACACGCCGGAGTCCTCCTTTAGTTGTATATAAGTCTTGAGCTTCAAAATGAAGACTAAAAATGACACTACTACATATTTGTTTGGAAATCATTCATTTTCCAGTAATTTCTCCATACTACATTTTCTTTAGGAAATCTGATAAAAAAGAATAATAAATAATAAATTGAAGTTAATGTCAACCCAATTTCCCATATTTTAGGTAATATGGTTACATGAACATTGGCAGCACTGGGCTTTAGACTAAACATTTTGTCCTTAGAATTAAAATTGATTAAAAACTAGAAAAAAGTGATTCAATTATTCATTTACCTATAAAACGTGATTCCTGGATTTTTTTTCTTTCGGTCACTACGGTTTTTACACCTTTTTACAAGCAAGATATCTTGTATATCTTATTTTTTATCTCCACGTAACGTGTCGGCTGCTTTGACGTTTGCACGCGTAGTGGCTGACTATTGTGTGAATGTGTGCGTGCCGGCTTGTACGTACAGCGACCTGGCCGACTCTGAGCGACACAGTTTATTGTTTACCGGGACTCTGTCCGCCTTTTTTTATAAGTCCATGCTATAAGCAAAATATAGTAGTTTCGCCTACTACATATTTTTTATAAATATAGTATTTGATCCCCTATTAAAGTAGGATACTATAATTCATAGGAGGATTGGCAACTTTCATGGAATGATTGGGTATCTAAAAAAGATCTGTAGGTATGTGTGCCTGTTGTTTAATTTATGTTTACATTTTATGCTATACTTTCTGTAACAATCGTTACGACGCAATACGCATTTTAAAATATAATATAATAAATTGTATTAAAAATAAGACTACAAAAAAAAAAGTATTTCTTTACCTTCCAACACCCATTTCTACAGCGAAGTTTTGCCAGCACCTATCAACGACATTCCTATTTGAATGGTTCTTGCCTCTTTTATCCCATATAGCAGAGTTAAGAAAAACTTTCACGATAAGCGCTTCTATATTCATTATTTTAATTCTAATACACTTCCGGACACATCTATCGGCCCACCTAGCATTATAAGTTTTAACGGCCCCTAGCTAAAAGTAAATGTTAGATTGAGTAAATAGTCATTACCTACGCAGTTTTGAAGCTGATTTGATAACAATCTTTTTGTGTGTTTTTAAGATTATTCCTCAACCATAAACATATTTTTTTTCTACAGACCGTTGTAACTTATAACACTTAGTGGGCCGATAGATGTGTCCCGAAGTATATATTAATTATGAAACAAGAGTAGATCGCAAACAAGAAGCAAGGCACTAAATGTTTGTTTATAACACAACCAAGAAAAAGGTTATAATGCGATTCAACTAAGAATAGGACCGACTGGGCGCCATATTTTGACGTTACAGCTGGCAATTCAAACCAAATAGGTAGAGTGAGCAAAAAAAAGTTTCTATTTAATAAACTAAGATTAAGTGAGAAAAAACATCAGTTTTTTTAATAAAATTAATTTACTGAGATTGAGAGAAAAAACAAACTACTTTTATTAATATTTCTTTATTAAGACTGTGAGAAAAAAAATGGTTGCCTGTAAAGTCGGTTTTACGGGCGAAGATTTTACGTGACAACGTCTTTTTCTCGGTAGAATATTTATTGATATGAATATAATTAAATTGCACAATAGGAACAAGGAATTGAATGAAAATAAGAATTGCACAAATTTTAACTATAGAAATATATTTTGTTTACTAAAACATTGTACATGTAAACTTAAACTTAACACGAGAGACTCATCGTAACGTTACCGAGCGTTACACTTTTTCATAAGTGACTCCCAGCCGCAACCTAATTTAAGACGTTGTCACGTCAAAAACATTAATCAGAATCTAGCTCTTCAATTCCGCTCATCTCTGCTAATGCAGAGATGCTAATGCATGATTATTCATAACTACTCCGGCGGTAATCCGCCGGAGTAGTTATGAATAATCATGCAGGTCACATACGAACATGCATCCTATATGTAAACGAAAGTATTAAATCGAGTTTCTGAACGCAACATAAAGTGACATTTGGTTGACGATTTAGGTTATCAACCATTCATAGCCAAAGCTCATTAATGAAAAAAAATATCAACCAATATTAATCATCAATATTTGTTATTGTTTGTTTGAAATTGATTGATTTCTATTCTAGAATTAGCTGAGTGCTAAAAAAGTGTTCCGAGATTTTTTTGCAAACTGTACTTTTCAAACGACATTTGACAGATGGAGGCCATTCGCTTTTCTATTCTTAATTGAAATACAACTATAACCTGCAGTCAGGGTTACCAACTTCAGCAATTTAGGTTAGCAATTTTCGAAGCCTTGCTTCTAAAAATATAGTACCTGGCCAAAAAGTAGAATAAAAAATATAGTAAGTAAGTATGTGGTTATAATATTTACTTTATTTTTGAAATAAATATATTTTTGCTGCTCTTTGCCTTACTAATATCATAATAACAATCTCTAATATTTTTTAAGAAAGCTTTTACTGTCATTTCACTGTATTTGATCCCCTAATATAGTGGGATACTATATTTTATAGTAGGGTTGGCAACCCTACCTGCAGTCCGAGCGGCGCTGGTGAATTCAGAATCTGAAACAAGAATGACCTAAACATTCCGGTAAAGTGCCTGACTTCGAAACCTGCGCGGGCAACCAGTTGCCTGCTGCCACTATGGCCACCCTGCTTAAACTACACTGTTTATTTCTCGCGCTTGTGTTCTGAGGCTGAATCTGATTCTGAATCTGCGTGCACTGTGGCCGTACTCTTAGCTAAGGTGCTGGCTTTTGTATATTATACTCTTTATTACACATAAAAATTGTAAGATACAAAACATAAATATGTGAGCAAAGGAGGGCTCATCTCTAAGAGAGATCTCTTCCAAGGTTTAGTGAGAGAAAAAAGTAAGCGGGTGTAGAGATGTGCACTTAGTACTTACTTGCAGATTATATACCTATCGTAGACTACATACATAAATATATATTCATATGCATATACACAACTACTTACAATAAATACATACATACACACATACAGACATACATACACACACACATATATATTTATATATATACATGCCTTAGACCATTAATGGTCTAAGATACATACATAGGGTGCGGCCAGAGTGCACTCAGATTCAGATTCAGATTCAGATTCTGAAAACAAGCGCGAGAAATAAACAGTGTAGTTTAAGCAGGGTGGCCATAGTGGCAGCAGGCCGCGCAGGTTTCGGAGTCAGACACTTTACCGGAATGTTTAGGTCATTCAGATTCTGAATTCACCAGCGCCGCTCGGCAGTGTTGCCAACTCGGATTTTGAAAAATGCGTAGGCCCGATGAGAAAATTACGTAGAATTGGTAAATTTTGCATATGAAAAGTACGTAGATCTACGTACTTTTTTCTGAGTGAAATGAAGAAGTTAGGTGAAACCGAATTAAACGAGTATTTTATTATACAATTTCTTTAAAAACGGGCGATAGAACAAAGAGTTCTTGGAGAAGTCGCTGCATTGGAAGCATAAATGCTTTCAACTATACCATACCACAGCATGGTAAACCATGCTGTGGTAGACATTTACTATCAGACACAGACACTGGTGGATGTCGATTCTGGCATGATTCTCTAAATTTAAAACTAAATTTAACATCAGTCTCTCCTTTTCATTCTTTATAGAGAATGACAAGGATACATTGTTGTTAAATAGGCTAGTTGACACTTTTTGCAATTATGTTTTGAAATGTTAATGATTGTTCTATCAGACCGAAAAAAAATGTATTCTTTTTACCTACAAGACATACAAAAACGCTGTATATTCTATAGACTTATCTATGCTATGACGTCAAAACATTTGTAAACGAACACACGCAAGCACGTAGGAAATAAACTTTCCGAGTTAATATTATAAAACCATGATTTCTAATAGATCACATGAAAAATTTAGTAGTTATCATGATACACTTGGTAAAAGACTAGAAAAGTTGTGGTTTAAATTGCCAAGAGAAAAAAACATACTTCATGAACACATGTTTAAAACTTGCTTAATCCTGTAACTTTATCCACTGAAAGTCATTTTTTTTGCAAAGATCAATTCGATGTAAGTACTCATTGAATAATATTACAGTTTAAAAATACAATTTTCAAGGTTATGAATGTTTTTTAATAACCAAAAAATTTTGTTTCTTTTTATAGTTCGCCATAATTTTGTACCCTAATTGAGTGGATTATATAAATATAATATTTGTGATAGTATAGTAAATTGTAAATTAAAAGCTGTGAATGAAATTTTAAGTTCTTAAGAGCAAACATATATAAAGTCTTATATTAAACAAAACTGCTATATTATTAGTCATTATCTATGTTTATAATTTTTTTATGATAATATTTACTTTAAAATTTTAAAGTTTAACATAGATATGCAAAACTCATTAAAAAAAAAAAAAAATGTTATTTGTCATTAAAAATAATTTCATTAACATAGCATTTTTTTGTATTATTAATGATTGTTCCTACATATACTATAAACCATACAAATTATTCAAATTACACTACCCTCGCGAATCCAGACCCAGCTTTCCGGTTAATCCGGACAGTCTGTTCCCATCATATCCAGATTAGTGAGATTGTAATAAATTCTTACCTAATGGTTATAACAAGGCGTTCTTCTGGAAGAATCTTGTGTTTGTGCAAATTACACCAATTCTTCATCATTTGAGGTTCACATTTTTTTAAAATGTAGTAGAACGTTTCCACTTCCATCCTAAAATATTGGAAGAAACGTTTCCTATCATCTTTGAATTGGGGAAACAAATGGTGGTATTCCCCATATTCACTCCTTAATTTATTAATTTGGTGAACACCGATTCTCTCGCGTTTTAATTTATAATGACAACTATCAGTAGCCATTAACAAGCACGCTAGATCTTCATTAGAAAATTCCATGTTTAAGTTTCTGGATCAACGAACATATAACAATGTACTCTATGACTCCGTACGCGTCGAATGAGAAAGAGAGACTGTTGAATGACTGTCGATTGCGACTTTGTACAGATTAAAAGTTTATGAAGTGGTTTTATTTTTATATAAAAATGTAATAAAAAAAAATTTCCGTTTCGCCCAAAACAAAATTTCGCTTTAAAACCCCCCCAAATTTCGGGTAACTCCCCCCCAACCTGGCAATAGTGCTCGCGTCCGCGTCTTGTAATCTGCCTCCACTGTGGCCATCACCTGCTTTGCTCAAGCTGACATCTCACGAGCCTGCTTTCTGAATCTGAATCTGAATTTGAATCTGAGTGCACTCTGGCCGCACCCATAGGGTGCAGCCAGAGTGCACTCAGATTCAGATTCAGATTCAGATTCTGAAAACAAGCGCGAGAAATAAACAGTGAGTCTAAGCAGGTTGCCTGCTTTTTCTCGCGCTTTGTTTTTTCAATTCAGTCTGAATCTGAATCAGGAGTGCACTCTGGCCGTACCCTTCGACTACACTGTTTATTTCTCGCGCTTGTTTTCGGAATCTGAATCTGAATCTGAATCTGAGTGCACTCTGGCCGCACTCATACACTATAAAATAATAAATACACATTTCATGATATTATGTTAAAATAAAACAAAGAGTGGAATAAATAGACAACTAAGAGTGTGAATTTATTTCCAGAAAGTGCTCTTTACCTTTGCTTTAAAAGAGACAATAGAAGGACAGTACTACTATTTGTAGAATTTCTTCGATTTAAAATAGGCGCACGTAGTTGGCAACATTTTTAGTGAATGACACATTAATCTGAATCGTATCTTTCACATCTACAAATTGAAATTAAATTTTCTTTAGAATGGTTGATCGTTTAGGTACTTTCTTTTATGTATAAAGTGAATCCTTGGTGATCTCTGAACTAATACCGTGTGGCTTTCATTTGTATATTTGCTGAAAATAAACTGTGATCATTGTCATTGTTTGCTTGTTCACTTTCTTTTGACGTCAAGCTTTATTAGCACCATAATTCTATGTACAATTATTGTTACAGTAAACAGTGAAGCCAATGCTAGGAGAATTACAATGGTTGAAAACTGCTTCGGCAGTTCTGGGCAGGTTAGTTACATCTGCTGTTTTAATAATTTACATACCATCACTGCACCTTATCAACCAAAACCCGCAAAGATAGCGGGCTAAGTGCTTGTTTCGTTCGTTATATCATACTACTGATATCTCTGTTATCAGTATGAATATTTTTATAGGGATTTTAACATGAATTTTATACCTAATTAGTAGGTAGGTACTTTAATTTTACTGTACATTGACACCTATTAGGCCTTGCTTGTTTTCAAATTCAAAAATGAGAAAAAATGAAATGTTCTTTATTATATTGATAAATATTTACAATTTTACTTAGAATCTGAATTCAGTGAAAATACATGAATAGAGAATATACCTAATTTATTAAATTTTTATTTCACTATAAACTCATATTTTAAATAAGTAAATGAAATAGCTAGTTAGTTTCTGAAAATTTTTATTGTAATTTCTTATGATGTTCATATCAACTTTCAACCAATGATTTTCTGTTTAAGCCACTGGCAGAACAAGGCAGAGTCCTTGTGGGAGAAGGTGTCCTGACAAAAATGTGTCGGAAGAAACCTAAGGCCCGTCAGTTCTTTCTATTTAATGATATCCTTGTATATGGGAACATTGTTATCAACAAAAAAAAATACAATAAGCAACATGTTATTCCCTTAGAAGAAGTAAAATTGGAATCACTAAAAGATGAAGGACGTAAGTTTTTATTTATCTTTATAAAATAATATAATATACAATTTGTAAATACAAACCTGATGGCTTTTACATTTAAAATTACACTTTTAAATGTATTTTGTATTAATCCTATATTTAAATACTAATGTTTATAGTTTTAAACCTCATAACTGGTTCATTACACAAGTTACAAAGTTTTTGAATAAAAGGGGTCGGCTTAATTTGTTACAAATTTTTATACAGTTTACAAAAAAGATGAGTTATCCTTTCTAAAGAGCAAGAAAATAAAATAAAAACAAATTAAACAGAACTACCCTATGTTGCTTGCCAAAATTGTATATTTATATAACTATACAAACTATTGTACCTAACTTATGTTTGTAGATAACACCTAAATATATTATAAACAATATATGAAAAAATATAATACAGAAAAAGCTAATGTGACTCATATTAACCAAGTGACTCACACTGATGCTTTAAATACCTACTCTCTTATCATAGATACTGTCATTTGCATTGATTTCTTGTAAAGGAAGTAATAACTTTGACCTTTATGCTTTACTAATGGTATTAGTTCCTTAGAAATGCTAATTCGACTAATTTTGTCTATAATTAGGATTGGCAATATTTCCTACAAAAGTTGTTATTATCTTATTAAATAATGAGGTTTCGTTTTATTAATGGAACATCTATTAGGTCCTACTGAATTTTTTAATTGTTGAACTGCTTTTACTATATAGAATCTTTTTTTTTACTTACATTATGTCATTATATCATGAAACTTGACATTGCTTTGCCAATAATTAAAATATTTATGTTTGAATTATCCTCGCCGTTGTTGAAGAATAATATGACGATAATTATACTATATAAAATAAAACAAGTTTCAACGGGTTAAATGCACAGATTTTATTTATTTTGCAGCCTTTTCAGGAATGCATCATCAGAATAATTATTTTCAAATATATCAAAATTAAATAATTATATATTGAATATATTTTGTAGAATATCGCAATGGTTGGTTGATACGTACTGCATCAAAGTCATTTGCTGTATATGCAGCTACAGCTACAGAGAAAGAAGAATGGATGGCTCACATAGAGAAGTGTATAGAAGATTTACTTAGGAAGAGTGAGTATTATTTAAAAACATTAGGGGTTTGCTATTTTTATTTTATCATTATCAGATTGGCCTGTAAATGTTCTCTTCTGTTGATAAGCATTTCTTCCTTATGAAGCCATATGGCTTCATAAGGAAGGAATATGAAGTAAACATGCCATTTAGGCCCCAATTCTGCTTGACAAAGGTTATGTGAGAGTGCCACTTAAAATTTTTTTTGTTAATTTACTATCAGGACTATTTGCATTTCCATCGATCACTCTTATGTAACAATAAAAATAAATCGTAATAACTTGTCAATATAATTTATATACTTAGTGAGAAAACAGAATTCTATAAGCATACCTCTGCTCTCTGTGGGCAACTAAAATAGGTAGATACCAGAAATCTATGACATAGAATGAGCGGTTACTGTTTTGATAATCAAAACAAAAAATAATAAACTGACTCCACCTCTAAAACTTGAGCTTTTGAAGTGAAAACTTCTTTAGCACCGTTATGAATTGAGATTCTATGAAAAGGAAGTAGAGTAATTGAAACAAGATAAGTATCCATAATTTTATAATTTACCATAAGAGACTGATAGCCCAACGGTAGCGGTCTTGGGGTCGACACCAACTGATTGGTGGTTCGATCCTGAGCTCAGTAGTTTTTTTATTATAAAATGTTAAATTTTGACCTAGAGAGTTGAATTTTAACATAGGTGTTGTCTTTTAGATGTGCCTAGTCATGAAGGACTATTACATATTCACATTTTTGTAGGTTTCACTTCTATCGCATATGAACAGCACATGTCCTTTTTTTAGCTGATTTAAAATATTGTAATGAGGTATTAGAACCCTTTGTCTGCGAGCCCTACTCGTACCCAACCGATTTCAATTTTGAGGTGATCTCATAGTTTATTGTTTTATTGTTTAGGTGGAAAACAGCCACCATCAGAGCATGCAGCTGTATGGGTACCAGACAATGAAGCTTCCATCTGTATGCACTGCAAGAAGACACAGTTCACTGTCCTCAACAGGAGAGTATGTATAATAACTAATAATAAATAAATATTTCGAACACTCACACCAACTAGCCTTGTCCCAAAGTAAGCACTATAGACTTGTGTTGTGATACACATATAAGTATATTTATATAGAAATGCATATTGAACATCCATGACTGCACGGACCTGAAAAAAAGACGGACGTAATGTCAAAGGCAAATCATGTGAAGCCTGCAAGGTCAGACAAAATCGTGTGTTGTACACTACATACACTCATACTAATGCACCAGGTTGGACAATCGGCTGCCATTTGACCCCGCGTGACAGCACCAGTCACACGTTCAATTGCTCCGATAATTTATTTTAAAAATGCCGTCTTGTATGGCGAAGTCTTGTAAAAACTACACGAAAAATTTTAAAAAGTCACAAGGAATCACTTACCATGCGTAAGTATTAACGATTCTTGATAATTATTCTATATTATCTTTTATTTACAAGGATGAAAATTTTAAATAAAAATACAACTGTGTGGCTACTTTATTTATTTACGGGATTTTTTCCCGAAAAGTAGGGAAATTTGTATTTCTGCATTTGTGACTAGGAAATATTGGAAATATTCATTGGAAACCGAAGAACATTTTCAAATACAGAAATTAATCACTCTATACCAGGAGCGGATCATGAAATAAAAATGAAAAGATTGATAAAATGCATTATTCAAAAGTATTTGAATGTTCGTTTCCATCATACTTCTAAAATTGAAAGTATTTCCCGTAAATCAAACAACAAAAGACAAGTGTGCAAAAAGTTGACACAACATAAGGGATTTTAGCGCATCTGTACAAATTATACATTTAGCTTGATAACTTTATATTTATTTCTTTTTCACGTCCACAACTCACTAATACTAAACACTTTTTCACACATTTCAACGGTGCTCTTCAACATCTTTATATATTTCTTAACGCGACGCAACGTTTCGGATTTTTTACAACGATTAGGAGATTTAAAAAGTAGGGAAATTGATGATTTACCCGTCAACCCTCAAATCACGCACACGCGGTAAGCGAGCAGCCATTTGCATGCTTTACTCGCGATTAGACGAGGTTACGTCCGTCTTTTTTTCAGGTCCGTGCATGACTGGAGTACAAATGTTCGTATTTATCACACAAACATCTGCCGCCACCTGGATTCTAACCCGAGATCTCTAGTAAGCGATATTTTGAAACCCCGCGTACATACCACTCGGCCACGTCAAATGAGAGTCAAATGCATAGAACTCTTTTTATATAGTATCAACATTTTCGACGGCCGGTTACCATCAACTGGGTCATTGATTGTCATTGATTGACCAACCATAATATAACATTGACGAGACGACCTCCGTGGCCGAGTGGTTTGTGCGCCGGGTTTCATGGTGTCGCCGACTCGAGAGGTCCCGGGTTTGGCAGATGTTTGTGTGATGAATACGAGCATTTGTACTCCAGTCATGGATGTTTAATAGGTATTTCTATATAAATATACTTATATATGTACTGTATATGTATTCTATCCGTTACCCTAGCATCCCATAACACAAGCCTTACAGTGCTTTCTTTGGGGCTAGGCTAATTGGTGTGGTGTGGAAAATTATTATTTATTATTATTTATTTATAACATTAACAAAGTGCTCTGCGAGAGTAGAACAAAAATCAATAATTCCACAGCAAACTAAGAATGGATTTAATCTAATATCTAATCAATATGCCTTTCTAAACAGCACCATTGCCGCAAGTGTGGTTCCGTAGTTTGCGGGCCGTGTTCTTCGAAGCGGTTCGTGTTACGAGGGCAGAGCGAGAAACCTCTGCGAGTCTGTCTTCAGTGTTACGATGAACTGAACAGGGAACGCGCGCGCCCTCCCAATGCACCGGCGACCAACGCACCCATCCCGGGTAAGAAAATATATGATTCACTTTAAAAAATAATCTCACCTATGAAACCTCTAATTAAAACATTTCACTACTAAAAAACGTTAAGATCAGTACACCGTCTCAGTTTGAATAAAAATAACAGATTTGGCCTTGCCTATATAATAATGTATGACAACTAAAACTATGGACGTAAGACTTGGCACTATGGCTTAGTACCTTCGCCTGTCCCAATGGACGAAATTAAACTACTACTACTACTCAGTTTGAATAACAAGCTTCTCATTTATAAAGCGGTATTAAAACCGATTTGGACTTACGGCATTGAACTTTGGGGTACAGCGAGTAACTCAAACCTAGAACTCCAGCAGCGATTCCAAAACTCAGTGTTTTGCACCATACTGAATGCTCCGTGGTTTGTGAAACGCACAGAAATGCACGACTACTTGCAAAGCAACACTATAAAGGAGGAAATAAACGCTATAGCTAAGCGTTACCACGGCAGACTTGTTCACCATGTTAATAAACTTGCGGAGGCTCTCACCTGTGTTAGCAAACACACCAAAAGACTCAAAAGATGTACTATTGGTGAGCTGGAAAACAGGCATTAACTGGAGATTAGTATGGAACAATGAGAGAAGAGCTTTTTGTTGAAAAAGCCATCTCGCACGCCCGAAAAGACATTGAAATGTTCTGCTTATAATGTAGACTGATCACAGAAAGCGGTATCTCAAAAAAAAAAGGTCAGTACGCCAAATTAAGGTCACTCAACGAGCTATGTAGGGATTTCTCTGATAGACCGAATCCAGAGCTAAATAAATCGCCAGAAAACGGGAGTTACTGACATAGCTTAACAAATAAGCGAGCTCATCATCAACCTAATGTCCTCACTGCTGGGAATAGGGAGATAAGACCACGACATGCCAGTAATTCGCCAGAAAACTGAAGTTACTAACATAGCTTAACGAATAAGCGAACTTGTCATCAACCTAATGTCCCCACTGCTGGGAATAGGGAGATTAGACCACGACACGCCACACGGGCCCAGTGCGAATAAAAGTGTGCTAACAATTGCGGATACAGCCGGCCCAACGCCTTAATGCTTACATGCTTAGATTAAAACAAAAAGGGAAGATACAGGTAGATAAAGGGATAAAAGTGATCTGCTTAAATTATGATGCACGATCACAATTCACTGTAGTCGCAATTGGACATTTAAACACTCTGCATGTACATTCAATATAACAATATTGCGTTTATTCTGTGTTATAAAGATAAAGCAATGCCTTTAATGCTTTTATAAAGAACACAAATAGGTCAAAATCGAAAATAAATGCCTCGGCAACGTCATTCATTTACAGTTCGCGCCGCGTTCATCTGCAAAATTCTCTCCTAATTTCGATAGGACGTGCGGAATCGATTCGCGTTTTCAAAAATCTCGTGAAGTCCCATTATTTGTCTTTGTAACATTTTTGTTTTTATTCTTGTCTTGTAGTGAAGGCAGTCGACAACGCCGGCTCCGGTGGCGACTCGTCGCAGGACGACGACAGCGACGACGACGATGAACGGCCCAGTGCAGAGGAGAAACATGACGAGGTATGGGCATATCATTCATATGTTTACTAGCGACCCGCCTTCGCTCCGCTTCGGTGTAGACTATAGTTAGAGCAAGCGCACATTGAACCACTAGTGGTGGCCACTAAACGCTAAAGCTGCGGTCGAGTACTATACTGTTAAAGATATCATTAATGATAACGCACCTTGGGCTTTACATGCCCCCCTATAAGCTATAAATTAATAAATTCGATTGAACATTACTGAACTTCATATTGGCGATAATAAAAAAAAAGTTAAGCTCAATATAAACGGGCAATAAGTAAAAAGAGCATTTTTAAGAAGTTTTGATTGTTTTTCTACTTTTGCAATATCATGGTCTGTCTGACATCACTTTTGTGTTTATTAACGTGGATTTTGAACATATTGTTAGATATTTATTACTAAACAGTTTTAGAACATGTGCCTCATTTGATCCCGATTTTTCGCAGAATTGGGTCTTTTTACTTTTCTTTTAAGCCAGTGGTTGAGAACCCTGTAATGTTTATTTGCATAATTTATAACTTCTCTTTGTAGTGCTCAATGCAAATGCTTACATGTCAATCTGTCTGTAATACTGAATACGGAGACACAGAAGCTTGTGTGAAAAAACTTGTGGAATTATAACAAAACTTATGTTCACTTACGCTTACATGTAAACTTAATACGGTAGTAATCGATACGGCTGCTTGTCAACGGTGGGATTCGAATAGATGGGCTTCTGTGAAATAACTGAGAAAATTATTGTTAGGTATTTTCTAGAAATGTGGCAGTATTCTGATTCTATTCTTTGTTCCTAGTTCAAACGCCACGCGAGACAGCATCCGCAAAAATTGTTACATTAAATTGAGTCTTATAACACATAAATAAATCACAAACTCGCTTTAAATTATACAATACAAAACACTTTATTGTAAAATATTTCATGAATGCTCTGGAGAACGAAGCTTGTATGCGACGGAAAGAGAATAGATTACGAGGTTTTACTTGTCGTAAACTGTGAAAAAACCTATGAGCGACTGTTTTGTTTTAAGGAAATATTTTACTACAAGTCGACTGCAACCGTTAACGTTGATACGTAAAATCTGAGATCATAACGATTAATAATATTAATAAGAATGCTTATTTTATCGAATCGAAAATTAATTTGTTAAACTGCAACAACATTTTACATAGCCAACTATTTGTATAATGAATCCAATGCTTTATTTTTAGGGATTCACAAGTTATAACGGTGTCAAAAACGGCTACAGCAATAAAGTTACAGCAGTATAGTACAAAGTGAGAGCGTGTAAGTGAAATAGCTAGAGTTCGGTCATGCTTCACGAATTCATCACACGTTTTACTTTGTTTGGTTTTATTGTGTTTGTTTTTCCATCGCCATCAATTGGGGTAACTTACTATACCAAGCTCTGGTTATAGATTATGTGTGTTGATTGAATTCTCACTTTGACTATACCATCTCTTGAGTTTTTTTTTGTACGAATCTTCGTCGATGTTTAAGTTTTGGTTTGGCTATTGGTTTGTTGTGTTGAGTTTCGGCCAAAATGTTATGGGTTTTTTTTGTTTTTTTGTTGTGTTTTTCCTAACCCCGCTACAACTTCATGTAAAATAGCGACTTTATTGAACTGTACATAATAGTAAAATAAGTAAGAATTGGGGCAGCAAAAAAATTGCTTATAGAAAATTGTTTTAGTTTAGGTAGTAACTAATATTTTAAAAAGGGGAATACCTATTATTAAAGTAATATTTTAATCATAATAACCATGGACTTATAAAAAACCCCGGACAGAGTCCCGGTAAACAATAAACTGTGTCGCTCAGAGTCGGCCAGGTCGCTGTACGTACAAGCCGGCACGCACACATTCACACAATAGTCAGCCACTACGCGTGCAAACGTCAAAGCAGCCGACACGTTTCGTGGAGATAAAAATAAGCTAAACAAGATATATTGCTTGTAAAAAGGTGTAAAAACCGTAGTGACCGAAAGAAAAAAAATCTAGGAATCACGTTTCATAGATAAATGAATAATTGAATCACTTTTATCTAGTTTTTAGAAATCGAAATCAATTTTAATTCTAAGGACAAAATGATTAGTCTAAAGTCCAGTGTTGCCAATGTTCATGTAACCATATTACCTAAAATATGGGAAATTGGGTTGACATTAACTTCAATCTATTATTTATTATTCTTTTTTATCAGATTTCCTTAAGAAAATGTAGTATGGAGATATTACTGGAAAATTAATGATTTCCAAACAAATATGTAGTAGTGTCATTTTGTACTATATTAGTTAACACTGGTTTAATTATGATTTAAATAAAAGACTTCTATTCCATGCTGAATTTATTAATTGAAAAGTCACTGTCACAGATTAGTGAGTATTCACATAAGTGTCATCAAATGTTGCCATACATATATCACACACATTTTTAGTCTTCATTTTGAAGTTCAAGACTTATATACAACTAAAGGAGGACTCCGGCGTGTTATTACGTATGCATTACCTCAAAAGGTTGATTAAAATTTTTAACCGACTTCGAAAAGAAAGCGGTTCGGAATGCGTCATATTTGTTTTTTTTATGGTTGTTCGCGCAGATCTCCGAGATTCGTGGACCGTTTATGATGATTCTTTTTTTGTTTTAATCAGTTCACTAGCGAGATGGCTGCATATTAATTTACTGGAGATCTGATGAGTACTTTCGGAGGAAAACAATGGAACTCCTCAATTACAAACAGTACTCAATGGGTGTTAGTTTATTTTAAGAAATATGAAAGAGAATGCAGGCCAGGCCATCTATATTTAGTTGATTTACCCAATATTGAGAAAATTCGATATATTCTAGAATTTCTCCTGAGTCCCGACTGTTAAAGTAACTTTGTTCTAGACTACTGGACTTGATTTTTTCTTTTTAGTACATTTTTTTTATTTACGACAATTTAATTTCATTTTTTTTAATTACACGAGTTGTATATTTTCTAAATATTCTTTTAAAACCCTTCACTTTGATACCTCGCTTGACGGGTTATAAAAATACTTATACTTTTTTTTTCAAAATGTTTCATTTTGGCGCATAAAATCTGTTATTTTGATTTTTTGAAATTTTAATATACCCAGTGCCACTCACACAATCACGACAAATCAAATGACACCTCGCATGTCAAAATCCGTCAAGACGTTCAGGCTGTAGGGCGTGCCAAATTATTGGTATACATACATATGCATACATACGCTCGAAAAACATTATCCTCCGCAGTCGGGCAAAAAGTAAAATTTTGAACAATCAAAATATTTTCACCTTTTTACTGTGTTTTATTGGTAAAAAATTGGCTAACCTAGCAACCCTACAATTCACTCACTCATCAATAGCCGCTGCCATTACGGTGCCTCAGTTTTGTCTTAGCCGAAACTCTGTCCGTTTTTTTATACGTCCATGATAATAACCAATATAGTGCACTGGCATCTGTGCACGCGACTACACTTGAAATAAGTCATTTTTATTAATAATTATATAACCATCTTCACATACTTTCACCCATTCTTTTACCAAAATGTTGACTGTTTTAACTTTCATTTTTACAAAGGAATGGATGTCAATTCGATTTCTATGTCACCGTTACGTTAGCGGAATACGTTAACTGTATAAGACCTCTGTTTTGTATTCGACGTTTCGCGCACATCAATTAACTTTAAATTGTAAAAATGATCAAATATTATTTTTTGATCATTTTTACTCATTAATATTCATTATTTAATATTAATAATCAAAATTGACAAATTGTAGAAAACGATCTCACGTCATTTACTAATGCTTAGGGAGTCCAATAAAAGTATATATTTTTAATTTTGTTGAGTAATTCCGTAAAAAAATATTAAAATTCAATTTTCAAGTTGCCATGAAAACATTTCTCTGGACATTATGTCGTCTCACTACACACGACTGTCGTCAAAACGCTGAGCGATACAATATAATGTCACTTTGACCGGAAGTTTACTAGCGTGCGACGTCATTTTAATTTTGGCCAATCCGAGGCGTTTTTGGTCACGTGACCATGGAGCAAAAAATCATTTCTATTTACTGATTTCATAGAAAAGTTATTAATTATTTGTTCTTTCAGAATATTAAAATCGCTGCTTATATTCATATTAAATACAGATGCCAACAATTGGTACATTATTTTTCATACTGTCAAATAGCCTATTGAAGTTAGTCAATCAAAGTTGAGCCTTGCTTGAGCTTGAGATTTTAACTCGGTAATGGGAAACCAATTCCACCAACTAAACAGATCGAGCGCAAGAGATTATCAAAATTTAACAAGGGCAGTGTCAGGGCTAGCAACTTCTTCAGCTGTACGTACACATTGTTGATTCAGGAGTAATACAGTATCAAGTCATGACAAATATTATATTAAAGATAATTTTGTCATAATGAAACTTCTCGATAAGTAGTATTTTACCGCCTTATTACAAAATGTAGACTAAAGTTAAACCTGGACTAAAACTGATGGAGTCACTTTTGTTCATAAAAAGAAGACGGAAACAACATTACGTTTAAACCAAGGCCGACTTTAGTCCGCGTTTTGGAATATTTGCGTCAAACTGGAGTTCTAGAAACTACAACATAAGAAAGGGACGTAATCATGGGTTTTTTTTCTATATTTTATACCTCTTATTAATCTTGAAGAAGCGATATGTTTCATAGTTAAGAAACTACAGTTGAAACGGGATATAACGACATTGAAGGGACCATATAACTTTAGACGTTATGTCCGATAGTTATTATAAGCAATAATACACAAGTAGTCATATTATTGTCATATGTATGTATGAACTATGGTTATAGATAATGAACATAAGCTTGTTTTCAAATAAAATATCAAAAAATAAAGTATGAAAAAATTTAAGTACCTGCATATTTGTTTTGCTGGAACAAGTAAAACGGTTGGTCGTTATAGCCGATAAATATCGATATGAACTTTAAATAAAACTAGTTTTAACGGGTTATTGCACGAAACTTTATTTATTTATTGACGTTTCGCAGCCTTTTCAGGTCTGCATCATCAGAATACTGATAATAAATAAAGTTTCGTGCATTAACTCGTTAAAACTAGTTTTATTTAATAAGTGATGTGCGTGAAAACCTAAGAAACGGATATGAACTTTATCAATATTATTTAGCTATAAGTCGTTTTACGCACTATTTCGCTATATCCGGTGTTGTTATAGGCGGTTTGTTTTCTTAAGTGTTTATGTAGGTTTTTGGTTGGGACCTTACCATTTATTCTTAATAACCGACACGTCGTTATAAACGATGTCTTTATATTCGGTTTGAATGTACCTACATATTGACATTGTGTTATATTCCTTTATAATTATTTATTTAAATGTATGTACTGGCAATTTATTCTTTCTTTCAACACTTTCAGCCAAAGTTCTACGGTGATGGTGATAAGACTGAAGAGACAAACAACCATTCGTCCAAGGAGTCGGCCAAGTGAATCGTGCACCACTGTCCAAATACAGGTTTACTGATAAGGGTTTATGTTTTTTTTTTATATACAAACTTTTTCGGATACGCCTAGGTCATCACTTCGTCCTTCCGTTGTGTATCGTACAAGACCGTTTAATTTACATTGACAATAAAAAAGGTCACATTAACCCCTTCTTATCATGAGTTAATCGTAATGGGCGTCTTGTTCTATTTCCATTGGTTTGTCAACGATACTACAGTTTTGATGTGATATAAGTTAAGAAAAACGAAACTCTCATAGTTTTCATACCTGAATCACACTATTTACTACTACTAAGTTAATACTTCGAAACTCGTACGCAAGTACGAAATAGCTGGTTTTTCTACAGAAATCATTTTACTCCTAAGATTTGATTAGTCTTCTGGCGGAGTTAATCACTACACTACACTTACAATTCGGGTCCAATTCAAATGAAAACTTTACGCAACGGAATTTTATATTTTGTATTCTCTACAGAATAAAAATTTGGAACTTTTTTTTTATGTCACCCGTAATCTTATAATTCACCAAGATTGCCTTTTTTATTATAGTTAGAAATGCTAGATATAACTTTTTCCCTGTATTCTGTAGTACACATTTTTAAAAATAACCTTATTATATTTTGGACGAGTTATTCGAAGAGTTGTCAGCTTTAAACTCGCTCAAACTTTAACCTTGTGAGCTTTGATTTAATTTTTTCGTTTTCTTATCAACTTGAAGTCGTATTTATTTACTCTGAACACCTTTAACATGGTTCTAATCGATATTCTAACATATAATTTAAGCTTAGTTATATGGTTATGTCAATACATATTTAATATTTACATGAGTTAGCATATTTTATTATAAAACTTTATCATAGTTTCTATTTTGCTATTTCGATTGTTGAATATTGCGGATTGGTTTAAAATAAGGGTAAACTAACTTGGAAATACGTTCATGTTTTAACAAAGTTAATGTTAGGTAAAGCAATTGGTTAGTTGAAATTTTAGATAAACCTAGGTACTTCATCTTTTTGAAACTATGATTTTTAATATAGTTTAATTTGCATTTATTATGAAATTACTGTACAAATTTTCGCATTATTTTATGAATAATGTCCACTTACATAGCTTTTGGGGAACGTTAACTTTGATTCTTGTAGTCCAATAAAATACTTCGCAAAAATGTTACATTTCCAAGTAGTTGTATTTTTATTAAATTATGTAAACGAATGCTGTCCCGTCATTGTATATGTATATTAGAATTTTAGGTGTAAGAGGTAAATGAGTTAAGTTTCTTTGGAAACGCGGTTTTTAGTTTTATAAGTATTTAATTATAGGTAGCTTGTTTACAAGAATCATATCCAATGACTTTCAAGTCGCCTAACTAGGTCTCTTTTATTTATTAATAAATTGTATAACTTAGGCCTAAACTTCAATATGTTACTCGATCACTGTTTGTTAATTCCCAAAATATTGCTAAGCGAAATATGTTAAGATATTGTTTAATTTTCAGTTGACAAATATACAATAATATTTTTTAATCTTGTGTTTAATTTATTCCTTATAGGGAAATATATAGGTTAACTTAGTAGTCCATACCATTCCACAACGATAGGAATAAAATACTTTCTTCTACCTGTCATGGATTTAAAATAGTGTTCAACTGTATTCTATAACTAAATAAAATGCAAAATGAAACGAAACATATTTTTAACTCACATTTATTTTAATATCAATCCATACATAGTTATATCCTTATAGTACAAAAACAATCTATTTATTATTCACAGCACCATCGTTTATAAAATTCTAAAAGATCTGCATTGATATCGCATAAAATTAATCAACTGTTCTTATTTTGACATCCATCAATATTTTTCTTACACGATATACATACAATACCTATGTATGTATGATGTTAAAACTGGGTATAAAAATATCGTTTGCAATCTTTACTGCTTACTATGATGATAATAAACTAGCTAGCAGTGTTAGCAGCCAACTCGAACCATTGTCTGAGAGCATCTCCCAGGACGGTAGGTAACGCAGACATATCTCTTAGAATCAAGTAGAACGGGAAAGGGAATGTGTCGAGATAAGGCACGAATGCAGTGAGGGTGTTGGTGACTGGGTCCAATATTGGGCGCCTGATGTCCATAATTGAGTCCTGAAACAATATTGTTTATGAAATTAATTTCATGATATAGTTCTTAACAGAATTGTTACCATGTACAGAAACGCCGATTAACCGAATCGCCAATTATCCGAAATTTTTGTTTTGTTTTGCTGTAACAAGTTGGAACTCGCTGGAATGCAGATATATTTCAACTATTATCTGAACGATTTAAGCTTAATCAAATGGACTTGATCAAGCTTAAATCCTTCCGCAAGTAGCATGTCCTTTCAAAATGTCTTCCCAGACGCGGTTCTTTTGCCTTGATCGAGTGGCAGGATGGTGAGTGGCCACCATTAGTGAAGAATGGACTGAACGACGCCCTTTTAAAATTGAAATCTTTCTGGAAAATTGGCAAAAGAAAAAACCGGCCAAGCGAGTCGAACTCGCGCACCGAGGGTTCCGCACAAACCTGTAGGTATATTTTAATAATTATTAAAAAATATTTTTGTTTATATGATGTAACTAAAAATTTACGTATTTCGCAATTTTTCCTTTATCTGTTCTATAAGACGTTACTTCGTACCAAATTTCAAGATTCTAAGTTCACGGGAAGTACCCTGAAGGTTTTAGATTCCCGTGCGAGTTTCGAAAATTTGCGGCATAAACGGCTTTATCTTTTGATTGCTTTGGCGTAGAAGTTTGATTTTTGCACAGCTTCAAGGGACATTAGACCTGAGTATTAGCTAGAATTTCAGTTTATACCTCCACGCGTTTCTGAGAAAAACGGTCTTGACAGACGGACGGACAACAAAGTGATCCTATAAGGGTACCGTTTTTTCCTTTTGAGATACGGAAGCCTAAAAAGAAAGCGATTGAGCAACCCATACCTATACGAATTATAGGCCTCACGACCGCTCCTTCTCTCTCACACTTATCTGCCCAATTTTACGTGTATAAGTCGATAAATATTTTACTAAGAAAAATGTTGAAATTTACCTTATTATCAGGATTGTCTATTATCACGTAGACAAGGAATATCCCCTGCTGCCTAGCCCGTCTTACGGCCTGTATGACCCTCGTTTCACCTTCAGAGAATATTCCTCTACCATCGCTCACTACGACCAGAAGCTTAGCGTTCAATGCGTCACTTCTGACCGCCTGTTCTTCAAATAGGACCGTACAGAAATCTACGAGCTCAGCAATTCTGGTCTTAGTCTGTTCGAAGCGCAGTTGCTCGAGGATCTTGGAGCCGGAATGCTCGGAAAACTGTTCGGTGAAAGGGTGAAGGAGGTTCGGTTTCTCGCCGAAACTTAATACTGCTAAGTCACCGGATTCTAGGAGATTCAGCGCCTGCGAATTGTTAAATTTCATTAGGTAACTTTGATATAAACAATTTAAAAAAAAATGTACCTGTGGTTGTATCGGAAACATTTCTAACAGCCTTATTGCAAAACCGGACTAAAGTTAGTTTTGGTTTAAACCCTAATGTTGTCTCTGTCTTCTTTTAGCAAAAACAAAATAGACCATGGCAATTTTAGTTCAGGTTTAAATTTATTCTACGTTCTGTAATAAGGCGGATTAAGTCTATCAAGTAGAAGGTAATGGACCATTACTTATGTAATTATGTTTACAGTAAATTTTGGCCACGAAGCGAAATTCGCCTTGTAAATAAACCAAAAATCCGGTGCATGCGAATGAAAAGAAAATGAAAAATGCTTTATTGGCCATCATAAACATAGCATATGACAAAAATAAAAGTTAATCTATAGACGGCCAACCAGGACCCTGCCTCAGCATAAGCTGACATAATGAGAAAATAAAAAACTTCTCTCACCATGTCGGCGCAGGTATTCTGGCAGGGCCTTTGCAAGATCGCTTTAATGGTTCGTAAAACATTCAAAAACCAAGTAAACACTAAAAACAGAACAATAAAAAACCCGGGTAAAATAATCAGAATTGGTACAAAAAACGTACCTGTGACACAAGTGCCAGGCTCTCGAAGGCTAACTCCTTGCTCCTGTTATCCGACATGGAACTAGAGTCATCTACAGCAATGGCGATCTTGTACTCTCGTTTTGCTGGCTTAGTGCGACGCAACCAGATGCGGTCCTTGCGGAAATGCGATGCTATGTACGGGATAACGCGACGCATGTTGATGGCGCGACCGGTGCGGAAATCACCTGAACACAATTATGATATATCACAAATACTATCATCATTATTGGCTTATTAAATTTCCCCACTGCTAGGGTACAGACCTTCTCTGTGGAGGATATAGTGGCCTAGATAGGTGGGTGCTAAACTGCAGTGCTGACTGCAGATTCGAACGGGACCAATGGCTTAACCCATTTGGATCCACTCTCCCTGTTCAGGGACAGTAATCAATATATCTTTATTCAAATTGGATGTATAGTACAACTCTTTTGAATCGTCCAAAAATGTCTTTTCCCTACCACTCATTATTGGACATATTTTTTAGCTGCTTAGTTCTTTCACCACCCCCATTTTTTAAATACATATCTTAAATTTTCATTTATATTTGTCATGCTAAATAGTGTATCTTATGAGGGTGGGTTATTATGAATATTGACTGCTTATTAGAAAAAAGTTGTGAAATCGATAATTACATCAACAGAAGCTATCTTCTCAAGCTAAGAGGGCCGCGGTAGCATAATTGGTCAGTGCATTCGCCCGAATAGCGAAGGATGCGGGTTCGAGTCCCGTCTGCTGCCTGGTCGGCGTGGAATTTTTTATAGTTATAGTTTTTCTTTAGATTTAAACATCAAGCAGTTACATGCAAAAAAAAATACTTGTGGTGCTCGGGGACTGCCGCGGTAAAGCTATTGCATAACATTTTTTATCAACTTATGCAATTATAATTATTTATTTTATTTATGCAGTATTCGTTTTCTTTACATAAATTCAAGTTTTTTTTTATATTAATTCAAGTTACACTTTTTGAGTGTGGTGACCGATAAGAAAACTTTTTTTTTCTTTTTTTGAATAAATGAGAAGTTAATATAGTTTGAAATATTTTTAAAATCTTACATGCGAGTTTCGTACAGTCGCACAATATACATGCACGTTAAGGTTCAAACACAAACTAGTTAGAGATACTACGTATGGTTCAACTAGTCGCGGGCTCTAACTCACTCGTGGACGCTACCAAAAAGCACGCTGTCTCGCCTAGCATTATGTCTAAAAGAGATAGAATCAGTTATGAACAGTTAGCAGCTAGTCTACCCGCATACGTCTAGTCGCACGCACACAGACACAGTGCCGAAGTCTGCCGAACTGAAACGAAGTTAGACGATGCACGGCTTTCAACGCCGCACCGCTGTGCCGGTCGGAGTGGGGGGTGTCAAAAGTAAGAAAGAAAATAATTTTTATAAACCCTTAAAAAATACAACATGTTAAAAGGAACTGATGCAGTAAGGGCTAACCAGGATCCTGCCTCAGCGCTAGCTGATACGACATTGTGTCGCGCCAGCTCTGATATTCTGGCAGGGCCTGTTTGGAGTTATATAAGCTGGCGGTTGGCGCGCGTGAGGCGCTCGATAAAGTAGACCTGAGCGCCGACCCCCACGGCGGTGGCCGGCGGGCCGCCCTCATCAGCGGTATCCAGGGCGCCACCCTCCGAATCCGTGACCCTCCGCAACAGTGACCCTGCGGCGCACACGCGCGGCCGTCAAGAGGTCGTCGCGCAGCTGGCGCACGCCAGGCGCACCACCACACGGCGGAATTCCCTCATCTCCTTCATGCAGTCGGCCAGCATACTTTTTATGTCACTGGTATGATTATTTCCGGTAGCGTTCTCCTTGCCTGGACCTCATCTTCCTTTGGAGAGCCCCTGGTCAGGTCAACAGGTTCCCGTTCAGCAACCGGTTTTTCGGGCTCGGAAGATTCGCTGATACCCTTTACAGGCGTATGCGTCTTCACCCGTATACCCACTCTCACCAGTCAAAAGTCATAATGACTGAGTCACTTACCAGCCCTCCTAGATCTCGCAGAAGGTTCCAGAACTAGTCTCAGCCTCTCGCTGCAGGCGCGGCTTCCTGCGACAAACTCCTCCACACATTTGCCAAGCTATAGCCTTATGAGGGCCCGCTTGTAAGCTATTTCCGTATACCCACTCTCACCAGTCAAAAGTCATAATGACTGAGTCACTTACCAGCCCTCCTAGATCTCGCAGAAGGTTCCAGAACTAGTCTCAGCCTCTCGCACAACGCTCTCGCTGCGGGCGCGGCTTCCTGCCACAAACTCCTCCACACATTGGCCGAGCTGCAGCCTTTTGAGGGCTCGCTTGTTAACCATTTACGTATACCCACTCTCACCAGTCAAAAGTCATAATAACTGGGTCACTTACCAGCCCTCCTAGATCTTCCAGTAGGTTCCAGAACTAGTCTCAGCCTCTCGCACAACGCTCTCGCTGCGGGCGCGGCTTCCTGCCACAAACTCCTCCATACATTGGCCGAGCTATAGCCTTGTGAGGGCCCGCTTGTAATCCATTCGCGTATACTCATGTACTGTTCCACTGACATCTCTTCGGGCTGCGTCTGTTTTGATTCCTCTAACCTGTGAATATTACTTATTTTTCAAGATATTGCATTCATAATCTACAATTCTGAAAGCGAAAGAGGTTCAGTCGTATATATATACTTCCGGCCGGACACATCTATCGGCCCACTCATGGCGCAATAACATTTGGTTGTTAGCCCGAATACGAATGCCAATGGAATAAGGGTAAACGACTAAGTGTAAATGAACGGAATCGAGTACGCCCGTATTTGGGTAGTATTTGTTTTGTTTACCCGACGCCGTCTTTCAGCCCCTATTACAGTGTAAATACTGCTTCTAAGTTTCAATAGTATGTAACAAAAATATATGTTAGATTGAGCAAATAATAATACATTTTAAAAACACACGAATAAGATGGTTCATAAATCAGCTTCAAAACTGCTTTAGAACTTTTTTTCTTTCAGGGAAAGAATCCATAAAATAAATATACAAACCTAGTATGGTAAGTAGTATCATTTCCCCTGGGCACGTGCTCCGTAAGAACTTTCTCCCCCTCAATCTCGAGGCCGGTCTCCCCGGTCGGCTCTTCGCCGCCCTCATTTTTGTTGCCAGCTTTTTCTTTATCCTTGTCTATGCCTTCTTTCACTTTTTCTGGCTTCAGTTCTTCGGATTTTTCAACCTAGAACGAAAGATATCAATACGTGGGTTTCTTTCCACATAAGTGATAAGTCTTTCTATTGCATACCATACCATGCATAGATTATTTGAAAATTAATTTTTGGGCATTTCATGACTCTAGTAAAATTGTGAATTTATTATGAATGTGATGGACGCAGACGTCAATAAATTTTATTAGCTTTAGTCGGTTAAGATGTATGTCATCTTTAAATTAGAGGATACCGTATGAAATAAAACTTATAATGCTGAATTTCCCGCACAAATAGAAGTTTATCAATGGAGAAGATTGATTGTCCATGCAAACTTTCAAAATCAGACCTGCCTGCTCAAAACTATGCTTTATACAAAGCAGCTAAAGTTTAATAAGTATTACACAGAAAACATACCTGTAGTTCGTCGTCGTCTACATCCATTGCGACTTGTTCGTCCTCCTTAAGCTCATCGGCTTCTTCGTCCTCCTGCTGGAGGGTCGGTTGCTGATCGGCTTGCTCTTTAGTTGCTGCATCTATTGCCTGTTGAAATTACAGCAAATGTACAGAAATACAAAGAAAGTAGCCTCCAACGATAAGACACAAATAATGGACTAGCCTTCTTTATCCAAATGTCAAGTAAAACTGGGCTTAAGAGAGAGAGAGAAACGAAGCGAGAAGCCCTTAGTTTTTCTATGTTTAGGTTTTTTTTCTCTATTTAGAGCAGTGGTTCTATTAGTAACTAGGGACCATTTTTCAAAACCGCCGTTATTTCATGTACCACCCACTCACGATTTGGGAATTTTACACAATCTATTAGGTACACTAAGGTTTTACTATAGAATATGGTTCCGAAATTTTTCATTTCACGATTCAAACTCTTTAAATATATCATTTTAGACATAAAAATACCATCGTAATTAGACATACTTTTGAAAGGATTTAGTAAAATATTTGATTATATTATTATGATTTTCATTAAAAACTGTTTATTCTTACAAATAAAATCGTAGTTGTAGTGTCTTATTTACTACATAACGACCGACGACCTCCGTGACCGAGTGGTTTGTACGCCGGGTTTCATGGTGTCGCCGACTTGAGAGGTCCCGAATCCCGGTGTGGGCAGATGTTTGTGTGATGAATACGTGCATTTGTACTCCAGTCATGGATGTTTAATATGTATTTCTATATAAATATACTTATATATGTACAGTATATGTATTCTATCCGTTACCCTAGGATCCCATAACACAATCCTTATAGTGCTTACTTTGAGGCTAGGCGAATTGGTGTGTGTGTTGGAAATATTTATTATTATTATTTATTTTTATAACTCGGCATTTGTATTATTCGAAATTCTAAATGTAAAAATTATTTAGTCAATACGATTACTGCATATAGGATCGCTCAGCGTAAGTTAACATTTATATGTTCGTTTTATTTGGCTTGTGTTACAAATTACCTGTAAATCGTCATTCTTCGCTTGAGTAACGTGTTGGTAGGCATCAGCGTGTTTCTCCTCGTCATGTTCCCCGTCGCCGCCATCTTCAGCTTCATCTTCTTGTCTCTCCACGTTCAACGTGTGTATTTGCTTATGTTTCTTCTCTTCAACATTACCTGATAAAAAGAAAAATATTTGATGTGAGAAAACAATATTCCAAACAGCGACAACACAAGTCAAAGGAATCAGCCATGTTGTAATTGGATAATCCATCACCTATGAACACCAAAACCTTGAAATCTGAGGATTCTCAGTGAAGACATAAATAGGGGAAACCTGGATAGAGTTCAAGTATCTAACTAGTTTGTTCTGTTGATGGATACTACTAATATGTATTCTTATTAACGTCCAGTTTCAATAACCAATATCCAGTAAAGGTAAGTGGGAGTTATTATTTTATCGTGAATTATAAAAATATAAAGGCAACCGAACACTATCAGGCCTGTGACTTACAGGAAATTAAACTATCTAATTTTTAAACTTTCGAGAACTAAACTAAACCCTCTTGTAGTCAATTGATATAAAACACTAACCAGGGTGCAATTTTGACTAACAATATTCTTTTTTTTTAATGGTTTTTTAGCCACCGCAACGCAGGGCAGGGTAAAGCAAGAAATTCCATTATGTAGGTATCAGTATTGAAGTTTAAGTATCATTTGCTAATCTTTGCGAATTTTCTCACCTAAAGTACGTTCTTGATCAGTCTTGCCCGGTTTATTCTCATGGCGGTTCCGTTTCTCCTCGCTTCGGTCCGCTCGGCTCGCGACTTCCTTCTCACCGCGATGGCCTTTCTCGCTTTTGTCCAATTCAGAACGGCCCATAGATTGTTTGTCTTCACCCACCTGTTCTTGAGCTTGCTCCTAAATTTTATTTTATTTTATAAATAGACCATACGTGCAATGACAGTAACGTACCATAGTATTTTTGCTCGTACAACGAGTAACAGAAATAACGCACACCCTGAAAGTAGTTTGATTAAAATTGAGTTCAGAATCTCAACATTTTCAATAACAAAAAGAATCTTTAAAAAACCAGAAAAATAATTGACATTAATTAAATCATACCTAATAATAGAGTATGATAATACATTATGTACGGTTATAAGAGCTATTTTTAAATGCAGCGGTATCAGGAATAATTTTACTAACATTGAGATATCACTGATTAAACTGATAAAAATGAAAATTGCTGAAATTGCTTAATTTGCATATTTATAAGAAACTACTCATGTCACGCGTAATGTATGTCGGAAATCAAATGATAAGTCCTAAAAACCACATAATACATTTTTTTACAGATGTAAAGAAAGTCAGGAATACTGATGAAGTATTATTTCATGGCTCTAAATACTCTTGCACTTATCAAACACTAATTATGTATTTTTTTGTAAGAAGCTCTAGCACAAATACAGCTTCGATTAAGTGCACAATGTACAATTAATGTTATTATGTTAAATACAAGAACCAAGAACACATTAATTGAACTTTAGTAATTACCATTTCTGCTATTTTGTATACTGTAACAGTAACTTACAGTCTATAATTGAATTTGAATGTAAATAATAGGTAAATTTTTTAAAGAGGAATAACTTACAAATGGAGCAGTTTTTTCGTCCTTCTTCTGTTCAGCGTTAGTTTCAACATTGTCGTCGGTGCCTTTATCCATTTCGGCATTCTCGGCCCTATCTTCTGCTGATTGGTCATCATTGGACGGATTTGCTTGAGGATTGGCCTCTTGGTTTTTCTGTTCAATCTCATCTTCGTCTTCTATTTTATCTGGATTTTTAGGAAGTTCGTTGTCCTCCTGATTTTCTTCTTGTGGCTCTGCTTCTTCAGACTCTTGAGATGCTTTTTGTGGATCAACATCGACACCCTCTTCATTGTCTTTACCATCGTCTTCAGCTTTATCAGGGTCAGTTTCGTCTTCTTTTTGATTTTCTTCATCCTTGTATTTTTCCTGAGTAAAATCATGAACTGAATGAGCAATGCAATGGTTTTATTTACATATTTATATTTTAAAATCCGATCTTCTGAATAAAAAACTATAATAAACTAATTTCAAATTTTTGGATAAAACTTTCTAAAGAGAAGGACAATAACGTTTAAGAAAACCATTCTCTATTTTTGTTTTCAGTTAAAATTCATTTTTGATATAAAAATCTTTATTTTTAAGCTGTTAATTACTTAAATGAATATGAAAATATAAAAAACATACCTGTTCTTCGTTATCTTTTTTCTCATCATCTTGTTCACCATCTTCTTCATCGCTAGAAACTTCGAAGCCGTGCTCGTTATTTTTTGTTTCATCACCTTTGTCGTCTTGCTCCATTTCTTCCTGCTCTTTAGGCATATCATCTTTGGTGACATCTACTTCAAACGGATTTTCCGTTTCTGTCTCTCCTTCCTGTTAAAATCAGAATAAATAAAATCACTTAAACACAAGCCTCCCTATTAATTAACAAAGAATAAGCTTTGATTACTTACTCCATGTTTTGTCTTTGTTCGTTAAATGACAAATGGCATTTGAGTGGCATGAACAAAACACGGCGTAACTAGCCTAAGCTTATTCCTCGTTTATTAATAAGGGGGAAGGTGTTTAATAAGCATTGAATAATAATCACAGAGATAGGCCTTTCAGGTTCAACCGCGTCACAAATATTGCCTAAAAATATTATTTTAATTATGAGGATCTTAAACAAGCACCTGAAGTAAGCGTAAGTATATCTACGGGTGACTTATCCATATGAATAAACTTTATGTCAACTCAACTCATTCATAATTCATTTTATTGCTACTAACCTTATCGTCATTTCCGTCTTCTCCGTCTAAATTCATAACGTCAGGTAGATCGAAGTCTTCTGGGTCTGGTAATTGTGGTTGGTTACCGTGGTAAGGATCAATCTAAAAAAATATTTCATATTACAAAAACAAAGTTAAATTTAGTTTTCATGTAACTCAATACATATTTTAAAAAAATACCACAACATACTTGATCGTCATCTACTTCCGGCTCTTCCATCTCATTAATATCTTTCTTTTTTTTCTTATCCTTTCCTTCAGAACCATCATCAGCGCCTTTTTCCTCCTCTTTAGCACCCATATCTTTCTCGCCAGTACTCTCGCCTTGTCCCTTTTCTTCTTTTTCTTTATGCTCTTGATTTTCATCTAGATCCTCTTCATCTTCCGATCCCCAAATTTGTTGGTCTAACCTGAATTGTTTTCGATCAAGAAATTAACTTACATTTTATTTTACTATTGCAAATTTCATAAATAAGTTTTCTTAATATGCTACGTACTTCTCAGCAGCGTTATCTATATCACCCATCTGTTTGTCTGCGTCATCTTCGTCGTCTTCTTGCTCCGATTCATCGCCCTCTAAGAAAGCAATCATTAAAATGTGTTTTACACAAAAACAAATGTATTTTTTTCCAATTTTTTTTTTTATTCTAAGTATTTAGTGCATACCTTTTTTCTCTAAGTCTTGCAAATGAGAGTCAAAGTCATCTGTCATGTTTACACCTTTCTCTTCTTCTTTACAATCCTTATCATCTTCTTTTTTCTCTTCGCCCGGTCGATTGGCTTCTTCCAATTGATCCTACGGTTTCAGTACCACAAATAATAATTGACAAACATTGAAAATTGTATTCAAGAATTTTGTAAAGAAATAAGAGTTTTGAGCATGGCGTCAATTAATTGTCGTTAAATTAATTCAAATAAAACGATTATTTAAGCACAAGTGTTACTTACCTGATTTTCTATTCTGTCAGATACATCTTTCTGTCCCTCCCCTTCACCTAACCCAGTTCCACTTGATAGTTTCCCCGGGCCATCGCCTCCTTCACCTTCTTCACTTTCCAAGTCGGAAGGTTTGCAAAATCTGTAAATATTAAATTTGATAAATATTGATGTTAAAATAAATAACAGAAATCTGTCTCAAACAATAAAGTCATAAATCAATACTTAAATCATTAAATCGCTCCATGATACTCACCCTTTCGCAGCCAAATCAGAAAAGATCTTCAAGAGGACAGAAAGCATCTTGCAAGTAACTCTATGGACAGCCACCTTCTGTGTCACGAAATATTGGACAAATAAAACAGTTTGCTCCAACATTGGCACCAAACGTACAACTACATTCTTGCCTTCTTCCACATTTTTTGCAGTGACTGTATATTGTATGTAGCTGGCTAATAAATCACTTGTTTTTTGTACTACAGCATCTAACTGAAGAAGTTTCGCGTCATTGGACAAATTATCTTGTAAATGTTCTTTCAAATGTTTATCATCTAACAAATCTTTTGATTCTTCTTTCTCTTTGCCGTCTTTGTCAATAATTTCATCAATAGCATGTAGTAAATCATCATTTTCATTTTTGTCTTTAGATAAATGTCTCTTGTACACCGATTGAATTATGAGGAGCATTGTTGCTAATAAGTCTTCTGTCTGATTAACTAACGTGTCTATTGAACTGTCTTCCATTACCACATCGATTGGCTCATCCAAACCTTCAAGCTCTCTGATTGTTTCTTTTATATATGTAGACATATCGACCAGACTTCTAAGCATTGGATGTCGAGGAACATAATTTTCAACTATAGTAGATGTTAATGTGAATTGATAATCATGTAAGATGCCGTCTACTTCAGCTACAATCTCTTCTAAATGTTTTGATGCCTCTCTTGTCACATCTATATGACTCTGTGATACAACGGGTACTAAATCCATGTTACGACCAAATAGTTTCGGATTCGAATGAATTAATTTTAAGAGTGCAGCTTTTTGTTTGCTGGCTGTTGATATGATTTTATTTACTTTCTTAGATAGTTCACGCCATTCATCGCTATTTTTATAGCATCGGACGATTGGGGAACTTGATAATATAGAGTCAAATGCAGGTTCCCGATCAGAATTCAAAGTATTTTCTGGACAAGACTTTAACAAAACGTGAAACTGATCTAGTACAATACTGCATTGGGCATAGCATTCTGTCAGAATCTCTAGTTTATCTTTGATGGTAGATGTGTTTGTGTCAGCAGCGGCGATTTCCAAAGCATTTGTAAGACCCGTAGTCAATGTTCGTAGGTCGTATAGATATCGAGAGTATTTTGAAATGGACTTCTTTTGAGTATTGGTGAGTTTCTGTGAACATAGTCAGTTAAAGTACAGGTTGGGCCTACTGGAAATATGAATAATTTATATCTACGTGACGTCAAAGTGTAAATACCCGAAAACTTTATAAAGTCATCTAAAGGTTACAAAATATATTGTGTAACAATAAACAAGAGCTATATTTACCATCAACTGAGCTGTGAATCCTTTGCACCTTTCAATATTTTGAATACCAAGATCTTGGTGCGGCGATTGCAGTGCGACTGACAACAGTCTGTGTCGGGCGATATTCTTCTGGAAGTACTTTTCACAACCAGACCAGAGTAATTCTACCGAAGCATCGCACCGTCTGAAAATATATTTTGTATAAGGGTTTCTTTGCAATGAATCTTTAGTATTATTACCATGTTCTTTAAATGATCAGTGCTTCAATTTCGTTTTAATATTGGAATAATGTATCTTTATTATATCGAGAGTATTTTTAGCTTTCAGTGCTTATTTTGGGGTTAGGTTAATTGTGTAAGTGTTGGCAATATTTATTTATTTATCATTGAAATAACAAAGGAAAACAAAAATGTAAGTAAGGACTTCAAATTAATCAATAAAAATATTTTGTCATTAATATGCACGAAATAAATTTCTTTGATTGTGAAGATAATACAACAAAATTTTGTGCCAACCTGCTTTTCAAATAGCTAATTGCCGCATCCAAGTCAATAGGTGGTATGGTGAAGTCGTACAAGTCGTTAGCCGATGCGGACAATATGACCAATCCGGTGCGATAATTGAGACCCATTTTAGTGAGGTACTTAAAGAGATCTGCCAAAGCCTTTCGCTTTTGTTGAACGAAGTTTTTCGCTTGCGATACCTGTTTATCTTTTGGTTGTGATGCGTCCACCTATAATAATATAAGTGCCGTTGAACTTTATGTCAAAGATAAAGTTTTTGCATATCGGGGCCATGTGAGAAAAGTTACCAAGTAGCTCAACACGTGTTTTAAGATATGGAACTTTAAAATTTAAAAATAAAATAAAAATCATAACTCTTTTTTTGTATATGATTATTCTAATTATATTGTTTCAGACTTAGAAAAAAGATAAGCGCTTACGTTAAGTATATTACATTAAATTCATTACTAACAGATTGCTAATAATGACTAAAATAATGAAAAAACACAAACTTAGATATTTTTCATGCTCAAAATCCCGTAGCAACATCTTTAGTTGTCGAGTTTTTAATAAAGTTAGTGACTGTTTTATCTGTGAGTAGGTATATTTAAAAAGAATAACCAGTCATTCTAAATGTAAAACTTATCAAGTAATTTTAGTTAGGCAAATTGCTCAACTTCCGTATCGAAGACCGAATCAAATATCAAGAATTTAATTCCATGCTTACCTCCAATCCACCAAGATGCGTGCTCGTCTCAATGACGACCGTCACGAAATCGTCTAAAGCCTGCACGAGGGAGTGGTAGCCAGAGTTTGTGATAGTGTCTTTGCAGAGAGTTTTTGCCTTATTCAGTAAGCTAGGTACTTTGAACAGAAGAGAGCCTTCCGCGATGACACCGCATTGTTGATCAGCTTGATCTAAATATTTCTGGAGTGGAGAATTATTTTGTAAGTAAACATAATAACAATTCGCTAAATACACTTAAAAAGGTGTATAGTAATGAGAAATTCTATCAACACATGAACGACTGTTGTCGCAAGCTTTTACTATACAGGCTATAGTGGCACTGCCTTGCAAACTGAGAAGAAAAGCGTTCGTTAAGGTCATACCCGTTTAAGGTTTGGCATAGTAGTCAATCAATTCAAATCTCAGAAAGAGAAAGCCATTGATTCGATTGCAACCTCTGACTAAGTGATTTTTTTTCTGTTTTTTTTTTATGTTATTTTAATACATACTACCACTTTTAGGCCTGCACTGCCTTAAGCAGGAGCAAGGAGCGAACGTGCGGTTCGCTTTAATAGATACTAGCGGCCGCCCGCGACTTCGTACGAGTGGAGTTAGTTATAAATAAAGGTTCACTGCTCGTTCCCCGTAGGTGATAGCGTGAGAATATATAGCCTATATGTTGACCCGACTTCTTAATAATATTCGTGCCAAATTTTAAGTAAATCCATGCAGTACTTTTTGAGTTTATCCCGGACATACATACAGACAAAAATTCTAGAAACTATATTTTTGGCTTCGGTATCGATAGTAGATCACACCCCAAGTATTCTTTTAAAAAAATATTCAATGTACAGTTTTGACTTTCCTACCATTTTATTATATGTATAGACTACTACTTTTAGGGCCTGCGCTGCCTTAAGCGGGGGCAAGGAGCGAACGTGCGGTCCGCGTGCAGTTTCATGTCATTTCTGCTGCCCGATAGAAATATAAAAGGAAATCCCAGAACGAATAGCAGCGCTAACTATGAATCTAAGCTATCCTAGGATACACTAGAACGCACACATAAAATTTCATCAAAGTAAAGGTAAATAACTCACTTTGAAATTTCTCATCAGCAACACGAAGTTCAGCGGGTCGAGCAAGTAAGCGCCGCCGGTAGGGGCCGCGGCGCCAGTGGTGGCTCGCTTGGGCCGGTCCCATATACCCACGTGTTCCACGCCCGCCTCTGTGCTATTCTCGACCAAACAAGCGGAGACACTCTCTTTCAACACATTCTGGAAGAGATGTAACTTCAGTAAATTTAGTGCCGTGACCTAAAAAGGAATGAGAGGGAAAGGAAAGCATAGGTGCTAATTTTATCACTTAGAATGCTCTTCAACATAAATCCCATATACAAACATGTTCGACGCCCGTTTCAGTACCGAATCTCATCATCAGCATATTAATGTCCCCACTGTAAGGGCACAGGCCTTCCCTAGAAGCACTGCTGAAGCCAGTATCATTATTAATATCCCCACTAAAGGGGCACAAGAATAGGTAGACTCGGCTGTCACATAGGGGTCGGTGGGACTGAAGCCGAGATCAACAGCTCAACGTTTTCCGAAGCACGGAGGAGCTTGAGATAATAAGTTTTTGGTCACCCATCCAATGACCGACCATTGTGAAAGTTGCTAAACTTTCACGATCGCAGGCCGAATGCGCTAACCCCCTACGCCGTCGAGCTCCTCAATCAATCTAGTATGCTAATAATTATTCGCCGCGTTTCAAAATGAAATGGAAAACATGGTTGCTAACTTTATCACTTAGCGCAGTCTTCGGGTAACATTCAACAACAATACTTTATTATGATTAAATTTTAAAACCCAAAATGTATCTTATACGGATTAGTTTACTTTGCATAGAAATAAATAATACATGAAAAGACTGAAAACACTTTTGATATTTGCATTTTGATAGTACAAAAGTTTTTGAACGCACCTCAAACTCTTTGGTGTGTTTATGTAGCGCCTTATGAGCCTTTTCTACGGTGTCCTTGACACTCCAGTAACTGAGATCTCGGTCCCAAGTGCAGATCTTAACGAAGTCGCGTAGTTTCTTTTCGATCGGTGCACGTTTCTCCTTAATGTGAGATGCCACTTGAGCGCTAAATTGGGAATAATAGTTGTACGTGTTCCAAAGAATGGACAGAAGTTCATCTGAAATTTATTACTTTATACTGAATGAGATCTGATTTGATTTAGAAAATTATTAAGACGAAATTAAAAATACTTTATCAGCTGTCGTTGGAGATGTCTTTATTAAGTCACGTGATCTCTTACAGCCACTACAGCCACCACACTAAAGGAATAGAATAAAACACGACACTTGAACAAGCAATTAATTTTATTGACGCCTGTGGATGCTGTCATTAATTTCGTATGACGTTCTTTTAACAAATGAGTTAAATATACTTTTCGACGATATCTTACTTTTCAGACTATTTCCAGGTTCCGTAGTCACTATATCAAAGGTTGTGTAAAACTCATCACTTAATACTTAAAAAAACTCATTTAATGGTGTGTTTTGGCTCCATTATTCCATGGAACGCGTTTTGTAATGAGGCGGTGTTAAGACTTTTCTAAAAAACAAACTTAGACTTACCTCGCTTTTTGCTAGTTTCCAAATGTACTAAATGGCAGTGATATACATAGATGATATCCAGTCTCACTTCGTATTCTACAAGATTGGACTTCTCCATGAAATCTTTGAGCACAGATATCACCCTATGAGGAGGTATGGGTTCACTGTCAATTCCAACCTCCAAATAAGATTTCACAACATTATACATATAGAACCAGTATTTGTGGGCTTCTGCTTGTTTCCTGTAATTAAGATTCCTCTTTAAATACATGAGAATAACTTGCAGAAACCTGAATAATAGTAACATAATAAACTTAAATCAAAATCAATTTTCACGGTAACTTTACAAGCAAACATAGTTCTTAGGAACTACCTTTGATATAAATTATTAAGGCACTCTTTCCAATGAACCATCTCCAATTTCCGCCAGTTTATAATCTGCTGTCCCACGGCCAACGATTCTTCGATCATATTGTTGCTTTTGTGTGCATTTTTGTTCCATTCTTCTATCTTGTCTCGAAGCAATTCTAAACCGGTAAGCAATCTTGATACGGGACTAGTTACCGGAAAGGTCAGTATTCTGTTTATTATCACCATTATCTATGAAAAGACAAGTATTATTTTATTTGTATTTAATTCTAGATCATCAACATAATAATGTTCCCACTGGCATTGACCCATCCTTCATTCATGAAATACACTGGCTTCATCAACTTTTTAACATTGTTAAAAATATATTAAATATTCTGAAGCTGACTTACATCTTTCAATGTTGGAAAGTCTGGCCACTGGTCAAGCAATTGGTTGGTGGATTCTTTAACTTTCAAGAGAAGCGGGACGCAGTATTTCGTCTCAGAAACCCATGGCGAACGGTAGAAATCAATCTTAGAGTTTGATTCATCTATAACATAATAATGAAAAGAAATACTTTCCGCTTCAAAGATGTAGTTTAAAAATACTGAAAAAATAGTGAACTTACCGTTTCCATCAACTTTGTCTTTAATCTGTGACAAAATCATAATTAAACTCGGTGTTAATACACCTTCTACTTCAGCATCCAATGCTTCCCATGAATTTTCAATAATACGACTGAAAGTAGGATACCTCTGCAATGACGGACTAATCACGTCATTACCCACTATCTTCTTTGGATTAGCTAACCACTCCGCTCTAGTCATGTAACGGACGAAACTGGAATGCCACTTGTAGACCAATGAAACATCGTCTGGTGTTATTACTAGTTTAGGTTTGTTCTTGTTTTCCATAACCTTAGGTGGCTTTTGTTCTAAAGTTGGAGGTTTGAATTCACCGAAATCATTGTCAGTGAAAGAAGGGAACATTTCTTTGATTTCTTGTTGAGCTATTACCTCGTCATCTTCGTCTTCGCATTTTGATCTATATTAAAAATAAGTATATGCATGTACTGTATGTCCAAGAAGTTGGTATGTTGAAATAATACATGTTAGCTGAATGTAAGTCTAACAAAAAACAAGGTGTTTTATAATGCAATAACTTACTCATTTTCTTAATTCTTACTAGGTAATGTATTACATCTTTAACTGTTTATTTACTCACTTAGTCACATATAACGCCTCGTCGTCCTGCTTTTTCTTCTCCATGTCCATCTGCTGCTGTTGCCACGTTTCTACCAGCGCGTTTAAGGTAGACAATGCTGCGTCCATGGCGTTTGCGTCTACCGACTCTGCGGCCGTGCAATGCATTCGCAATTCGGACAAATTCATTTTTAAAACTCTACGAAAATTAAGATAGTAAAAATCACCATAGTAATCGAGATACAATTAAAATAAAGAAATTGACATATGTGTATGTACTTACTCCATTATCTCATTTTTTTCAGAAATCCCATCGTCGTCAGAAGTCACTGTCGCCTTCAAAAGCTTCATCATGTCCAAAGACAAAAACCTATTCAAATGGTGCTGTTTTGTCTCTCGGCGTGGTATACTATTCGGATACTTCATTAGATCGGTAACCATTTGAACGAATGCTGTGCTCTTCTCTATTCTCACTACCATTTCTCTCAAGAAATCGTTCATTACAGTCACGCTGTATACAATTTGTGATATTGATGTTAGTAACGGTTTTGCCAAATCAGGAAATGCTTCGGCATAATCGCTTTCAACCTTCTTACAAAATGCATTGACCGAATACAACCATGATGCAGCTTCTTTCATCACACTTCGAGCTGTCACTACAACTTTGTTAGAGTGATCATTTTTTCCCAATTTCTCAAACAAATCGTTAGAGATCGACATAACAGTTTTGGCAAGTTCGCTTATAGTTTTCATCGACAGCACCGATCTTGTGAAGTGTCGGCAATACTGAAATGATGTATTGATAAAATTAATAAGATGATGACACTATGGAAAACAAGGTTAAGTTAACAAACATACCTTCACAAAATTGTCGTACGACGGTTCTTTAGGCCTAAACGTGTTACCAGAAGCGTACTTATGAATATTATCAGCTGTTTTTGTCCTGAGATCTAAAAGAACTCCACAATGAGGGTGAACTTTAACCAATTTCTCTCTATTGGATATTAAGCATTCCACAGTTATGTCCCTATTTGTAACTTTCTTATTTTCTAAGATATCACCATATACTAGCCCCTGCATATAATATCCACTCAGTAAAGTTTCAAACATTTTTAAGTCTTCTTCGATGTAGTTCATTTTCAACCGATGCTTCTCAACGTGGTCAACTGGTTTTAATTCAGCCATAAATTTGATTAAGAGTAGACTTGTTAATAAAGACAATTGCGCCGTTAAGAGCTTTGTTTGATTTTTATCGGCCATGTCATTTTTTTCTTTTAAAATCCGTAACTTAACACTAATATTGTTGGCTTCTGTAGCCATATCAGCTATAATTATTTCATCTTTGAGATGTTGCCTAAGTTTTTGAACTGTAAATAAACAGGTATCTTCGATTCCTTGAGCTAAGTCCGGTTTCCTTTGCATTAATGATGAATGGAGATATAACATAAGCTGTTCATATTTTCGTATTTCGAAATTGGCATTAGATTTTCTGAAACCGAGATATATTTAAAATGAGTGGTGTATTAGTTGGTGTATGTGTGTTTATGTGTACGTGTATTCCGTGCTTCGGAAGGCACGTTAAGCCGTTGGTCCCGGCTGTATCTGCAGTCGTTAGCGCCCACCAACCCGCACCGGGCCCGCGTGGTGCGTCATGGCCCAATCTCCCTATTCCATCCATAGGGAAGGCCTGTGCCCCAGCAGTGGGGACATTAATAGGCTGTTGATGATGATGATGATGAGTGGTGTAATATGGTCCTTCGAGCTAGATTTTTACCAACTTGTAATTAGTGTTTAAACATACTTCAAAAACAAATATATTAAAACTTACAATGTCATCATAGCAATCGTGTCCAAAGTAGCAATGTTTTTCCAAATAATGTTTAACATAGAACCTAATTGAATTGAGTAGTTGGTTCTGTCTTGCAAGGGAACTGTTTCATAGGCTAACATTTGTCGAGAATCTGTGAAAATATATTATAGTTACCTATTATATTATTATTTTATTATAATATTATATTATATTATAATATTATATTAGACATTCTCTATAATCTATTATATTATTATTTTATTATAATATATTATAGAGAATGTCAGTTATTATGGTCTCGAAGGAAATTGAAATTGTTTTCTTTTATATTCATTTATTTCGTTTTTTTTTACCAAATCATATTCTTTTAATACAAATATTTTTACCTGTATCAAGGAAACACACATAATTTTATATTTTTAGTACTTACCTACATGATCTTCTGACAAGGTTACTTTCTGCGCGTAATATGGCAGTAAAGGCAAATCCATGGACATTCTCTTTGTATTCGAGGGTACATTTTCACTTGCTTCAGTCACTGTATGTGAAACTAAGAAAGGTAGCGGATACATCGCCGGTGAGTAGACTAGTGCTTTGTAAAATTCTTCCCAGAACTTACAAGGTACTGCTGACACTCTGGAAATAATATAAAGTTTAAACCCAACCAAAGTTTAAAATATGACTAGAGCATAAACTTGTGTGAATTTACCTTTGCTCCGCTAAATTTATGTTACTATCATATAAGTTTTGGAGAAGGCAAAGTAAATTCAAAAATTCAGGAGTAAATACATTGTTTAAAATTCCGAAATGTACTACATTCTTCAGGATTTCTGTCGAGTTTCTATTCGGGCATATCACTTTCTCGTCTTGCAAACTCAAAGCTATCGTCGTATCGAAGAATGTGTCTTTGAAAATGCTCAAAATCCTCAGCAAGACGTAAGAATTTAATGGTAAATGTTTCGTTGCAGATTCTTTGCATGTTATTATTGTATTCTCGTTGAATTTCACAACATTATCTTGCACTATTTCCAAGCTAGTTTTATTTGGAACATCAAAAGCTAACCCAGAGTCGCACACTTTAGTCATGTCAACCAACAACTTAAGAAACTGATTTTCTAGTGGTTGATGTAGGTCAAGAGCCAAGTTTTTGAAAATGTTGTATCTTATCACACACAGTTTGTACTCGTCTTTGTTTTCATATAATTTGGGGTGACCATAAAGTTTCCTCAATTTTTTGCTGATTTTTGACATTTCAGTACTATCCTGATCATAATTTACTGTAAACGAATCAATAGTAGTCTTCAAATCCTGCCTTAAGCTGTGATTTGGCGGCAGCAATTTATATAATTCACTAAATAGATACTTTTTCAACCATGTGCTGTGCACATAAAGTAATCTGAGAAGTGGTTCATTTATGGTAGTCTTAGTTTTACCTTCTTTCGTGGCAAACATAGATGACATACATACTTTTTGGAACCTATGTCTCCAGTTCAATAATTGGATCAAACGAGATGAATTCTCATCATTGAGTGTTATTTCTACAGATTTAAAGGTGTTTTCTATTAGCATATCTGTCAAATGTATGTATTTCCTACAATTTTTTATGAGTGGATATTCGACAAAATCGTCGACCAAACTTCCTGATTCTACGGCGTCAGAGTAGTCAAAGAATGAGAATGCTGCCTTTGGAAGACATATACTTACATAATTTTGCATCAATGCATTTATCATCAAAATAACATCCGCATTAGTCTTACTTATTAAATTGTCAGACAATGTATGAAGCTCTGAATAAAATCGTTTATAAGACACAAAATCCACGTTTTCATTAGTATACCTAAATGCAACATCATTTAACTTGAGTCCAAATTCTGTAAATTTATTTTTATTGTCCTTAGTGCTCTCAAAGTTTCTTTTAATGATATAGTGTAAAACAGGTAACATCTCTTTTGGGCATCTTTGGTAAGCTAGATATATATTGAAAAGAACTGGAGATTGTGTTTCATTGGAAGAATCACAATCTTCATCAACGTGAATAACATTATACGCCAATTGCTTTCCTATTTCCCACATGGAGTTATTACATATGCCCCTTACAGACAAGGTGTGGCTATTCGAAACATAATCTGTTATTTTTCGGTTGTCTACTACATTTTCCAATGTTTTCAGCATATTATTTTTCATTTCTGCTAGAGACATGGTTACATTAGATGTAAAATCACTGCCACACCTCGGTTTAATATAGACGTCAGAAAAACTGTTTATCAGAGCGGCACGTAATGGTATTGCCCTGACAAGTTGTTGCGAAGTTAAATAGGCAGCTTGTAGTAAATGGGATAAAGTCGGTCTTTCCAAACCTAAAAGCAAAAGAAACAGACAGTCATAATGAAAAAACAGTTTAGAAAGATATATTACAATTACGAAAAAAAGGTTGATTGACAATTGATGAATTGATGAGGGAGAAACATCTCACCTTGAACAAATGAAGACATACTTTCGTGACATGTTATAAACAAATCATGAAGTCTCATAGAAAGTCCGCACGAAGTCAATAATGCTGTCAAATCCATATAGGGGATCATATCTGTTAAACTGGAATTCCATTCTTCAGTTCGCAGCAAAAACAGTTCCACTCCGCGGTTCCTCATTGCTCTAGAAATCTCTCCATACTTTGGATCCATTGTGAAAAATACTCTGAAATTTGGGTGTGGCCTAATCTCACACATCTCACCCCTTTCTGGAATACTAAGGACTCCATTAGGTTCCAACAACCCATTTAGTCTATCCAAAACAGCCGCCGATGTCAAATTCACGTTGTCTAAGAGTAACCATGAACCTTCAATTAAAGTTTTAACCAGTAAAGAGTCTACCCATTCAAATTTTCCGCCTGCATTAATTGAAGATACTTTAGCCAATTTAGATTTAAGATTTCTTAAGTTACTAATCACTTCTTTTAATTTATTCGTGGTTTCATCCATGAACTTGCAATATTCAAGTAACTTCAGACAATACTCCAGTAAGAACTGTATTTTTTCATTGAATTTATATATTTGTTCATTAGGATTATTTGTTATATTTTCCAACATGCTTTTATATTCGTATAGCTGAGACAACAACTTATTTGATTTCAATTTGCCTTTGTCTTGCTCTAACCAAATTTTTCGCAATATTTGAATAGTTAAAACTTCAATTTTATCAAAGATACTTTCGAGGTTTCTATTATAATCAACTTGTTCAAAACCACCTAAAAGATCAGACACATCCATAGCTGACGTCACGGGTATTACTTTAAGATCATTACCAGTCAAATCAGCTAGAATTTGTACGATAGGAGTTTTACCCGTTGCCGTAGGGCCCACTATAATAGATAGCCAATTCATTTTAACACTTTGAGCCAATGCTTTCAAAGTACTCATTTGATGACGCAATAATAAATTATTACTTCGTAATGCTCGACGGTTTTGAAAACATTTATCTTCATTTCTCGCTATCGTAACATCACCAAACATAATGAATTGGTCATTAATGCCGATTTGTGGATTCACATCACTGCGTGGATATTCAGGGCAAAAGAATTCGTCATATATTTTGGACATTCGCTCTTTGTCACAAATAGTCCTCATACGATTTATGTAAAGCATATCCACAAATTTTCCTGGAGAAACCTTATTACCATTGTTTTGGTCTTTTATTAATGCCTCACACCATCTTTGTATGTCTCTTAAGTTCATTTCCCAAGGACCACCTCTGTGACCCCACGATTGAATTTCCGTTATTTCATGTGCTACTTTACAATTAAAGTTGACAACTCTATGTAGTATATCTGCAGGTAAGCTTGGATACTGTGATTCAACTATATAGAGGAGATCATCTTTGGTCAGTGTGTCTATGTAGACTTGAGTAAACCTGTTCAGAAAAGACACTGGTAGTCCTCTACGTGCTCCTCCTTGTTTTAACGGATTTTGACAAGCAAAGAGTCTAGTTTGGTTTTTTACTTTGAAAGTTTTACCAAGTTCAGGTATATAAACCTCGCCTCTGTGATCAAGACAAGCATTAAGGCCTTCAAGGACTGGCTGAGGAGCTAAGTTTAATTCATCTAATAGTATCCAATCTCCGTTCTGAAGAGCACTAAGGAATGCACCTTCTTTAAAAGTAAATGATCCGTCTTCAGTGGGTAAATCAGTACCAAACAAGTCTGTGATATCCTGCAAAACAAAGTATGAAATTAATATCAAATATTTTACGTTTTTTTGTGATTATAAATGATAAAAAATACTTACAGTCTGGTCGCTCAAATTTATACGGACGACTTTATGACCAGAAGCTTTTGCTAAAGTTGTAACTAAGCTTGTTTTGCCAACTCCAGGATTTCCTTCAAGAAGTATTGCTTTATTTAGTTGAAGACCTCTCAACAGTCTCAATGTATTTGATCCAGTTGTCGGCGCCGTAAAAGTAAATTTTTCAGTCTGCTCCGAAATATCAATTCTTGGGCCAAATTCTATAAAAAATGGTCTTATCCCAAATTTCGTACCATCAGACTCAGCCTTAAGTTTCTTTAATCTGTCACTTAGCATTTCTCTTAAATTATCTGTATACTCATTGCCAATTGTCTGGATCTGATTCAAAAGAAAGTTTATGGCCGTTTTTCGAACCAAAAACAATGCCTCCCATTCTATATGACCTGTGAGAGCTGTACCAAAACAATCTAAGAACGTTAGACATGCACCATGAACGTAAGCCTCAGGTGTGTCAAGAAGTCCTTTAGATACAGTTGCATTTATGAAATGGACCCATGAAAGAAGATCGCGAATACTAAATGGGAATTTACTGGTAACTTGTGATCGTTTTAACCAGTCAGTAAAATCTAAAATTGAATTTCCAATTCCTGAACTACCATCTTCTTGGTTTCCTAATGAAATACCTTTGTGAATGCTTTTCTCTAAAACTTTCAGTAAGTCGTCTCTTTTTGTTACAGTATCACACCATATCTCAGTGAATCTATTACGCAAAGCAGGCGATAGCTCCTTCTTACCAAAATCTCCGCCAGGATTCATCGTACCAATAAAGTGAAAGTTTTTATTAGCTGTAATTACTACAATATCAGAATTATCTTCCAATCCACGTTCCGACAAAACCATCTGTCTTTCTGGTTCTAAAAGAGAGTTCATTCTTTCCAAAACACTATCATCTGCTAGCGAAATTTCATCTGCTAAAAACATGTCACCATTTACCATAGCCTTCACCAATGGCCCGTCGACCCACTCAAACAACCGACCGTCATTCTTGTATTGTCGGACTGGTCGAAGACCTCCAAGGAAATCTGAACTTTCGGTATGCATATGGCAATTTACAGTGAGTAGCTTTCTTCTGCTCAAAGCTGCGAGCACTTGACATATTGTCGTCTTGCCACATCCTGTCTCTCCCACTAATAACACAGGTTCATCAAAGGTAAACGCCTTGGCAATCAAAATCGCCAACCTTCGCATATTGTACGTCCACACCACGTGTGAAAATTCTTCAAGCTGATTGTTAAGGAGAGTTTCTAATATGGATTTAGTTACTGGTGATGTAGTTTGGTGTAGATCAAATAAATTGTCAGGAATAACTTTTCTCTTTATATGTTTCTCAATAACCTGTTCAATGGTGTCTCTCTCTTCGGGTTGACGAACTTTGCCCGCTAATATCAAGTAACCTTCATCAGCTATGTGTTGATCCCAATCATAAAAATTGTTATCAGTTAACATTTCTTTAGAAGCGTGCTTGTATCGCTGGCCCCATCGGAACAAATCTCTGAGAGTTATAAATCCATCTTTTCCCTGGACAGCTGCAGAACCCCTTCTTCTAGTTTGAAGTTCTGCCATCACAGCAATCATTTTTTTACAGTATGCTGGTGGTACATGACATCTTTGGTGTAGAATTATTTCAAGTTCTTTTTTCGGGATTTCATCAAAGTGTAGCTCGACAAATCTATTCCTGAACGCCCTTGAGAGCATCTTGCGACCACCATACAGACCAGGTGGATTTTGCGTTGCAAATAACATAAAATTTGGATCAGCTTTAATCACTTGTTGAGTTTCTGGTATAAATAGCTCACGGTTGTCATCTAACACACGATTGAGAGCTTCTAGTACATCGCTGGGGGCTAAATTCAATTCGTCGAGGATTATCCAATATCCTTTTCTCATTGCTTCGACTAGAACACCTTCTTTGAAAACTAATTTTCCATTAGCATCAGTTGCATAAGAGCCAATGTACTCTTGGAGATCAGTGTGCTCATGATTATTTATTCTTACACAATAATTGCCAGACGCTTTCGCGATATATGTGATAAGTGACGTTTTACCAACGGATGTGTCTCCTTGAAGTAATACTGGCAATCGACCGAGAGATATAATGCGGGCAATATCACGAAGATTCTTTCTTACTGTTGGCGTCAAAATATAACCATCTGGAATTGATATCTCCAATTTGCCTTGAGGAATCCAATGTCCTTCGAAAAGCAGAAAATTCTGACCGGGCAATTGTGGTTCAGGAATTAGTTGATTGAGTATAGATTTTACTGTTTTCTTTCCTAGTACAGCTCTGAAAACGTTTGGATTTTGATTATTATCACGATATATTGGAAGAATATAAGATTACTGACTGCATTAAACTTACTTTGCTATCATAGCCTCTACTTTGGGATGTGAAGAACTATCTAACTGCGTGAGGAATGACAAACAAAATGCTTCATATAGCGACCTCGCTACAGTGCCGCATTTAGCCTTTGCAGCAGCTGTGAGTGCTCTGCAAAGTGTTCTCAGTGAATAATGAGGTGCATTACCTTAAAGAAAAAGAACAAGTTACACATTTCACAATCACATTTACGATTTGATAGCGAGAAAATATAGTGTCTTACCAGCACCGTCTACCAAGTTAAGCCTAGCCTCCTTCCTAATATTTGCGTAAAAAGTATAAATGGCTTCTAATATTGCTCCACTTAAATTCAAATGGTATAAATAGTCCCCAACCAGCAGCATCAGGTCATTTCTCTCTGTCAATTCATCTATGAAAAACTCAGTGAAGCGATTCCTTAGTCCTACTGGCAAATCTTTTTTCCCAACATCTGTCGCTGGATTCATGCATGCAAATAACGTAAAATTTTGGTGACGCTTTATTGGAACTTTATCACCTTTTTCGATCAAGTCAATCGATTCATTTTTATCTTCCAGTAAACCAGCGAGACATTCCAGTATCTCAGCTGATGCCAAATTTATTTCATCTAACAATACCCAGTGACCTTCTTGCATAGCTTTGACAAGAGATCCTTCAATAAAAGCGAATGTCAATCTCGACGCAGATTGGATTTGAATCTCCAACTTTTGAAGCTTATGTCCAAATACCAACCACGACTTTAGTGTCTTTTCCTTTTTCTCGGTTTTTAATCTATTTACGGCAGCCTTGTGACTCTGCTTCATCAATGTTAACAATGCATTCCAATTTTCAGTATCGTAACATGTTTCAATATGACCTAAAAACTTTTTGTTCTTCTCAACATTGTAAAAATTTCGGAAGAGGTTTTCAAATTCATTTCTAATAGGTCTAATCACATATTTCATATCTACTGGCTTATAGCCACCCAATAGATCAGCTGAATCAGATTGCTGGTTCATGTTAATAACAACAAGTTTATGACCTGTTTGTCTAGCTAAATATTGAACTGACGAAGTTTTTCCTGTACCTGTTTCACCAACTAATAGTACAGGTTCATTTGATGTAACACAACATGCAATTCTTTCAAGTAAGCACGCTGATTGCCTTGTAAAGGAAAATACTACTTGTTTATTATCTAGGGCAATTGATTCTAAGGTCTTTTCAACTCTAGGCACTTTAGCTCTTCCAACATCTAAAGATTTCGAGGTTAATGTTACATTTGGTTTGTAATGTTTGCAGTAAAATTCTGATTTTGTCTCAACAACTCCTAAGCAAGTCCCAACTCTTTTTGTCAATTCTAATCTATTTTCTGGAGAAGAAACAGAACATGTAAAAATGTCTAAGGCATCTTGGAGGACTTTAAGGGCCGAGTCAGGGCTGGCGACTTCAAAGCCTTGAACAGAACGCGAGCACCATTTTATTAAATCCCTGGTGGAAATTAATCTTGAACCTCTCATTACAGAAACATCTTTTTCTTTATCACTTTTAACATCAGTAGACTGTAAAGACGTGTCATGGCTACCAACTGAGAACATCATGAATACCTCAATCATTCTTGAACTAATACTAGAAAGACTAGGATATATATTTTGTATAATCTCTGCAAGTTCAGACCTAGATAATGGTTCTACATTTATTTGAGTCAAGTGTTTTTGTAACAATGTACTGGAGTTCGACATTTTCTTCTGAAAACCGTAGTTAGTGATGACTGTCCTAAAGAACAATGATAGAATTTAAAAATCAAGAATGTACTTACTAAAATTTAATCACAAAAGTCCAAAGCATAAGTTATTTGTAATAATACCTTTGGGTAACAAATAGCTGGAATCCAGGCGATACTGGTAGAGCGTCTCTGTAACCAGGAACACAAAGAGTATTCCTTTCCAGCAAAGAGCTCAGAGTAGATGCAACATCTAATGCTGCGCTGTCAATATCTTCCAAAAGTAACCAATGACCATTCTGGACAGCCTGAAAGTATCAGTAATGTTTGGAAGTTTTGTTTAATTAGCAAAGTTGTGATAAGTAATCAAATTTATCAACAAAATAATATAGAATGCCATATGAAAAAAAATCTGGCCCCTTAGTTTGTGATGATATATTTAAGTGGAAATATTATGGCAACTATATGTTTTTGCAGCAAATTATGATATGCAACGCTACGGCTCTTTGTAATAGATATTATCTATTACAAAAAAATTGGTCCGAAAAAATGGTTTCAGAATTTCACTATACCTCTGTCAAAACTCCCGGCCTCCATATGAATTCTCCTGGCACATCAGTACACTGGTGTGAACCTAAGAGCATTCTAGAATCAGTTTGGTCTCCAAGTTGGACCTTTTTAAATGCCACACCTTTTCGTCCTGTAATAGCTGCCAAATGTTCCACTAATGAGGTTTTACCTGATCCTACTGGGCCCAAAAGCGAAACTGCTTTACCTGTGGATAAACTAGTGTTAGAAAATATTACCAATCATAAATACAAATAAGGTCATAGGAGTTTTATCGATGTTTTTCGATGTTATTGTCGTGGGTCGCCCTTCGTAAAAGAGTGCGATTTTATAGATATTTACTTTTCGTTTCAAAGTGCTATCAATCAAATATTGACTTACTTATATAGCGCACCAAAGCCAAAAGCCGAGAAGCCTATCTGAACTCAGTGTTGGGTTACTCTAATAGTCCTTCGAGCCGGATGATGAGAGCATTCGAGAGTTTTTATCGAAAAGCGCATTTTTATTGCGAGATCTGCGTATTGTGGGTTAATTAGCAATATTTTCCTTATTAGGGTCACATACCCAAAGGGTAAAAGCAGAAACATATTGTTATCACTCGGTCGATTACACGTACAGTATTTTAGTAGTAAGCCAATTCATCACTGATCTGTAGCCAATTTGTATTGTTACGGCACACTTCCTAGTAAGATTATACCTTATCTTTGATTTGTTATTTTCAAATATTATTAGATTTTTAATTTTCTTAAATTCATGCAATTCATACAAATAATTTTACTATACATCTTTTGACATTAACATTTCTATTCCATAATAATAATCAATCATAATCAAAATCATTTATTCAGTTTAGGCTGTTACAAGCACATACGAATGTCTAGAAGCTACACCATCGGTTCGTAAATCTATGGTGGGAGACCTTGTACTGAGAAGAACCGGCAAGAAAGTGTTTTGTCAGCCATTGTTTTGAAACAAAGTGTTATTATTAATGCTACAATTTATATCTCCTATATGGGAGCACCTTTAAAAATGTATATCTGAAAGTAAAATCTAATAAAAACTGAAAATCATTATTTTACCTGAAGCAACAGCCAATGCTAAACTTCTTAAATTATTGACAGTTGACTTTACTGGAACCAATTTTCCTTTTTGAACATTGTCTCTATCAAGAAGAGGTAACATGATACCATCTATATTTACAATACTGCTAATATTAAAGTTTTCCTCTTTAACAATGTCATCTACTGGCCTTATTAAGCTTTCTGCTTGACAAATGTTTTTAAGGGCATCAGTATCAGCTATGTTTAGGTTTCTTGTTAGTATTTTTAATTGAGCTTCAGTCATGTTCGCCAAGATACCCATGCTTTCTTTTACCATCCTGTGAAGGAAAATTTAATAACCTCAGGGAAGTTCACCCTCGACTTTTTGAATTATAGTATTATCTAGGTTGTTCTAGATTGTTCTATCTTTGTTCTACATTGTCCTAGAGTTTTATTTGAAAAAACAAAAATTTTAAGCTACCAGGCACAAAAAATGGTTTATAGGTAAAATTCAATGTTCTGTGGGTTGCTCCAAGTTGTCCCTAACATTGTTCCAAAGTTTTATTGTGTTGAACCCTAGGAATCTACCTAGGTACCTATCATTATAAAAACAAGAAATACCTACTTACCTTCTCATACCCAGGGTACATTTCTATCAACTAATGCCAATTATTAGACGAATAGATGGCAATTCCCAGAATTTTTGTGCTGATAGAGGATTTTCTGTAGTCTTTTGGTTTAAAGTATAGTCTATTTATAACCATTTAATGACATACATATAGGTGTAAAAACAAATATAATACTATTTTCTTTGATATTGTTAAATGTGTTTTGTATTAATATCTGATAACTATTAATTTTATTCAAAATGATTAAATGAAATTGGAATGATATAGCCCACAGTTATTCTGATAAAAACGTCATTGTTCTAAATCATTGTTGATTTATTTATTGTTTCTAGTGCATTTTTTTCATACACAATTTTTTTTTGCCTGACAGCTGAAACTGAAACAATGTTAGGAACAACTGGAACAACTATAACAACTTGGAACAACCTACAAAACACTGAATTTTCAAAAATGGGGGGCTACCAAATAACTTATTTTTGCATAGTGGCTTCAAATATTTGGTTTTTCAAATAAAACTCTGAAACAATGTTAAGAACAACTTGAAACAACCAACAAAATATTGTTTTTTTTTTAAATGTGGGGCTACCAAAAACAGATTTTTTTGCATAGTGGCTTCAAATATTTGGTTATTCAAATAAAAATCTGGAACAATTTTAGAAACAACTTGGGACAACTAACAAAACATAGAATTTTAAAAAAGGGGGGCTACCAAAAAAACATTTTTTTTTGCATAATGCCTTCAAATATTTTTTTTTTTTCAAATAAAACTCTGGAAAAACGTTAGTTGAAGTGGGAGGCTACCATAAAATTAGGTCTAGTAGCTTCAGATTTTTGCAATTTCAAATAAAACTCTGGAACAATATAAAACAAACATAGAACAATACAGAACAACCTAAATAATAATAAAATTCAAGAAGTGGGGTCATTGGCCATGAGGTCATTTAATACCATTAGATGTATTATATCATTGTATGTATATTATCCTATTATTTATTGAATAATATTCAGGAAGATGGCTGATTTTTTTTAAACCATTTTTTAATATAATAAATCTAATTTTAATATATTATTATCATTTAATGGAAAAAAAACTGATTACCGAGTGATTTTAATTTTTAAGAAAATAAAATTAAATAACAATTACCATCTTATTTCACCATTTTCATGACTGCTAAAATTTTTCACAAAGTTTGTCCAATCCCATTTGGAAGACAATTCATTGGGTAATTTCATAAGTAGTGTGTAACAACAAGTAACAATTTCAAAATCTGTCACTTTATTTCTGCAGTCAGCAAGCCTGCGCTTCTTTGGTGCAACATTATATGAGTCAGCATGGTGTATGAACACTTCGAAAGGAGGTATTGGATTGATTTCAAAATATTTTAGTGCATATCTGAAAAAAAATTTTTTTTTATTTCAGATTTTTCACAGACTGCATTGACTACCTAGCAAAAGAAAAAAACTTACTGTAACACATCTGGATGATCACTCAGCACACCAAGCACTACAGAATACTCCAAATGACAGATTTTCTCCGAGTCATTGCAAGTGTCAAAGTTTTTTGATGAGAACACAGGCTTCAAAGGTATCTTAGCAGAGACTATTGCTAATAGTATATTAGACAAAAATTCTTTGAATAATTTTGCATTTTCAACATTTATTATATGATCTGATAATAATTTGATAGCATCTTGCAATTGCATAGTATTATTTAACAGTCGAACCTAAAAAAAAGTCAATTCAACAAACATTTAATTAGTGATTTATGCAAAGATTATATTACAATGCATTAAAATAACACAAACTTAGAGACTATTTATCTTAAAATACTTACCTACATAAATAAATAATTTACGAAATAAAAAATATATCACCCCCTAGCGCCGGTATCGGGAATGGTGCCCAATAGGCTGGCAGCATTGCCGCGTTGGATGGCAAGGCTGATCCATTGACCAAGATAGCTACCAGCCTTTTGATCACCAGTCACTTGGTCACACCAGTGAGCCTCTTTGACAATTCCTTAAAAAAGGAAATGAGCGCTTGGTCCCCATGAGCATTCTAATAATGAGTTACTAAAGCAGTAACACTAAACTTATTTTGTTTACCACCCAACAAGCATGTAACTTATTCTGTTTACTTGTTTTTAACTACATAAGAAAAAGTAAAATAAAAACAGTTTATTACGTGTGATTTAATAATATTGTCATTTTATGTTAGATAAAATGTAAACTTTCTTAGTAATTTCAATTTTAAAAGTTATAAACTTTTTCAAACCATCAAACCAACCTTAACATTTTCCAGAGTTTTCTTCAAATCGTTATCATTAATACAACATGATAAGAGCTGTAAAGCTCCATTTATGTCTGACGAACACATTTTAACGTTCACATTTACTGAATTTAGGTTTTCATAGTGTTTTTGTACCGGCAGCAGAAGAATTTGCGACACGATTTATCAGCACATGTGAGAATGACAGGAGAATGGCAAGTGAATAACAGTGACAGTAGTAAAGATTTTTTTATATTCTCCTATTAAAGAAGGCAACGAATAGTAAAACTTACAGCGTTACTTTTTTTGCATTTTACCATGTGTCAATTCTGACATGACGCTCTAAACTTAAAATTGAATTTGAGAACAGTGGATTCTTGTTATTCTCTATACAGAAAGCAAGGAACTTAAATACACAGAAAGAAAATAAAAGATAAAACATCAGTTTCTTTATGGTTTTGTCAGCATTGATTATATTTTTAGCGACACGCTATGATGGCTGTTTTGAGGTTTGTATATACATGAAGTTTCATATTCTTATTTCGAAATTAGTTCTACATTTGAAAGAAATATTTATTGTTCTTCATTGTCATTAAAGACATAAATTTCATGAATCGGTAATTTTATGGTGTAGAATTTTAATTTTACAAAACTATAAATCATGGCCTAACTTCTAATAAGGTTACGAAAACCTTTTCAAGTTTAAAACAATGAAATATAATATAATTTTTAACTCAAAAACACTAAACCTGTGACAGAATCTTTAAAACATTAAGTTTTTTTTTTATTATTATGATTACGAAATGTGATATAACATCAAATAATATAATTATAATTTGCTTATTCGCCACATAACTCAGCATTTGTGTTATTCGAAATTCAAAATGGAAAGACATGAAATTAATAAAATGTTACATATAGGATTGCTGAGAGTGAGTAAAAATGTATGTTTTGTTTTTATTCAATAATGATAATACACATTTTTATATAATATGAATTTTTCAACAATAAATAATATTACTAACGATTATTTAATAAAACATTTCGATCAATGCCAACTTAAAGAAAAAAACACTTGTTAATTTTCTGTCACTGAGTTGGTAGATTGCACACATCACACGAAAACATTACTTTTGTGAGTGCTCGATTGTGCCAAGCGTTGCTGTACTGTCAAACTGAAACTGCTGTAAAGTTAAAACATTCAACGTTGCATTATGCCGCATAATGCGCTCTAGTGCTGTAATTGGAAAACTACCTAAAAACTTTTTCGTTCAATTAAAAAGTGACGCAAAAGTTTAACTTTTTGAGTCAGGTAACGCCATAGGGCAAAAGTTATGCAAAATGTTACAGAACTAATGTTCTGACTACGCTACGTTAGAAGGCATCAGATGTATAATGTTCAAAGGTACTTTTTTAATCCATTTGTAATCTAGTATCCATACGTGCTTGTGGGTAGCCATGCTCTCTTAAAACCCCTTCGGCGGTGTCATGTGAGGCGAGTCGTTACGTTCCCTAAAAATTGTTAAGCGAAGCCATGGCTGGTTCTTGCGTCATGCTCGTGAGCGGGTGCTACCAGCGGAGATGAGTCTGCTCTTATTACATTGGGTACTTTTTTCGTGATATTTAACTTTAATCCTATTTTTTTATCCTTAAACTGTAGGACACGGCATTCCCAAACTATGTGTTTAATCAGTATTTTTTTTTTCAGTCATAATTTTTACATTTATAATGGAAGGTGACTTTATGAGTTATCTCATTCTGAAGTATTTTTTCAATTTGATGACTCTGTATACAATGCAGAGAGAAAATAACAGCCCTTGCTTAGTTTCTTGCCGGTTCTTCTCAGAACAAGGTCTTCCGCCGCAGATTTTCGAACCGATGGCACAGCTTTTCGACATTCACAAGTAACAGTCAAGACTGAACAAACGTTTTTTTTTTTTTGAGTTTTGATGTAAACGTTCGCTTCACAAAAAAGAGCCCGTCACGACACAACACGACAGATAAGTATAGTTCTGTCTTAAGTTCTCTACGCCTATGCACTAAAGGGGCCTATTGACGGCAGTCCACCTTGGAGTTCGTCTCTTTAAGCAGGATTGTGAAATTTGTCGCAGCATGCAGGGCGTGCGGCATCAACAAGCAGGTTGCATTTTGAGTCCTGCATAGCGACTGCAATGCAGGCTCGTGAATAAATGGCCCCCTTATCCATCTTGCAATATTCATTTGAATAGCCCTCATGAATACACACACATTAGGCACGCACATCACAACATCACAATCAAGGGTCATACCGGTGGTTTTCCAATTACAGAGCATAATGCGACTCAGTGGCGCACGATGCCGAATTATGCTGATGCTTAATTGGAACGTGAATTAATTTTCAAATGCACCAGCAGAGTGCGCTAAGTTCAGTGTTGAAAAAGAAGTCAATGTTTGTACCTTCATATATTTATATTTAATTTTTTAACACAGTTTGAATTAACTTTGATTATTTAAAAAAAACTATAATGAAACAAAAGTTTTGATAATTTTTCAACAATAAATAATATTACTAACGATAACATGTAAATAAAACATTTCGATCAATGCCAACTTAAAGAAAAAACACTTGTTAATTTTCTGTCTCTGAGTTGGTACGATTGCACGCATCACACGAAAGAATTACTTTTGAGAGTGCTCGAATGTGCGAAGCTTTGCTGTAATTGAAACCCTCAACGTTAAGCATTATGCCGCATAATGCGCTATAATGCTGTAATTGGAAAGCCACCACCCACTCTTATGACCTTGCCCATGCAGCTAGAATGTGAGTGGCTGGCTTAATCGAGCTATAATCAATGCTGACAAAACCATAGACAAACTGATATTGTGTCACTTCCGGTTCTACCGCAACGAGTTACGAGCGGAGAACTACACGGGCCTTCTGTCTGCCATAGAAGTAATAAGTTCTGAAAAATGTCGCTCATCTCCGCTCGTTTGGCCTCATCAGTGGCCAGGCGTATCCCAAATGCCGCTTCACAGGTACCGTACTGCTATTTTATTACGTATAAGTACTAAGAACTATGTATTCTCGGGTTTTACACGCCCGGCTATCTGTAATCTAATAGCGAAACATGGAAGTCGTAGCTCCCAATTCGTGAATTAACACTCTTAATTAATGGTTTTACTGCTTGCAAAACATGGGATACAGTTCCACAGTGTTATGTAGTCGTCTTGGCAATAGTAAATTGATAACTTTAAAATTCTATCACCCTCATACGTGTTATGTAATAATGGGTGTTCAATCCAATACGGTCTTATTATACGGCTAAAACAGTGAAGCACACAGTTTTAATTTGTTCAAGTTGATGAAGACCTATTATCAGTGCAGTTGTAGTGAGAATTTGTTGAGTATTGGTAGTGAAATTTGGTTATGTTCGTGGTAGGTATCGAAGGTCGCCGTGCCAGCGGTGGCGGTAGCCTCGCGCAAGATCCATGTCTCGTGCAGCCAGAGAGCCGCCGAGATCTCCACTATCCTCGAGGAGAGGATCCTCGGGGCCGCACCCAAGGTTAGTCTGCTATTATTACATAAACATACACTGTGAGAGAGGTTAACTTACATAAAAGGATTTTTTAAAAACTTTTCAAGTTTATCAGATTACAACAAGTATATATATTGGTTGTAAATGCTTTGACCCTTTTAACTTTTAATTATATTGACCTATTATCTATTGAACTCTGACCTAGATCACATATTTTAAAAAAAATGGTTATGTTTTAGTATGAACAAATTTTAATCCTTAGCATAATCAAATTGGGATATAGTTTCCTAGTCCATGTTTGTTTACAGAAGATTTATCAAATATTCTAAACTCATCAGCTGTTGCTGCAGCTGATTTAATAAATAGTTATTTACATACATATTTCTATAGATTGCAGAACAATAATGTTAAGGTTTGTGATAAATGTTGTTTATTTAACTTTATTTCCAAACTAAAGCAAATGGAGCACTTAATGCCATAGGCATTCTCTACCAGTCAACCAGTAAGAGTGTTCGAAACAAATAGTATGTAATAAGGCAAAGTAGTTTTATTAAATGTATTATATTTATTTTCAGGCTGACTTAGAAGAAACTGGCCGTGTATTGAGCATTGGTGATGGTATTGCGCGTGTATATGGGTTGAAAAACATCCAGGCCGAGGAGATGGTGGAATTCTCCTCCGGTCTTAAGGTTAGAATTATTTGGATCTATTTTTATACCTCAGCGAAAAATGTGAAACACTTACTACAGAAAAATGTGTGATGAAACTTCCATGTAAGAATAACATGAATCAGTTTGAGTACTTAAATGTAAATTTAGTTTGTTCCCAATTTTGGAGTTTTTTGAAAAAGCTCTTTGCATATGAATAATTTCATTAATTAAAATCTCTATATAAATAAACCTGTTGGACAAGTGGAGCAACCACATAAAATGTGTGTTGACTATTACATTTACAGGACAGATTTTAAAGGAAATTCGCTACTAGATGAGTAATTCCATTGTGTGCAGGATTTTTTACAGGATCTGGAATACTGTAGTGTGTGTGAACTAACTCATACAACTAGATATACCAATAATGTATATGTTTAAACGGACCTGTAAAAAGGCTGGTGCATATTTTGTCTGATTTATATTTTTACTGGGTCTGAAATACTGTGTATTGTATGTGAACTCCCTCATACATACACCATGAAATAACTGACCTGTTAAAGGAATTGCTATGTTTTTGTGCGCTAATACGTGAAGTGACGTTGGCTTCAAGATATTTTACATTTGAAATTGTCTCTTTCAGGGAATGGCCCTTAACTTGGAACCCGACAATGTGGGTGTAGTAGTATTCGGTAACGACAAGTTGATCAAGGAGGGTGACATCGTGAAGCGTACTGGTGCCATTGTGGATGTGCCAGTAGGGGAACAGCTGTTGGGTCGCGTAGTAGACGCTCTCGGTAACGCTATCGACGGCAAGGGGCCTGTCGACACCAAGTCGCGTATGCGAGTCGGTATCAAGGCGCCCGGTATCATTCCTCGTGTGTCTGTGCGTGAGCCTATGCAGACTGGTGAGTATTTTTATTATTAAAATCAAACAGTTAAATAAAATAAAATAGTTTAGTATTCAAAACTATGTACTTATTTATAATTAGATATGAAAACTACATTTTATTATATTTTAATGCAAGGCAACAACAACTCATAAACCCTTTGTGGAATACTTGGTTATATAATGTAGAAATTAACCTATATTTTTATAAATAATAAATATTTTCAACACTCACACCAATTAGCCTAGCCTGGGGCTAGGCTAATTGGTGTAGTAAGCACTATAAGGCTTGTGTTATTATGGGATACTAGGGTAACGGATAGAATACATATACTGTACATATATAAGTATGTATATATAGAAAATCAATATTAAACATCCCCTACCGGGATTTGAACCCGGGACCTCTCAAGTCGGCGACACCATGAAACCCGGCGTATAAACCACCCGGCCACGGAGGTCGTCAATAAATAATGTTAAGGTTCACTATTTTTTTTGTTGTTGAAACCTTTAACTGTATTGATATGAGATTAAGTATTCAGCAACCAGAAGGGATAACTAGCACACAAGATCAAAAAACCCTAACCAAACTTTTTCTAATTCATAATAGGTATCAAGGCTGTAGACTCCCTTGTGCCCATCGGTCGTGGTCAGCGTGAGTTGATCATTGGTGACCGTCAGACTGGCAAGACTGCCCTGGCCATCGACACCATCATCAACCAGCAACGATTCAACAAGGGAGATGACGAGAAGAAGAAGCTGTATTGCATTTACGTTGCCATCGGTCAGAAGAGGTCCACTGTCGCGCAGATCGTGAAGAGGTTGACTGACGCTGGTAAGGATATCTACAGGCATTGAAATTAAAAATGACAAAAGCTTATCAATAGAGTGCGACCAAGATCTTTTGACACTTAGATGACAATGACAGACAGGCGCTGCTGGTGAATAAGTGCAGTGGTGAAATGAGAACCTAAAAGTACATAGTCTCCTCACTAAAGGGAACATTGTAATACACAATAACTCAGAGTAATAGGAAATATAAGACTTATTTACACCTTCCTCTATAAATAAAAGGCTTATTTATACCTTCCTAAAATTTGTTCCGATTGCGGTCATGTGGTCGAACTGTAACTATAGCTGACCCACCAACTTCTTACCGCCATTTTTTCAGTTTTTTTAACAAATCTTGCCCTGACAAAAAAAATATCACAAAAAAAATTACCAATTTTGTGCACTCAATTGGAAGTGATTTGTGTTATATTAAAAAAAATACAACACTTTCGACATAACCTTCTATTCTTTCAGTACTAAAAACTCTTTCAAAGACTGACAGACACAAAAAAATTAAACAAAAACAAAACTAACACACAAAAATTTAATTAAAAGTTCTCTATATGCAAAAATATCAATTTAAGGAAGATTAAAAATCATTTATAATCATAATATAATATATCATTTATAAAAATAAAACCACCGTTTAAGTTAAATAGATACCTTGCCTCACTGGAATTCGTTTCTCGTTTGGTATTACCCAATGTTGGCCTACACTCGGCTTCTGTACATATTTAAACCGAACAATCTGCCGAATTCGACATTCGGTGCAACACTAATGATAATAACATTAAATGTGCTATGTAACTCGTTAAAAAGTGGTTTTATTTAATTATATGTATGTGTGAAAACTGAAGAAATAATTATCATATAAATGTCCCGTCTGCTGCCTGGTCCGCATGGGATTTTTTCTAGTTATATTTTCTTAAGATTTAAACATCATGCAGTTACATGCTTAAAAAATAAAAATTATAAATAAATATCATTTATAATCCCCCAGGCGCCATCAACTACACAATCATCGTGTCCGCCACGGCCTCCGATGCCGCACCTCTGCAGTACCTCGCACCTTACTCAGGCTGCGCTATGGGAGAGTTCTTCCGCGACAACGGCAAGCACGCGCTCATCATCTACGACGACTTGTCCAAGCAGGCCGTGGCCTACCGCCAGGTCTGTATACGGCGTGACATATCTTATATATAAAATTCTCGTGTCACGATGTGCGTAATTGAATTGCTCCGAAACGGCTCGACCGATTTTCGTGAAATTTTATATTTATATTCAGTAGGTCTGAGAATCGGACAACATCTATTTTTTATCCCCCTATATGTTAAGAGTGGTCCACCCTTAATTTTTTTGACAATTCTTTTTGTTGTTATTTTTTTATGATACATCATATAAAAATCATATAATGCGATTCAACTAAGAAAAGGACCGACTGTGCGTCATATTGTGACGTCATAGATGTCAATTTGAACCAAATAGGTAGAGTGAACAAAAAAAGGTTTTATTAATAAAACTTATTTACTAAGATTAAGTGAGAAAAAACATCAGAATTTATAAAAATATATATATACTAAGTTTAAGAAAAAAAACAACCGATTTTTAGTAATATGTATTAATTAAGACTATTTGAGAAAAAACATTATTCGGAATCTAGCTCTTCAATTCCGCTCATCTCTGCGTTACCGCCGGATAGTAGGAGATCCGAACTAAAAACGATCTTCACCGAGCTGATAATAGAATGAATCATATTTTATAACAAATTTAGTATGTTAGAAAATATGTTGAAAATGGGTTGCCTAAAAAATCCTGGACAGACAATTTTTAATTAGGTATTTAATTATTTTTTATTTTATTTTTATTTTTGCAACATCAAGATAATAAGAAAATTTTTACCCTGACTTAAAGTATGAAACGTATAGAATGTGCAACCGTTGGGTTGCCTATTATTTACCTGGACAAACTACTCGGTTGTCAGGTATAAACAGGTATGTCGATGCCAGTTACCTTCACTCGATTAGATAATCGAAAAAAAAATATATCAATATGAGCGTTGTTTTATTGCGAACACGGTGATATAGGGTTGTCTGCAAAAAACTTGGTCCTAATAGGGGTTTGCGAATTTTGAAGATTTTAATTTTAACGCGAGTGGAAATGTGTGACAGAAAGATCCGAATTGAGTATAGCGTGTAATAATAAAGGACACAACATGGCACAACTAACATTTAAGTTGTAAATAATAATAATTATAATAATATTATAATACTAAAATATTAAACAATAAAACCTCAATTAAATAAATTAATAAATATATATAAATGAATTTACTTATTGACTTATAAGTATCATTATATATTTATACAAGTTTTTGTAACTCAAAATATAATGACGTAAATAATACAAATATCAATACTTTGAATTTTTTTTTTCTCTTTCTGGAAAAAAATATGAGAAACAAAGTGGACAGCCGAAAATTCAAATTCATGGATAAAAAAAAAGATAGACTAAAAATCTTGTATTACGTTTGAAAATTTTATTAAAAAACAGCATAAATACAAAAATAATATCAATAAAAAATAAATTATAATAAATATTTTCTATTCTATATCTGATTCATCAGAAGTATAATTTTGATTCTCGAATTCATCTGACTCATTATTAGTTTCTTCCTCAATTTCTTCCATTTCGACAATGTCCTGGATTTTCAAAGGAGTTTGATCTCCGATAAAACCAGTTGGTTTAAAAAAATCATCTAAATGCCAACCGTAGCTTTCGGGGTTTAATTTCGCACATATAATTGTTAAAATTAAAATCTTCAAAATTCGCAAACCCCTATTAGGACCAAGTTTTTTGCAGACAACCCTATATCACCGTGTTCGCAATAAAACAACGCTCATATTGATATAAAAAAATTTCGATTATCTAATCGAGTGAAGGTAACTGGCATCGACATACCTGTTTATACCTGACAACCGAGTAGTTCGTCCAGGTAAATAATAGGCAACCCAACGGCTACACATTCTATACGTTTCATACTTTAAGTCAGGGTAAAAATTTTCTTATTATCTTGATGTTGCAAAAATAAAAAATAAATATAAAATAATTAAAAATTGTCTGTCCAGGATTTTTTTAGGCAACCCATTTTCAACATATTTTCTAACATACTAAATTTGTTATAAAATATGATTCATTCTATTATCAGCTCGGTGAAGATCGTTTTTAGTTCGGATCTTAGACTAGGAGTAGTTATCAATAATCATGCACTATTATTAGGTCACATACGATCATGCATCCTTTATGTAAACGAAAGTTTTAAATCGAGTTTCTGAACGCAATTTAAAGTGACATTCGGTTGTCGATTTAGGTTATGAACCATTCATAGCCAAAGCTCAATAAATGAAAAAAAATATCAACCAATATTAATTATCAATATTTGTTATTGTTTGTTTACAAATGTATGGTTTTTATTCTGGAATTAGCTGAGTGCTAAAAAAGGCTTTCCTAGATTTTTTGCAAACCGTACTTTTTAAGCGACATTTGACAGCTGGAGGTCATTCTTGTTTTGAGTCTTTTCTATTCTTATTTGAATCGCACTATATATGTTTAAGCAGGCCGTGGCCTACCGCCAGGGCTGATTACGGCGCGATTATATTACACAGCCTCGGACGCAGTATCCATCGCGCTGCGCAGTAGCAATTTTACATACAAAAACGTCTACTGCATAAGTTTATTAAAGTCTGTTTTGCGCAAGAAGTTTGCCACTACCTATACCTTTACCTCGCGTAGTATTCCTACTGTGCCGCGCGTAGAAGACCGAAAATTTGTTTAATACCTACATAAAAGAAAAGACAGAAGTCACATAAATCCTAATAGTAAAAATTTATGGATGAAAGCTTGTAAAAAAAAACAGTTTTCCACTGCTGTTATTTTTTCTGTGACTTCACAGATCCTGAGGTTTATACCTACCTATTTCTACGGAAATTATTATGAAAAAACTTGTATAGAAAAAAAACATGTATCCGCTGCTATTATTTTTTCTGTGACTTCACAGATCCTGAGGTTTATACCTACCTATTACTACGGAAATTACTTTTGTAGAAATATGTAGGTATAAACAACCTCAGGATCTGAGTAGACAGAAAAATAGCAGCGGTGGAAAAATGATTTTGTGTTTCTATTACCAGGCTAATTGGTGAGTGTTAGAAATATTTATTGATTTATAAATGTTTCTCTTAGATGTCGCTGTTGCTGCGTCGTCCCCCCGGTCGTGAGGCCTACCCCGGTGATGTGTTCTACCTGCATTCCCGTCTGCTCGAGCGTGCCGCTAAGATGTAAGTCAATGCGTTATAAGCCTTTATCTTTTATCAATTTGATCACAATAATAAAATCAAAGATAATGTAAACTGTTATTATCTTACAAAAACAGAAACAATTAAATTAATACGTAAATATTTCCAACACTCACACCAATTAGCCTAGACCCAAAGTAAGCACTGTAAGGCTTGTGTTATGGAATGCTAGGGTAACGGATAGAATACATGTACTGTACAGTCTTCTCTAATTTTCTTAAAATATTTGCATGAAGTTTAAACTTTTTATAAAAACAGTTATTTTTAATGATTAATAAAAATATCGATCATTTTAAGACACGTCACTAGTTCGAGGATCATTAAAAATAACTGTTTTTATAAAAAGTTTACACTTTAGGCAAATATTTTAAGAAAATTAGAGTGGACTCCTTATATGATGTACTTCAACGCCCTTCAAGCTTTTTTTGTATTTTTGTAACAGCCTGTATAAGTATATTTATATAGAAATACATATTAAACATCCATGACTGGAGTGCAAATGCTCGTATTCGTCACACAAACATCTTTCCCCACCTGGATTCGAATCCAGGACCTCTCGAGTCGGCGACACCATGAAACCCGGCGTACAAACCACTCGACCATGGAGGTCGTCATATTACACTTAGGGATAGAATGGCTGTTAGACTATTACTATTAAGCCTATATTATTATTATAACTATAACGCAAGCCTATACACACCAGAGGCGGCAAGCACTGTCAGTGTAAAATTATTTTAAATACTCAAAAGAACAGTATCATTTGATAAGGTCAGCGTTGCCGAGTCGTGCGAACTCGTCAAGCTTTTCAATCATACTGGTCTTTAATTAAGTAGCTAAAGTTTTAATTTATTTATTTATTAATTAATGGCTAATTTGCTATTACAACATAAATTTTCAGCCTTATCTATAAAATTTAATACAATACCATTTTTTACAGGTCCGACAAAATGGGCGGTGGTTCCCTCACCGCTTTGCCAGTTATTGAAACTCAGGCCGGTGACGTGTCTGCTTACATTCCCACCAACGTGATCTCCATCACTGATGGCCAGATCTTCTTGGAGACTGAGCTGTTCTACAAGGGTATCCGGCCTGCCATCAACGTCGGTCTGTCCGTGTCAAGAGTAGGATCTGCTGCCCAGACTAAGGCTATGAAGCAGGTATGAATCCAAAAGAAATATAGAGGCCGAAATACTGTTGATGTGTCTATATTTGGTGAGATTTAAAGCTAGAGCTCTTAGAATGGAGGATGTTTCAATTAAGCAGTTTGATTTTAAAAATTGTGTTCAGGTAAATAATGGACCTGATTGTGCCATAATTCTCGCAACCTACAATTGCTAATAGATTATTAGGCATCATCATGCTGTAAAGAGTCAAAATGAATGCTAAAAGTGTTTAGAAGGAGAAAAAAGATGAAAGACCACTATCTCTCTCTCTTGTGACGCATAGCATCCAATGGCATCACAACGAAATAGTAAGATGCTTACGGTTGCCAATGAGCAAGCGCGATTAGAGAGAGAAAGCTAGCGGTCTCTCATCTTCTATCTCTTTCTGTTAGAGGGACACTTCCACTTGTAGTAGACTCTATTCTTATACCTCTATGCTGGTAGCACCCATTCACGAGCATGACGCTCATGCGTTATATGGTTCTAAAATATGGTTCCCTAGCTCATACCAGTCCTAGTTAGGGAACCATATTTTAGAGGAACGTAACAACCCGCCTCCCACGACACAACCAAAGAGATATTGATATTTGAAGATAATTTTTAAAATCACTCTTTGGTGCAGCATACCAATAATCTTAACCGCTTTTCTCCCACTAGGTGGCCGGTTCCATGAAGCTGGAATTGGCTCAATACCGTGAAGTGGCTGCTTTCGCCCAGTTCGGTTCCGACTTGGATGCCGCTACCCAGCAACTGCTCAACCGTGGCATGCGTCTCACTGAGCTGCTCAAGCAAGGACAGTACGTGCCTATGGCTATTGAGGAACAGGTATGATCTTAATCTTTTCCTTTTTAACCTAACTGAACACCGTGAATCATGAGTTAGTACCTGAGAAACTTTACTAGCTAATTCAGACAATGACTAAGGTTATAAATCCGCAAAATAAAAAATTATATTTTTTTTTTTTCGAAAATAGCTCCACATTGACTTACTATTTCTGCAATTTTGACACCATAGCCATTTTAATTTTTATAAATTGATTTAAATCCAACTACTTTTAAGAACTGCATATTTTAAACGTATACTTATCATGTCACGTAAAAATCAATCACACTTAATAAGTATGTTATTTACAAAATTGCGACGTTTTAGAGGATTTCGTAAACTATATCTTTATATATATAATTCTTCTGTGAGTGTGTATGTCACTGAACTTCTCTTAAACGACTGGACCGATTTTGATGAATTTTTTTGTGTGTGTTCAAGGGGATCTGAGAATGGTTTAGATTCACAATTTTGTCCGCTGGACAATGTTTTTTTAATTATTTTTTTTTATGGCGGTACCAAGTTCGCTGGGTCAGCTAGTTAATTAATATTTTTGTGTAGGGTGTGGTATGTTTATCGTATATAATTGTTACACGATTTTTAAGTTTCGGGAACCAAAAATTCATGGTGTGTAATTATGTAAATCAGGAAGTGGCTTTGTTAAGTTTTGTCATTTAAATCACTGAATAAATTATGCTGAATTATGGTATAGAGATAGATAATAAAATCTGATGAATGTTATAGCCTATTTTTTCTTGTGAAAAGAAAACTTGAAGGGGGTGGTATCATTGGTGATGAAATTTTATGTGGGCAACCAATTAAACCATGCAGATAACACACTATTGTGCAAAATATTTCATAGTTACTCTAATAGTTTAAAAGCCATTGGTCGTAATTTTACTCAAGTTCAATTTGAATTATTATACAGGTCGCCATCATCTACTGTGGTGTACGCGGTCACCTCGACAAACTGGACCCCACCAAGATCACCGCATTCGAGAAGGAATTCACCCAACACATTAAGACCAGCCACCAGGGTCTCCTCAATACCATCGCTAAAGACGGCCAGATCTCCCCCGAGTCAGACGCCGCTCTCAAGAAGATCGTTTCCGATTTCGTCGCGACCTTCACTCAACAGTGAACAACCTAGTGTAAACAGAAAAAGTTGTTGACATGGTGACTTTACGATCACGGTACAACGCCATGCCAACATTGCATTACAATAAGTGGCTACCTAACGGACACACTATCCCAGCGATCAGTGTGTCCGCTAGCGGCTAAAGTGTAGTTATCATTCGTAAGGACTGTATTGAATGTTGATACAATCATGGAATGTATTTATCTTGAACGCAGGAGTGGTTATATGTAATTAAACTTCTTTAAAAACTTTTGTTTCTTATTTACTGCTTAGACATCAATAGAGTAAATTCCTGTCCCTATAGCATGAGCACCCCAATTTATATAATATCACGTTTTTTATCGCGCCTAAATATCAAACTCCATAGTAATTTGACAGTTGAGCGTGATAAAAACGAGCTATGTATCATATTCGCGGTGCTCATGCTAATGTCTGGGGGCTGGAGTCTTAATTTCTAGTCTGCTCAGAACAATGAAAATTCTGTAACGCACACTAACGTTACGTTTATATGCATTCTCATGGCTCAACTACACTCGGACGTTAGTCCGTATTCAGGTGCACGAAAGACATTACCCGAATTCAGCCACCCGAAGCATTATTTACATTCGTAGACTTGTGTCCGGTAACCAAAACGAAAACTACCCAAATACGGGCATACTCGACCCCGTTCATATAAGTCGCAATTACATTTGGTCGTTAGTTTTGGGTGCATGACAGACAACTCGAACTCGAGCACCCGAACCAATGATTAAACTGAGACTATTGGCTAAACAAAAGCAAATATACCCGAGTACGGGCGTACTCATCACCGCTCGTTTACCCGAATCCCTTAGGCATTCGTATTTGGGCTAACAGCCAAGTGTAATCGCGCTATTACAATTAGAGCTTAAATTGCAAAGAGAAATAACCTACTTTTATATCTTGGTATATGCTCCAAGCAACGATATTAAATATTATTAATAATAAACGATATATTAGTATTTAATATCGTTGGCTCCAAGACTATACATGAGGAATCCATCCAGGTGTATAAAAACCGGATCTTTTGGGTTTAAACCCGTAAACACCCAATTTTCTGGGGGTTCACGCCAGCGTACACCATGAAAACAGTTATTATTTCCTAAACTGAAGAGGAAGATTTTCGTTTTATTATTAAACTAATTGTTCACTTTTTAATAGCATAAGTAACAACCTTGAACTTGATGTGGTGTACGCTGACATGACGGACTTGTCATATTTAGCTGTTAAAAACTGGTGCAGGACTCAAGAGGCGGCATAGACTTAATTTCCTTTGCCTCTGAAAGAACAAAAAGCAAGTTTCAACTAAGAGTGGCCATAAACAGAGTGTTTTGGTCCGATCCAGTTGAAAAGTACGGGAACAAAGAGTTTTAGTTTTTAAACTTAGGTCATAATATTAATATTCGTAAACAACGTCTGTTCTGCTTTTCACGATATAATAATGAAAAATTAAAAAGTTACTGGTGTGCATTTAAAGGAAATAAATAGGCATTGGTAGTTTTCCAATTACAGAGCATAATGCGACTCAGTGGCGCACAATGCCGAATTATGCCGATGCTTATTTGGAACGTGAATTAGTTTTCAAATGCACCAGCAGAGTGCGCTAAGTTCAGTGTTGAAAAAAGAAGTCAATCTTTGTACCTTCATCCATACTTATATATATATTTTTAACACAGTTTGAACTTACTTTGATTATTTAAAAAAAACTACCGACCCGAATTTTTAAAGCTTTCGGTATTTTCATTAAATATAACTTAAATGAAAATATCGAAAGCTTTAACAATTTTTCAAGAATAAATAACATTACTAACGAAAAATATATAAATAAAACATTTCGATCAATGCCAACTTAAAAAAAAATGGTTGCCTGTAAAGTCGGTTTTACGGGCGAAGATTTTACATGACAACGTCTTTTTCTCGGTAGAATATTTATTGATATGAATATAATTAAATTGCACAATAGGAACAAGGAATTGAATGAAAATAAGAATTGCACAAATTTTAACTATAGAAATATATTTTGTTTACTAAAACATTGTACATGTAAACTTAAACTTAACACGAGAGACACATCGTAACGTTACCGAGCGTTACACTTTTTCATAAGTGACTCCCAGCCGCAACCTAATTTAAGACGTTGTCACGTCAAATACACTTGTTAATTTTCTGTCACTGAGTTGGTACGATTACACACGAATACATCACTTTTGAAAGTGCTCGATTATGTGAAGCGTTGTCGTAGTTGAAACATTCAACGATAAGCATTATACCGCATAATGAGCTCTAGTGCTGTAATTGGAAAACTACCATGGTATACCCGTAATGTGCGTGCTACACAGAAACGGTAAAAACGTCGTGTTTACTGCCACTCTAATATGTCAAAAAATTGTCACTGAAGAGGTCATGGTCACGTGGTTATTGTTATGGTTGTAAGTACAGCCACAACATTATTATTTTAAAAAAATCATTTAAATTAAATTAAAGCACGTATGCTGATATTGGTGACTACAAAAAAACTTTGTATTTTAACTTTAAGCATAGGTATTTAATATTCGGTTCGTAAGCAAAGACAAACCGTGAAATATGGAATTTTTTGAGAAGGCGCACGTTGTCAAGAAAGAGACTTCTCGTAAAGACAGTAAATCAGAAGAAGCAATGAAGAAGCAGTTAAAAAAAATGCTGTTTGGTTATAAGCTCAGTGATAACAAACTTTTAAAAAGTTGTGAAAATGCTACTGATCTAAATGAATTTGATGATGATTCCAGTTCAGTTAGTGGATTTTCAGATTTAAATCTTACTAATTCTAGCAACGAAGCAGACCAATCACAACGTGCTGTCCGGTTTAATGACGAGGAAAATTGTGCCATTGCTAGTGAAGATAGTTATAGTGAAATTGCAGATAATTCAGATGAAAACTCTAAAAACAATATAGAATCTATAACAGAGTATGATGTCAATAACTTAACTCTTTCTGATGATCCTCAAAGTGCCATGGACTCAAATTCAGATGAAAGTAGCGATTTATCTATCATTTCTAGTAAATCAGGGACATCAGAAGAAGATTCAGTGTTTGACGCTAATGGAGGATTGGCCACAAAAATATTGGAAAAGTTGGATAAACACAAACTTACAAAAAGGCCAAGAAAACGAAAATCAGGAATAGAGTTAGAAACACAGAAAACTGTAGCTAATATTAAAAATAAACAAATAAATAAAGGGAAGAAAAATCAAAATCTTGCTGAATTACAAACTAATATAAAGAATAATGTATATGACAAAGCTTATGAAGATAATGTATCTATCAGTAGCGATATTACTGATTTCTCTGATTCCCCCGCTTTTATATCACTTGAAGCTTCTGAAATGTCAGATCATAGTTTGAAGGAAATTTTGGGTCATTATAAATACCCAACAGTAAAAAATCTTCCATCAGATATACAAATTACAAATAATTCTAACTCTTTCTCTATTGAGGCCATGAATGTAGAAGATATTGAAGAAGATGTTAGTAGTTCAAGTTTAGAATTTGATGATATGTTGAATCAAGCTCAAACTGAAAATTCTGAAATGAATATTAATAAATCACCTATAACAGAAGATGTAAGTGTATATGATAACACAATTCAGTCAGAACCTACATCTGAAAAGGAAATGTCTTTAGATTCTGTAGAAGATGCATTTGTTAGTCCGATCAACTATTACTGTGGAGTAAACAGTTGCATATTTATTTTAAAGCATCCAGCTGAGCTATTCATTCATGGAAAAGTACAATTGAAGGTTTTGGGGGGTGCTTTAGACTTATTTGGTTATAGACTGAAAGATAAACTGTATGAGGTATATGCTCCAAAATACAATTATGCCCATTGTGTTAAAACTGTTGCAAGTCAAAATTTATACAATGGATTATTTAGCAAATTGACTGCTGAAGGGTTATCAGTATCTGATGCTGAAGAAATAGTAACAACTCTTGGAGAAAATGATGGTGTCATCAGTATGAGGAGACTTGATAGCCGAAATATGGATTTTGTAGAGAATAATATGACAGCTATTGATTTGTTTAGTAAGAATACAAGAAATGTAGATCAATGTTTTAAAAAAGTTTCAGAATTTCTTGGCTGTTCTTTATATTTGACTAGGCAGTGGAAATCATTTGAGGAAGTAACATGTTGGAGAAAAGTTGCCGAGTATGGTATGAGTAAGTAAATATGTATGTTTCTATTGGATCTATGGATTAATGCAAAACCATCATCAGCCTTTTAATGTCTCCACTCTGGGGCAAAGGCCTTCCCTATGGATGGATAGGAAGATTGGGCAATGAGGAGCTTAAGATGATAGGTACATTTTTGGTCACCTATTCAATTACCAGCCATTGCGAAAATTGCTAATGGTCCTTAAACAATTTAGTTTCCAAAATATCATTCTTAAAAAGTGAGAAGTTCACTTCCCAGTAAACTTCAAAAATACAAATAGGTTATGGCCAAACCAACAAAGCTTGCATTTGGTTATTTTGACAACAACATTGTCATTCATTCACTTGCTTATTTTGACGTGAAAGCAGCCTGCTAATTTTAGTTATTTTTTAAATTACACACCCTACTCCTCACTTCTCTACATTAATACAGTAGAACTAGTTGCCGTGGCGTCTTTTGAAATCTGGCGCCCCGGGCCACCTAAGATCCTCCCCGCCTACCCCCGCATTATTGGTAAATCTAATCAAAATATAGGTCAGTAACAAGTGCCTTTAAATGGCTTCGGCCGCCCCTCGACGCAGCCAGCCGCCCCCAACAATGGCCTTTGACCCTATACACCCTTGACTAGTTGGCTGATTGTCTATCTCTTTTCGCTTTCCTTTTCAAAGATCAGCGCACGTTTTACCATTCTGCTCAAGTTTTTACAGCCAAGAAGTTTTTTCTGATGCTCCTTTCATTGCTTCCTGTATCCGCTCACCTCTATCAGCCGATTGTCTTCCATCTCTGCTAAAAACACATGCAAGATATAGTGAGCTTTCTTTGCTGATGCAAATGATGCAGCTTTATGGTCGATAAAATGCTGATGCACATCGACCGACTTGCAGAGTACAAGTCCATTTGCCGGCCAAAGTGAATTTATGTAAGCCGAGGCGGATAGCCCAGATTCTTGTAAACCTGTGAATATAGTTGATTATCCCGTATGCATCGCGCGGGGCAATTTATAAAATCTACAATTTGCGCGAGTGGCTGACCCTTTGATATAATATCAAAAATGGACAAGGATCGATTCGCACCGCAGCATGTTCAAGCGCGGCAATGTTCGAGCTCTTGCGCACATAATGTGACGCAGATTAATCCTAGCAGTTGTTACGGCTTCGTTTTTTTTTCGAAAACTATTGTTTATTGACGACCTCCGTGGCCGAGTGGTTTGTACGCCAGGTTTCATGGTGTCGCCGACTCGAGAGGTCCCGGGTTCGAATCCTGGTGGGGGCAGAGTGTGATGAATACGAGCATTTTTACTCCAGTCATGGATGTTTAATATGTATTTCTATATAAATATACTTATATGTGTACAGTATAATTATCTACTATATAAAAATAAGTCGGGTTTTCCTTCCTGACGCTATAACTCCAGAACGCACGCACCGATTTCCACGGTTTTGCATTCGTTGGAAAGGTCTCGGGCTCCGTGAGGTTTATAGCAAAGAAAATTCAGGAAAAATTAAAAAAAAAATCTTCTTTTAATCACCAAACGAAATGTTACATAAAACGAAGCTATCTGGTGGCGAAACGGAGTTCGCGGGGTTTGCTAGTGTATTCTAAACGTTACCCTAGCAACCCATTACACATGCCTTACAGTGCTTACTTTGGGCATATTACCGTGCTTTGGGGCTTTACCAGTGAGAGTTGGAAATGTTTATTTATTTGCTTGGTGTTCAATTTTATTATTACTATCCATCCATACAATATCATCTTTTATCATTATACTATTATGACTAGTGTTTGTAAACCCTATGGTTTATCTGCTAGTACCACATCACCAAAATCAGTCTACTGCAGGACATTGGTAATTCTAAGTGCGAGCCACTAAGCAATGTTCACCTATTAAATTGTTAAATAAATTTCAGAAATAAATTATAGGAACTAAGGTTAGTTCCTAAAACTTTGGTGGATTAGCAAACTGTTGCAGCATAAACACAATGGTTAACATTCTGGAAGTTCAGTAACTAACAGGAACACCAAAACCGTTCATAGGGCGCGGCTGGCGTCTAAAAATTCGTTCTCAAGATCGGATGCTTCGGAAAACACATTAGGTCGTTGGTCCCGACTGCATCTACATTATCCAATTCGTACTGGGTCCGCTTGGTGGATCCACCTGTGGACAGCGTTACGTGGCGGCATTACAACTTAAGTATGAGAACAAATTATACATGGATTTATCAAGTGCCGTGCCATATTCCTGTATATTATATCGTACTACGAGGATAGGAAAAGGAGACGGTATAGTTTTGTATGGAAGGTGGTAGTGAGTAACCGGCAGCATTGGCATTTATACCACTTAAAGTTCATATTTTTTTAAATCATTTACTAATTTTTCAGATTTTTTTGTACCCCCGTTTTTTTGTAATTAATTATCAAAGTTCCAGGAAATAATTAATCTGGCAGCATTATACTCATTTCTTAAATATGCAGATAGTGCAAATCCTATTATCGATTATCGATATTTTTCATTAGGTAATCCCTTTTTATGTTCATTCTATTATTGAATGTTAATTACAATTATATAATGTAAGGGTGCGGCCAGAGTGCACTCAGATTCAGAGTCAGATTCAGATTCTGAAAACAAGCGCGAGAAATAAACAGTGTAGTCTAAGCAGGTTGCCTGCTTTTTCTCGCGCTTTGTTTTCTGAGTCTGAATCTGAATCTAAATCAGGAGTGCAATCTGGCCGTACCCTTCGACTACACTGTTTATTTCTCGCGCTTGTTTTCGAAATCTGAATCTGAATCTGAATCTGAGTGCACTCTGGCCGCACCCTAATCCGGGTGCTGTCATAGATAGCAGTCGTGCCTTTGGGGTTTCCTGAGGGTTGGTGTCAAGCAGGCCATAAAAATCGAAATGACAAAACTATAGGATTTGCAGCGTTGTCAATATCAAGATACTGACTCCATTTAAAATGGGTGCAGAGTAAGAAGATGACACACATCCATCTATACTCATATTGCACCAAAGCCAAAATAAATTGGGAGCAGGGTGGCAAGTGCCGGCCGTGTGATGCCCACAGAGTAGAATAGTATCACCCCGTTTCCTCTAATGGGTGTCGTAGAAGGCGACTAATGGATCAGCTAAGGAGTTTTTACCACCTTATTCTGCGTCCACCAATCTGCATTTGGAGATTGGGCAGTAGCCCCAACGTACTTTCTTAACAAGGAGTCGGATTAAAAAGGCTGTGATGATGAGGGTAGGAAGTTTATGATTTCCTTGCATTATATTGCAATATGTTATTAATTTAAAATTATTCAATTAACAATCGTGCAAAGTAAATAATTATGTAAGAATTTATGAAGTCAATGTCCAGTAGACTTTGTGTTTACATTTAAGCATATCTGCATTTTCGTGATTCTGTCTATTGTTTATCATAAATAATCGTAGCTTTATAAGCCACGTTTAGCTATGAATCTCTTCACTTAAAAACCATTATGATTTTTAAACAAAAGTGGAACAAACCCTTTATTACCCTATACTACAAAAATAATGATTAGTCTTATTTTGAAATAATCTTGATATATAATCGAATAGTAATATCTTCTATTATCGATTACTGATTGTATTAGTTATAACACAACACTGATTTTCTGTGTTTGACACTTATAAGTGAGTTCCTTCGGCTTTGTTCGTTTCTGTTGGTGGTTCGTTCGTTCGCGGTATTGTTTATTTTTATATTTATTTGATCTTTTCTACTGTAAACTGGCTACTTTTATACTGACTACGATATTCCCGCTTATTCTGTTGACCCCTTCTGTGTCTTCTGGATTCCCGTTTGCTTATTATTTGGATTTTTAATTGCCCCGGTCGGATATCACGACATTTTGTTAATGTAAGTAAATCTTTTCGAAAACTCTATTCACTGCTAAGAAAGAAAGAAAGTAAAACTGAGAGATAAGTTAATTACTTATCACATTTCTTTGAGTTTCACCGGAGTTCTTGATAAATAATACGTGTTCTGAGATTCAATTTAGAATTCAAACTACCGTACATTAAATTAATAAATAGTTCAACATTGTGACCGGTGACTGAAATTGCTCTTTATCTCATTTTAAAATGACTACTTTTTGTTAGTTAAATTCTCAACAGTGCAACTCATTATTGGCTAAATGCGTAATCGTCGCGAAGCCAATAATTAATAAAAAGACAAAGAGTCACTTTTCTCTTACACTTTCTATTCACAAATTGTTGTTCATTTATCATTTGATTTCAGATATCATGGCATGTATGAATTGCCACATACTGTTGAGGCAGAATATACAATTACATGAATACAATGTTACTAATCTAAGTTCCGAACTTGTATCTATTGTTGAAGAATGGTGTGGTCTTGAGGTAAGTGCAGATTATTTAAATAGCATAGTGTATGTACTCCTGTTTGTGATATAGAGGACCATTAACAATGCTATAAAATTCTTATAACATGTGTCTATTAATGATCAATTATGTCAGGCATGTCTAATGCTTGTGATAAGAGAGGCAGCTAATCATGATAAGGACCCTAGTCATCACCCGGAGAGGGAGATTGGACACTCCTGTGTTTATGTGTGCTGTGGAGTATCACTATCTACACAAAGTGAGCAGCGTCATCCCAGACTGCCATCGAGGAGTGTAGCACCTAACTTATATAGAGAACCAAATATTTCCTTGGACAGTATGTATGTTATTATATTTTAGCTATTTGTTTTTTTTGCATTTTATATTATTCAGATTTGATTTGTAACATTCAAATTAGGTATATTAGAATGTTTATAGGTTTCATTTCCATAAGAAGAGATCTTTAAGACAACCTTTTGATGGACAGGCAAGACTTAAAACTTCTGAAGGAATTCATTGGTGTACTTTTTCTTGAAATATTAGACCAATAGTTTATATATTATTTTTATAATGTCTGATTAACATAGAACGAAAAAATAAAACATTTCCTTAATTTTCAGGTTCCTGCAAAAGCTTGGGTATGCCATGCTTGCTGGATGAGAGCCTATGAAAGCCATCCATTACAAGACGACATAATTGAAATACCTCCAATTGCATTCGTCGAGTCCCCATCTGACAGGAATGCATTTCTTGTACTGGATCCAGTGGAGTTAGATTCTTTGGTTCCAGCAAGTTCAGTACTGCCTAGTTCTGAATCAAGTTCTTGGGCTGGAGCTGGAATAGCAAACCCATCACCAAACCAAAATCTTATGGAATTACCAAATTATAGACGCATATTTGATTCACCAAACCACTGCTTCTTTTTTAGATGGGATATTAATTACAGAAGACGAAGATGAATAAAATGTGATTATTTTTAAAATGTTTTATTCTTCCTGAAGTATTCCTTTCTCAAAATCATTACTGGAATTTGCAATCATAATAATTCTATGTATTCAAGGTTCCTAATGGTGATTTTCTTGTAGTTAAATGTCTTATATTTGAGATAAATTGAAAGCTTGTAATTTATATAAACAAATTGTCAGGCAATAATGTTATTACCTAGGCATCAAAAAATATTTTTTTAATGATATTGTTTTATTTAAAATCTTCATCCATAGTTAATAACAAAGACATAAAAATAGATAGTGGTTTTCACCACATTTAAGAAGTACTTTAAGGAGTGCTGTGTGTATAATGTAATAAATATATTTCAATAATTTTGTACCTATATTTATAATTACAATAATCAATTAGATTTTCACTTAATTGGCAAAAATGCGTAGATACGAGATAATTAACCATTTGTGTATCATAAGGCTAATGTTTGGCGGGAAACCTTGGATCTTCATTTTGCTATTTCAAAATGCCGTCGGAGTAGACTGTGTAATTACTAATTATTTTTATACACAAGCATTCCAATCGACTATCAGCTAACGACGAATCATTGAAATTAAGCTTTCTATGAATCACTTCACATTTGAATGCAAGCAGAACGCATGTATTCTTCATATTTTCTATTTTTATTTAGAATATAATTACTGAAGACATGGCTGTATGGGCGTGATTTCTTTGCCATCGCTTCAAATAAAACAGCACAGAAGTACTGGGGTGGCCAGCATAAAGACAAAATGAAAAACTTCGCTTGTAATTTAAAAATAAACGGAGGTAAAATAAAAATTGAAATTCATAGGACATTCTAGAAAAAAAAACAGCTTTTCAATTATATACTTCTCATGGCTGCCGGTTTTTGACTACCACTTTTATACCGTCTCCTTTCCACTGCATCCGCCATCCCACTGGCGATGTATTCCATAAGTCTAAAAGAAGAATTATGTTATGACCTCTATCAGTTTTTGAAGTTCTTCAAGTTATTTGTTTTCTCAGACGACCAGAGTAGGGGCATCGTTTGCGGAGGCAAGGGCGTTGGAAAATCAACATTTCTTCGGTACTACGTAAACAAACTGCTCTCACGAGGCCCCGTTCTAGTATTAGACCTGGATCCGGGACAGGCCGAGTTCACCGTCGCTGGGAGTATATCCGCCACAGTCGTGGATGAGCCGTTGTTAGGACCTAGCTTTACACACCTCAAGACTCCTCATATGTATGTTATTATAATATTTTCTGCTGGGCACTTCACATGGGTTCATATTTGCTATTTTATATACTTGACAACATTCTCTCCCGATTAAATGTGATAAGTAGGACAAACTGCAGTGAAAATGACAAATAGCAAATACGAATAGCCAAGTGAATCTTTGTTACACAATCTAACTAATATTACTAAACTAATATTAAAAAATGTGAAAGTTTTTTACTTACTGAATGACGCAAAAACAGCTGAACGGCTTTGGATAAAATTGGACACACATAGTTTACTCTTTTTTTTACATATTTTACTCTTTTTCTCGGAGAAATGTAAGGTTCCTGAGGGATTTTGATAAACCCAACTATGCAGACGAAGTCACTGGTGGAAGCTAGTCCTACTATCTTACTAATATGTATTATAAAAGTGAAATTTTGTAAGTTTGTTACTCAATCACGCAAAAAACTACTGAATGGATTTGGATGAAATACGGTACGCTTAAAGTTTCTAACCTGGATTGACATAGATACTTTTTTATGTCGGAAAAATTTTAGAAGCCGGTGGTATTCTCAGAAAACAAGTTGTCGCGGGCGGCCGATAGTGTTTTATTAATTACATAACCCACTTAATATCCCAATATATGTGGCATCACGCATTAGGGGCAAGGTTCCAGACATTGTTAATTTAAGACTGCAATTAATGATTGCTTAGTTTTAAGGGTTTCTTTATTTATTTACTCAAAATAATTAAATAATAATTAAACAGTACGTACCTAACCTAAGTAATTACTGTAACATACATTTTGCTTGTGTACCAATGAACATTCGAGTAGAAAAATGTCCTGAAAATGCAATCGCTCTGGATTGCGAGGATTAAATTGGGTGCGTGAATTTTACCCAAGTGGCAAAGTGTTTTTGTTCATTTTGTATATACTGAATTGTTTAGGTTTGTCTTATCTAGGTATTAAATGTAATATACTATTTAAATAAAATATTATCTCAAACTTTGGACTAAATAGCTAAAATTTCTTCCAGGATGTTGAACATAGGCATGATCAACACAATGGATAATCCAAGACGATACGCCACAGCCGTTAGAACTCTAATTAGTCACTGTTGCAACAACGAACAGTTGAAATCCATGCCATGGGTTATAAACACAATGGGTCTCTGCAACGCTATGGGATTAAAGTTCATGACACTTATTATACTTCAAGCACGGCCTTCGCATTTACTTCAAATAGACTCTAAAAATGCTAAGAAGAGATTTGAAATGTATTTAGACTCGTCTACTACGAAAAAGTTATACGAGGAGAATTATAAAAACGATCCTCTATTTAGAGGTTTAGACTTAACATTGGACTTTGACTATTCATTCTTTGTAGCACATCATACGGAAAATCCTGTTAAAAGAAGCTTTTCACTGCCTGCAAGAGATGAGAGATATTTGAACTTTTTAGCTTACTTTGGTGAACTTTTATCTACTAAAGAACAAACCGATTTACTGGGCATAGTGCCTTATGAGTAAGTAATCAAAAAACGAAAGTTTGGTGATGTACAATTAACTTGTCAATTTAAATGTAAGAATTGAGCCTATCACATCAATTACAATGTGCTCCAACAATGACTAACTGAATGTTTGTACTCGGAATTAAGAATGATTCATTGTAATAACGGATATTAAGTTTGGTTTTAACGAAATTTTGTCGGTTTAATGTACTTCTTTTAAAGCACGTAAGATTTCATGAAATAAAATACTACGATGGTAAAATAGCGACCGTCTGACGTAGAAATGACGTCATCTTGACAACTTCTAGGTCAAACTGCGGTGCAAATTCTCAACTTGCATGCTTTTATTTTAGAGTGAAATTGCAAGACCTGCACATCGGATTGAATGTCAAAATTAACGAGGATGCTGTGACGAAAGTGATAAATGGCAAAATAATAGCGCTTTGTCAACTAACTACGCAAGATAAAGGTGGCGATGTGTTTACCCTGAGAGATAAGCATGTGTTGTGCCACGGGCACGGTACGAAATATTTTTTTATATTTACCTATGAACTCATCTTTCTCTTTTTATTTATCATGTACTAATATTATTATAACAATATGGAATTTAGTTAGGAAAGTCTGGTACTTTAAAAGCTTACGATTTCATATTTAAATTGAATTCAAAAAGACTAGTAAACTTTCAGATTCGAATACCTGTTATTTATAAACACCTAGTACACTAGTTCTGTTTAGTCTGACCCATGAATAAATGCTAAAAATCGGATTAGGCTCCATTCAATCATTGGGTATCCGAAATGAAAAAAAACACAAGAATTACCTACAGGTACTTGATATTATTATGTTTAGGAAGTTGTTCTAACGTTACGGCACACTATTGCACTATCGCGAACATGTGCCGTTTTCACGACGCATCTAACCGAGCAATAGTCGTATTTTTAAAGGCCAATGTGGCTGTAGTATAAAATTTCAAAACCCCAAAATGAATAATGTTATGATTAGGTCTTAGAGCATGCTCTAAGGATTAGGTATATAATTATATTCCTTTCAGATTGTCAATAAAAGATACTACTTATGATGTCATTGATGAATCATATGCGTCAAGCTTCTTATACGTAATGGTCTTCCTCTAATGATGTCATGTATTTAAATGAAACTTCAAAAATTCCGTTTAGTACTTTTCACAGAGGATTGATAACCATAATGTTGCCAATATTTTTTATCATTAATATATATTTTGCACTTCAAAAACCCATCAGATGATATTAACTTATAATATTAAAGTGGACTGTGTGTGTTGTAAGTTTGTTATCATGAAACTGCAGCAATAAATTCCTGATTATCATTGATAAGTAATCATGACTCATTAATAGTAGTGTTGTTCCACAGGGCTTATACGAGGAATTGATTTGGAAAATCAAATGTTGTACATCATTACCCCCATGCCACATGAGAAACTGTCTCTAGTTAATACCTTGGTTTATGCTGATTGGGTGCCAGAGTTGAGGGGTCAGGAGCGACAACTACCAGCTGGCATCACTGTACCCTATCGCACAGCTACCATGTATCAACGGAGACAACTAATGTTTGCACCCAAGAGAAGATTCAATCCACTACAATTATTGAAAATGACAAGGAATTCCTAAATTGAAACGGTCCATGATTAGTTAATAAATTTGTAATTGGAATAGATCCAAAATATCTTAAATTATAAAAGGAATTCTAATAATTATGTTAATTCATGTATATTTGAAAGATAATTTTGTACTTACAATACTAATAAAACATAACATATAGATGATTGATTTTAACTTAAATATTCCCCATCCTAAACACCTTTTAGTTTATAAATGCTGTAATATTTTTTTTATAAAAGTCAAAAAGAGTTTAGAAAAGAATTGTTAAAACATGGGGTTCCTTTATTACTAATAAATTATATTAGCATGCAATATGGGAAGTTAAATTTCACACAAACAATAGATTACAATAAAACTGCCCTATAGAATCAGATGGACGTCTCAAAGACGTGTCTAGTTGACAGGCACTTAGCTGAGAATTGGGGCTTGCGCTCCACGTCAAATAAACATCACCTACACAATTTATACATCACTATTTTATTGAAAAAATTAAAATACAAAATATGAAACTAAACAATCAAGTCTCGGTGAGACGACACCGGTCGAGGAATAAATCTATATGAAGAAATGCTACTTGAATAATATAACATGATAGTATAGCACGAAAAAATTAAGTGGGCCTGTCAATATAGGACCCACGATTGCCCCCGACCATATGTTTTAAGGCATTTACGCTTACCCTTTATAGATAAAATCTATAAAATATACAAGTACCAATTGTGAAAGTGTAGCCACACGAATACTGAGTGGGTGTGCGTGCAACGCGCGCCGCGACGTCGCGTCAGCTATCAGTTTCAGAAGGAAGCACTGTGTGGCCGACGTCGCGACTGCTGCAGTCCGAGTCGTATCAAACGTATGTGTCAGGCAGTATGCGAACGATTCATAAATCAGAGTTCTCCCACCAACAGCACATTTACAGCAGAGAACACCTAGTCTTCTTCTTCTTTTTAACCTGTAACGCGGCTCTAGTCGCCGTTTCAAACACCTCGCGCACTCCCTCCTTGCTCTTAGCAGAGCATTCAAGATATGCGAAAGCATTAATCTTCTCGGCCATCGCCCTGCCTTCCTGAGGTTTCACGGGCTCCTGCTTCATTTTGCGAAGTTCATTAATTGTGGCCGGATCATTGCGCAAATCCTTTTTGTTCCCGACGAGTATAATCGGCACATTGGGGCAAAAGTGCTTTACTTCAGGCGTCCACTTCTCCGGGATGTTCTCGAGCGAATCTGGCGAGTCCACCGAGAAGCACATCAGAATGACATCCGTGTCGGGGTATGAGAGCGGCCGCAGCCGGTCGTAGTCTTCCTGTCCGGCCGTATCCCATAATGCCAGCTCTACTTGTTTGCCGTCTACTTCTATGTCGGCGACGTAATTCTCAAACACTGTCGGCACGTACACTTCCGGAAATTGATCCTTACTAAACACGATCAGCAGGCAAGTTTTACCACAAGCACCGTCACCGACGATAACTAATTTTTTGCGTATCGCAGCCATCGGTCCTGTGAAAGAATACAACGCAAATAATTATGATGGTGTCGAGCGTCAACGCCTTTCATGACTTATAAATATGGCCGCCGTATAAGATTATGGGTAGGGAGTAGTTAGACAAGCCCTCAAATGTGAATAAGCACCTGAACTAGCGGAAGAAGAACAGCACCACCACATAGTACCCTCACATGCGAGGGTGGTATTTAGTATATTTTGTAGATACCTGAAGATTCTGGCTAATTTCTGCGGAATATTGGCTTATCGACACTTTTTATTCGTCTTTGCTCATCACAAGCACTTTCGTTCATAAAATCACAGTGTTGCAACGTTTAAAATATGCTGAACCTATGTTATTACAATTAATATTAGTTTTCTTAAAATATTCATATATATATAAGTATAGTTTCTACTAACAAAAGTAAAATTATATTTACCGTCAAATCGATCACAAAAGTTATTTATTTCGAACTCGTAGTTTTTATAAATAAAATGTGGGGATACCTTTTGAAAATATAATTTGACGTTTGAAGTTCGTTTAGAAACGGATTTTACATATGTACCAATAGTAAATCAAAGTATTGTTTGTTAAAACATGGTTCAAACCTTCAATTGATTTTATTGTATCAATTTATAATAACTTACAAAGGCCTAAAAGAAATAAAATTCTATCAGCAGTCAGAGCTTAGGTAAAAAAATATTTTCCGAGCAAACTCATCTGTCTGTTGCTTCTTGGTCTGTTGCACAGATCACTATATATGTAGCAAGCTAGTCTGTTGTCGTCTGTTCATAAATCTTTATGATTTATATTGTCTATGGTCTTGCACTATTTTTTGTTTTCCCAAATACTGATGATTAAGGATATCTGTTCCATACAGTTTCATTTCAAAGCTGTCGTATACTATATATACTCCATTATTATGCCAGCTCTTCACTTAGCTATCGTGTTTTCTTTAAGTATTTTGACAACAGTCCCTTCTTTTCATTATCTTTAATGTATTAAGGACAACCTGTTGTCAAAATAACAAATAGCAAAACACTATTAACCAAGTAAAGTGCTGGCATTATAAATCAATAAAATCTTCCCCTTATCAGAGGTGGTCTCGGTACGAAATCCTATTCCATCCTGGAAGGCCTATGCCCCAGCATTGGGGACATTAATAGGTTGACGAGGATTTAGTTTTTGCTTGCTTTAGTAAAATTGATGGTTTTCCAATTACAGCACTAGAGCGCATAATGCTTAACGTTGAATGTTCCAACTACAGCAACGCTCTACGCAACCAATCGAGCACTCTCAAAAGTAATGCTTTCGTATGATGCGTGCAATCGTACCAACTCAGTGACAGAAAATTAACAAGTGTTTTTTCTTTAAGTTGGCATTGATCGAAATTTTTTATTTATATATTATCGTTAGTAATATTATTTATTGTTGAAAAATTATTAAAGCTTTCGGTCATTATAGTATTTTTTTTAAAATAATCAAAGTTAATTCAAACTGTGTTAAAAAAATAAATATAAGTATGGATGAAGGTACAAACATTGACTTTTTTTTCAACACTGAACTTAGCGCACTCTGCTGGTGCATTTTAAAATTAATTTACGTTCCAATTAAGCATCAGCATAATTCGGCATTGTTCGCCACTGAGTCGCATTATGCTCTGTAATTGGAAAACAACCATTATCTACCTATTACGAACACAGCAGCGCCATCTATTATATCTTTTATCCACACTTCGACATCATGCCTAGCGGCCTACTGACATGACATCCCTGCCGCAGGGACAATCTAGGGTGCACGGCGGTCGGGGCAATATCGGTTTGTCTCTACACACATGCCTGCTATTCAGTGTTCGAGGGTATGTCATAGAGTACATTATATACTAGTAATAGAGATATCAGTTAACCTAAGCATACAGCGCCATCTAGCGCTTCATGACATAATCACAAGTCATGTACTACTGAACCAGTACCGCCAGCTTTAGATGCGATTATAAATGTGAAAAAAGGAAAAAACCATACTGTGTTAAAGCTACATTATTAGATAATTTATCTACTATTCGTTTACACAGTTTTTTTTGATAATTGCCTATAAAAATGTAACTTTAACACAGTGGGTTAGAATAAATAAAGAAGTTTTATAAATCAATTATTTTTATTTATATTTTTAAATGATTGCGTGCCATTCTTTTAATATCATCTTTAAAATTTGTACAATAACGCACCTTTATGGTGCCGTTTAATAATTTATTTACCTCACCACACCAGTTATATATAAAAAATCTACAAGTCGGATCTATCATAAAAGTTTCATTGCTTTCTTTAGCCGTGTTGTATATTTGAGATTCTTTTCAGTTAGCTTCTTAACCACTTTTTTTAAGTTAGTTACACTTTGATCCATTGCAGATGCTGAAAAAAAGCATTTCAATAAAATTAGTATCATTGTGAGGTGAAAAGTTTTCGATTTTTTTTAACTAATTATTATTAGTATAAGAAAACTAAGTGGAAGGTTCATTTCATTATGTAATGTCTACTTATTAACTAAAACATGACTAAAGCCCATACAGGTAAGTTTAAGAAAAAAGCTAACAAAAGAATAAAGATGATTAGGATAGGTGTTCTCTAAAATATAGATAACATATTTCTGATTGTTTTTTAAAGTTAAGTAAATAAAATTATCAAATAATTTTAATAGACAAAAATACTTATATAAAAATAAAAATTACCGGTAAGCTTATTTTTACTTAGTGTCTTCGATTTCTTTACAGTGTATTGTTGTAATTCTACCTTTTCAGTCAAAACACCACCTACAAAAAAATTTTATATTAAAACAAAAGAGAATAAGGGAAAGTTTTTACTAATTTGTATATCTGAAATTTGATGCTTCCATTCAAACATTCAAAAAGAATTTTGCCCCTACCAGGATTCGAACCAAGAACTTTACAGTAGGCATTGACAACCAGTGCACATTCCACTCTACCAGAATGTCAAAATGATTTGTAAATAAATAAATAAATATTTACTAATGGATGTAGAAGGCATTGAAAGCTGAGAATGTTCAATATCCATTCTGTTGGTGACATCCGTTGAAACACTCCTTGGTGCACCAAATCCAGATAATAAAAAAAATATTTAGCAATTTATATAAAAATCACATTCAACTCAATGATTTTTATTAAGAGACCATTACAATATACACTCTTTACTCGATGTTTGGATATACTGTACTTCCAGGGCCCAAAAGTAAAAACTTCACAGTTTTGTTGGTTGTAATTTCTCATTTTTGTTGTTAAAAAGGTTTCTGTTAACCACATTATTAAAAAAAATGTCACACTTATGCACTGGTAGTTTTTTAGAAAAAAATATTGAAAATTTTTACTTTTCTTATCAAGTGGTGATACTTCACACTAGCTTTAGGTTAGGTAAGTGTTGTGACCATAACGCGCGAGCCGAGCGAGCAAAGCGTGCCGCGGTAGCGGCCGGCGAAGCGCCAGAAAAAAAAAACTGTTAAAAAGACCTTTTCTACAAAAAAAAACAAGTATCACCTTTTGGGCCCTGGAAGTACAGTTTTACCCAAACTATTCCTTGCTTGAAAAAATAATTATTGTCCATAGCTAATATCTCTCCTCCGACAGCGGAAGCCAAGTTCGGAATCGATCGGGGTGAATGTCAGGGTTAGGAAACGATTGCATTGGTATTTTATCTGCGCCTGAAACATTTGGTCAAATAGTTAAATCAAGAAAGGATTGTTTATAGAGGTTCATTTATATGTAACTGATTGGTAATACATACGTGTTACGTTGCAATTAGGCACACAATATCTTCACTGAGATGCCATTTTCGAGAACAACGAAATCCAAATAGTGAAGTCAATCAATAACCGATATGAAGAGCAGGGGTCAAAACGTAAAAGCAGGAGAATCGGAGTCCGGAAAAATAGATGAAATCGTCGGAAAAACCACCATAAATCACAAGAAAACATTAAATTCACGAAGCGTAAAGTAAACGGAACAGTTTTTTTTTGTTACAGTTGTTTTTTTTAGATTCTTTACCCATTCTGGGTAGGCAAAGGGTACTGTGCCCATACAGCCAATTCTTTAGTTTATTATTTCAAAATAAAATATGTTGTAAATAATATATGCTGATAAGCTGTATTTCTTCTTTCTTGATTTTTGTTACAGTCACTGACAGCCACAGGTATAATTTTGTGTTACTTAAAATATATATGAAGTTGGAGGAATACCATACTTAAAAAAGATCTGAATAACGCCATCTTGTGAAATATTACATACCTAAAATTCGTTCTGTGATGTCCATACAAATAATTGTAGTTCGAAGTGAAAAGCCCCTGGGGTATGTTGAGCTGAACACATGCGTTTATGATGGTCCCAGTGTAATCAAAAAATCAGAAGATCGGTAGGTAGGGCCTTGGCTTTTTCTATGGTGTTAGCGCAAAAAAGGAAATACTGGATGAAGAATTGGCAACAGAAAGAAATTTATTATAAATAAATAATAATGTAATTGTATTACTGTAAAAAATCCACGCGGACCTGGCAGCAGACGGGACTCGAACCCGCACCCTTGCTATCCAGGCTAATGCACTGACCAATTATGCTACTGCGGCCCTAGCGGCCATATCGAATTCTTTCTAGCCTTTCTTAAGCTGCAAGGCAGCGCCATCTCTTCGCATTGTAGGTAACCCACAAAGTCAAATGAATACCTTCACAAGTAATAAACATTTGAAAGAATAAATAGCAATTAAAGTCATAATTTTATTTTTTTAAGCATGTAACTGGTCGATGTTTGAATCTAAAAAAACTATTTCTATTTTTCTAGTAATATTTTCTTTAGATTTAAACTTCGAGCAATTACACGCTTAAAAACTAAAAATTATAAAAGAAATATGTTAATGATGTTTGTTTTTTTTCATCCCACGTGGGATCGGTCTTTATATACTTCTGTCAATCATCATGATCTGCCGCCATCTTGATAGAAATACGTGCCGTCCGTGTGACAGTTACCAACCAACTGATTGAGATTGAGAAATTGCCCCGATCGCGCTACACAATGTGTAATGTAGCAATTTGCAGGGCGGCAAGGACATTCTAGGGACCAAGGGTGGTCTCGCTCTCGGGCGGCAGGAGCGCAGGCCCGATTTAGCTACCTTAATCAAGCAAGTAATACAGGAAATGCTTTAAAAGTAATGTAGAGGTCGCTACTTTTTTTATAATAGTGATGCTTGTATGGAACTGCCTTGAATTGTTCTTGAACCTAACACTTTTCCGAAATAAATAATATCCTTTGTCTCAATCCAAG